CAATAATTACTCATATAATTAATTCACTTTGAATATCATTAGTATATATAGCGATCTATTCTATGATTCTCCCTCTCCTTTAATGTCTCTTTTACCATCACCGTTCTACTTTCTTTCTTTCTTTCGTTTTTCACTTTTTAATAATTGTTGGCCGGAAAGATATCTACGTATGACTCTACATGATCTCTTCCATTGTTCTAAAGTCTCCAACTTTAATTTGCTTTTGGCATTCAACGCAGAATAAAGATATATGGATATCGTAGTCTTAATTTGCACAGGATCAGTAACGTGAGCAATGACACGGATGTTGAACTCAAGTATTAGTTTTTCTTCTAATCTAACGTTATGCTACCTAGGTATTCAACCTAGTACTTCATGAATTGTTGGTAGACAGCAATAGCAGCGATATTTAATTAATTTTGCATTGTGAATACCTGTGACTGTGTCTAATTAATTTATTAATGTGGCATTGTGTAGTGTAAGATATCACCGATTCATGTTAGTGCGGCATAAAATTACTAAATTCGCACTTATACTTTTTATCTTTTGTTAGAGTTTAATAAACTTAAAAATGTAGATTATTTATTTAATAAACACTCCACATATGCATTCTAACAAAATATGTATTTACTATCATATCAATATTAGTTACATGTTTTGAGAAAATTTAAAAACCTTTGCGCATCACTTACAAATTCAAGTATTTCTTCACTCAAGAATTATAATGAATAATAAATAAATACTCGTTTTTAAAGACGGGCTATTATTCTAGTAATTCCTCACTCTTGTCTTAAACTTGGATGCTTCAACATTTTATTCAAGACCCCCTTTATATACAGTGATGGAGAGTATGTCTTTCTTCAAAAACAGATAAGTGCATGTAGCCTTATCACATTTTAAGGCCAATATTAAAATATGCTATTTTCTTCTTCTAAAGATGATCACCCTAAGCTTCTCCATAAGTTAAGAAACAATTTTATCTTCCTTTATTTTATTTTAAAATTTAAATTCTTATTCTTATCAATATATAAGTTTGCATGTTTACCGACGCACCTTATACACGTTAGGATTTTGAATTCAACTTTTATTCAAAGAAAAGAAAATATTTCTTTCTTATCAAAACAAAAATAAAAATAAAGAGTATAAGAGGTGTTCTAACCTATGATACAGTTAAACAAATATCAGTTAATATACAATAACCTTTCAAACACTTTATAACAAAACTAATATTTTAACTTTTGAAGTTATCTAATTCTAAGAGCAAACCTTATAATATTTGATCGACTTTTTGATAACCAAATGGATCAAACTCCTGTGAACAATAAATGCTTCAACTCTTCGCCTTGTACCGAATCAAACCATATAACAAAACAAAAAGAAGTCCTTAAAAGATTGATTAATTTCTGATTACTTCTTTCAGAGATGGGTATTTTTAACTATAAGAATTCTAACTCTTGAAAATAAATATTTATTCATTAACTGATAAAGCAAAATATAAGTCCAAAAAAAGCTTATACAATTTGGTTTAAATCGGATGACCCTACAATTATTTTTATTTGAACTATAGGTGGTGGTGTTCTCTTCCCGTCAATGTGCAGTTGAGACTTGAGAGTGTCTCGAGAGGGAGTTCGAGAGGCAATAGAAAGCCAACGAGGGAAGTCCAAACTCAAACTTATTATTAATATCTTAAGGCTAAAAGTTTTGTTTGGAGTATGGAATAATTTTGAGGAAAAATAAATTCAAAAAATAATTTTAGAGGTCAAAGTTTGATGCTTTTGTTTGATAACTCTCTAGATCTTTTAAGCTATGTATGAATTTTATGTTAAGGAAAGGAGAGAAGAGAGAAGTTACTGATCTTTAATTCTTATTTAAAAGTTAATTAGACATGAAAGGGTTAGAAATTTTTTCTAAATTTTCAAAATCTTTCTAATTAGATATATATAAAATTTATTTATTTTCATAAAAATTGTACTCAAACTTCACTATAGATATAAACATTTTCAGACTAATTAGTCTTAAGGCTTCCTTGCATTTGTTGGCATAAGTTTACCTTACTTTGGATTATTTTATTTGACCTTTTTACTTTTAAATTATCTTGTTTTATATATATACTTTTCAATTGCATGTGCCTCGCACGTGATTGGAAACCATCCCCAAAAATGAACCCCAGTGATCTTACATATATTGTTTCGTTCGATATGATACACATGTCGTCACCGGTTAATCACACGTATCAAAAGAGACAAAAAACAATTAATTTAGATAAAAATATAAATGAATATAATATAACTTGAAAACTAAATTCTTAAGTTGTTTCAAAGTTATGAATGTCATCATATTAATTTTTTAAAAAAAGTTCTTAAAATATTATTTATGTCACACTTTTTTTAAGAAATTTATGTCACCCTATTATTGCATAAAAATGTATAAGATAACATTTAAGATATTTAATAAACTATTTTGATGATATATTTTGTTTAAAAAATTAATATAATGATATCTTCATATCTTTAAAATATTTATTTGGTTGAATTTTACGAAACTAACCTAATATTATTGTATAATAATAATAATAATAATAATAATAATAATAATAATAATAGTAATAGTAATAATAATAATAATAAATTGTGATTGTAATAACAATAAAATTGAAAAAAATATTAATTATTGTGTAACAGTAATAAATGTAATAATTTAATTTTTTTTATATAAAAAAGGATTAAAATATTTATGTAATGAGTTAAGAAATTTTGTGTTATGACTTAAATATATGAAGAAAACTCAACCTAAAAGACTAGTATATTAGATGTGAGAATTTCACGACTTAAATATTACATTGATCATCTTATTTTACTGAACGTAATTTTATTTTTATAATAATATTATGAGTAGGATAAAAATTTCTCCTTAATTTGTTACCATATAGCAATTTTTTTATCATGTACATTCATCTTTTTTATATGTTATTATTTGAGTAATTTTAATATCAAATAAAAATGCCTTTTCCAATTAAACAAAATCTAATAAGACTAAAGCCAATCACACTGCCCAATTTAAGTAGTTAATTTTATCGAATAAAATAATAGGATAAGATTTTTGTTAACATTATTGTAAATAAACCTAACCTCAAAGAAATACTATGTATCTACATATCAACATTTGCAAAGAAATATACTTTAAAGTTATCCAAATTTATATATAAAATATCTTCTTCTTCTTTTTGGAAAAGATATATTTTTTATATATTGAATGAATTTACTTTTAATATATTGTCAATATAATTTATTATTAAATAATTTAAGTATACAAGAATTATAATTTTTAAATTAATCATCATAATATAAGATAATTTAAAATATTTTTATCTTTTGAGTAAATTTTAAATAAATTTACTGAATATGAAGTTTTTTAAATATATTTTTCTGTAATTTTTTATATTATTGAACAATTAAAAATGAATATAATTATGTCTCTTAAAATAATAATATGACAATTCATAATTGAACGTTTATAGTTTTTGTACATTTGATTTAAATTATGAATATATTTTATGATAACTTAAAAAAATTGAATAAACGAAAATAAAATAGTATTAAATAATGAGTAGATTTGAATGCGAAAGATGGCGCAATTATTGAATGTTATATAGTAAAATATTGGAAGGTAGAGAGAATGATGATGTTTTGGGTTTGACAGAATAAAAAGGTGAATGCGGAAATAGCAGAACAGAGATTAGGGCAGTGGCCAACAACATTGCCCAAAAACCATGGCCTCTAAAGAGCCAGTGTTTGCACGTGCTGAGTTGGGACACGTGTTGCAGATGGTGGGTGGGTGGTTAATCCTCTCTTTCATAATTTCTTTATGTGTTTGGTTATTGGGATGAATCTAATCTAATGCCCATGGTTTTTGGCCCTCTTTCGACTAAACCACCACCACCTACTTTTGAACCTTTTCTTTCTCTCACTCTAAATCTACCAACAAAGGGCCACCGGATTGGGGATTGGGGATTGGGGATTGGGGATTGGGGAAACTATAATGTTTTTTCTATTTTATTTTATATGATTAATTATTTCATCTCAACTGATTTCATGATTTTTTATTTTATTTATAAAAATTTATTCAAAATGTCGATGCATTTGTTTGAAGATTGCCTATGGAATAACTTAGATAAATATATAAAAGTACACAAAATATCAATTTTTATAGATTTTTGTGTCCTCCTAGAAACGCGAGTGGATAACGCAAGTACATTGTTTCCTCCTTTCATCAATCAACAAATGAAAACCAAAGATCTACTTTTAATTTAAAAAATATATAAAATTGATATTTAATTTTTTTACTTCAATGTTATTTATTTATTTTGAATTACAATACTGTACTAATTTTATAATACAGATATTTATTTATAATATATGTATTTTTAAATATATATATATATATATATATATATATAAAACTCGTTATTTATTATAATAATAAAATAACATTTTATTATTATATTTTCATTGCTTTAAAATACAAATATCATAATAAATATTTGTATTTCTTAACTTTATATATATATATATATATATATTATCGGGTAAGAGAATTTTTTGTGTGTGCGAGTGAAAAGAAAAAAAATTAAATTATTAGATTTTATAATAAATTCTTAAAATTAAAATATATGAATTACATAAATATTTTATGTGATTTTTTTAATAATTATTCTAATTTTTATAAGTATAACTATTTGTATACGGTTGCAACTTGCAAGGTTTAGATTTACATTTTTTATTCTAATATCAAAATGCTCTTCTCATTAAATACATTTTATATATATATATATATATATATATATATATATATAATTTAATACATTAAAAAAATTAATTTCAAAATAATTTCATAAATTAAATATTATATATTATTAATTTAGATATCTTTTTAATAAAACTCATTTATGGATATTAATTTATATTATTTATTATTGTAAATAAAATTAATTTTATCAAGAAATAAAAATTAATTATACTAATAGGATCCGACATATCAGTATCTCAGTATCGAAATTGCGCACATGCACGAATTTGGATAAAACTAATAGCATTTACAACCTTAAGAATAAAAAAGTAGGAGTACTTCGGGAACAGCAAAAGAATCAACCGACAGAAACAGAAACCCAAGTGAAAACAACTGTCTATGGACAGTGGATTTCAGCTGAAACCATCAAACTCCCTTCTGCCACACTGCCACCCTTCTCTTCTTTGGAAACATTGTTGAGTTAATGACATTTTCTCTCCAACTCAGTATAAATATATCAGCAACTTCAACAACTCTTCATCCAAAGCTACTTCGGCAATTCATCTGTTTCCTGAGACTTCTTCCATTATTAGCTTTTGTTCAATTAGATTTTTGAAGATGGCCAAGAGAAATGTTGCTGCTAATTCTCCTTTTGAGAGGACTAGCTTGGCTTCTCTGGATCAAAAGTTGGCCATGGCCAAGCGCTGTTCTCATGGTAATGTATATCTCCATAAGATAAATCCGAATAATGGCCTCGAGCATTTCTCCTCTTGAATGATAAGTTTTGGACAATAAATGCAGTTTCAATGGTCATTTATGAAATTTACAAAATTTTCCATATCTGAAAGTTGCTTGATCTTAAATTTACATTTTTCATTTCATGTGTAAACAGAGGGCGTGATGGCAGGAGCTAAGGCAGCTGTTGTTGCTACCATTGCCACTGCCATTCCAACAGTAAGTACTCTTTCTACCTATTCGATTTTCTTTTGGTTTATTCAGCTTTTTCTGACAAAGTTTTCATGATAAGTTTTAAAATAACAGCCTTCAGTATTCTAAGAGAATTTGTAAATAGCTAACTGGAATTATGCTTGAAATGCAGCTGGCTAGTGTAAGGATGCTACCTTGGGCAAGAGCCAACCTCAATCACACTGCTCAAGCTCTCATAATATCCACTGGTTAGCTTACTCATCCATTGTGCTGCAATGACCAACACATAGCCTTTGTCTTATTTAGTCATCTAACTCCCATATTATGTTTGCAGTGGCGGGAGCAGCATATTTCATAGTAGCTGACAAGACCGTTTTGGCAACTGCAAGAAAGAACTCCTTCAACCCGCCCTCCAGTGCATGAATTCCAAATTGATATCTAGGATATTGGATTCGGCTGCACTACATTGGGATATCTTAGCATTATCCCAATCGTGAACTCATCATATATGTATATGTATCTATAATAAAGAAGGGTTTGCATTTCAATAGTGAGAGCGCACTTATGTACCAATCATCAGTTAATTACATGAATGCAAATTATTCACGATTGACCTTTCTTTTTACGCAAGTGCATATGTTATATACCATTGAGCGGATCGATAAAGTTTCACCAGCAATCATTACATGAGCAAAACCCGTCTTTAAAATGGTGAAAACGATTTCTATCTCTTGCAATTATTTCCCTATTGAAGATCTTAGATATTAGCTTGGTGGCGGAATGGCAATTTACACAAACACGAAGATTCTTCACGATCCTAATTGTAGTCCCAGGTTTTGTGCTTATCAAACCAAAAGCAATGGCCAACTTCTCACTGTGCTGACTCAAAGCTCCTTCCTTCCACTCCTCATCAATATCATAGAGAACCTCAGAAGTATCAGGCACAAACCCAGACTCCTCCAAAAGCTTATCTACCTCATCCAACATTCTATAAATTTTTTCACTCTGGGGATGGAACTTATCACCAACAAGGAACTCATGAACTACACCATCTAACTCTATAGACGTGCAACCGGGAACTTTCTTCATTCCTTTGTCATTTAACCTAGTTCTGATCCTTGCTACATCATCCCATTTGCCAGCGCCAGCATATATGTTTGACAAAAGCACGTATGCCCCCGGATTTTCTGGCTCTAACTGAAATAGGCGTTCAGCAACATATTCACCCCATTCAACCTGTCCATGAACCCTACATGCATTAAGCAGAGAACCCCAAATAGCTCCATCTGGCTCCATTTCCATATTTCTCATCATGATCTTTGCTTCTTCGAACTTCCCAGCTCTACCCAGGAGATCTATCATGCAACCATAGTGTTGCAATTTCGGTGAGATTCTGTAATCTTGGATCATTGAACTAAAATGCTGGTGTCCAAGATCCACCAAACCGGCTTGGGTACAAGCAGACAATACTCCAACAAATGTGATATCATCGGGTTGGAATCCCTCGTTGACCATTTCTGAGAAAAACCCAAGAGCCCTCTCTGCATGTCCGTTCATGGCTAACCCTGATATCATGGCATTCCAAGAAGCCAAACTTCTACAATGCATACTTCTAAACACTTGTTCCGCCACATCAATGCAGCCACACTTTGCATACATGTCGATGAGACTTGTCCAAAGGGAAATATTATTCGTTCTTTTCAAGTTTTTATCTATATATGCATGAACCCACTTGCCAAGATCAAGAGCACCAAGGCAAGCACAAGCTGGAAGAATGGCCAAGAAGGTTACATCATTAGGCGTCACGTTTGATCTAAGCATGAGCTCGAACAGTGCCAAGGCTTCTCCATAGAAATTCAAGTAAGAATAACCACCAATCATAGTATTCCACGAAATGACATCCTTTATTTGTATCCCATCAAAAAACTCACGAGCCGTGTCAATTTTCCCACACTTGGAATACATATCAATGAGTGCATTAGTAAGGTGAAGATCTGACCCAAGCCCATTATCCCTAATCCACGAACCGACCCAGTTTCCCAACTCAAGCGATCCCAAGTGCCCGCAAGCAGAAAGTACACTCACCATTGTACTCTGATTGGGCGACACGTTAGCCTCCTGCATGAGGGTAAAACAACCCAATGCTTCTTCAAAGCGACCACTCTGAACATACCCTGCAATCATGGCATTCCACGACACCACATCTTTGGCGGGAATTTTATCAAAAAGCCGTCGAGCATCATCCACGTAACCCTCGGAGACATACCCAGTAACAAGAGCGGTGAAAGAAACCGCATCTCTAAGAGTACTTTTATCAAACACCAAGCGTGCACAAGTTAACTCACCAACAGAAGAATACATGTGAATAATGGAAGAGTGGACATGTGGGTGAGAGTGAAGGGCAAGCTTAAGAACATGAGCGTGAAGCTGTTTCCCTTCATGGGTAGCTCTGGCTTTGGCGCAAGACTTGAAAAGGAAAGGGAAAGTGTGGGAATTGGGTTGCACCCCAGAGTGCAACATGCCAACATAGAGTTGAAAGGAGGAAATGGGAGAGAGAGTGAATGAGTGGCCACGAATGAGGGTGTTCCAGACGAAGTGGTTGGGTTGGTGAAGGGAATGGAAGAGGGAGAGAGCGTAAGAGAGGTCGCCGGAGGGAGAAACGGCGCAAAACTCGATGAGTTTGCTCTGGGCGAAAACGGTGTTGTGGAGACCCGTTTTGACAAAGAGTGAGTGAATTTGTTTGAGGGTGTTGATGTTGTTGCATTTGGCGAGGAGATAGAGATAAGGGTGTTGTTGGAGAAGCTTGTAAGGTGGATCCGAGGAGGGAAGAAAGTGAAGAATGGAATTGGAAGGAGACAGTGATGACACCACCATTATCTTTCAACCTTTCTTGTGGTTGCTTCCCACTGCCACCCAAAAGAATAGCGATAAGGCTTCATCATCCTAAAGAAAACTTAAATTACCATTGCAAGTCGATGTCTCTGTCAATTCAAAATTAAATTTAAGTTACTTCGCAATATAATATCTGATAATCAATCAGTGTAAAATTAATGTGTTAATATCAGTTTCTGCGATAATTCCAATTCGAAAGATGCGTGGCTTATAACTTAACTAAATTGGTTACCCGCCAAAATATTTGTCTAAATCCCAAATTTGTTTACATTGGAGAACGCTTGCAACTCAAATCGACGGTTAGATTGTGGGCTCTTTTTGTATATATGGAAAAAAAAAATACCAAAATATGGAATTTTTAAAAAATAACGAAAATATGACAGTTTTTAAAAATTGTAGATGACATTTTTAGTATTTTAAAAAAAAATTTTATTTTTTTAAAATACATCAATTGCATTTTCTAATTTTTTATATTTTTAAAAAAAGTCATGGATATTTTTTTTAGTTTTTTTATAAATTAATATTTTAAAATCAGCAATGACATTTGTTAATTTTTTTAAATCTCATATTTCAGTATATATTATTTTTAAATATGATATATAAATAAAAAAATCTTAAATTGTGTTTAGTTAAAATGGAAAGAGAAAAAGAAAAAACGGAAAAAAAGAGATAAAATAAATAATGAAAAGAGAATAAAAAATAATTTAGAGAAAAAAGTAAAGTTTTTGTTACTTGTAAAAATAAAGATTAAATTTATGTGTATTATCGTATATATTATTGATATTGTTATCAAATTAAAATTAAATTTATATAACAATATATTAATTTACTCATTTTTAATATTAATTTTAGTGTATAAATTATTAAAATAAAACTTTATTTTTATCTAAGAATAACACTAACCATACTTAAAAACAAATTTCTTTCATTACTTTAATTTTCTTTTATTTTCATAACGAGAGATGTCTTGCACCCTTTCCTAATCCTAAACACCTATCCTACTTTTACTTTGTTAATTTTTTCTTTGAATCAAGTACAAAGATTTATAAAAATTAAAAATTTATGTGGTCAAAATTCAAAATATATTTAAAATCAAAATTATACATGCGGAAAAATCAAGAATGAATTTAAATCTAATTTTAATTAATTTGAAATTGTAAATATAAAATATGAATATTTTTGTTTTCTTAATCGATATTTAAGAAACTTATTAATATTTATCGCACGCATATATTTATAGATAATTGCCAAAATATTAGTGATTTCTTATATTTGATGAGCTATAATCATCACTGACTTTAATAGGCTAGTAATATTTAAAAATCACAGCCATCGTTATATTTAATAATAATTAAAAAAAAAACTGTGCATTTCTGTAACTTCAAAGATGGATATTTTATTCTTCATACCATTGCGAAGTCAGCAAATTTTGTCTTTTTTACCATAAAGTTAATAAGTTTTATAGATTATTCTGATAAAGAAAAATATAAAATAGGAATAGTATATAAATTTTCCATCTTACTGCGATGCATTAAAATATGAAGTGTTTTGACCTTATAAAAATAATGGAATCATATATTTTATTCATAATAATAAAAAGCGAACGTGCTGGTTGTTACTATGCATTAAACACTTTATTCCTCAAACAGAATAATAAAAATATAAATTATAAAGACAGATTATTCCTTGTAGGTCCAATAAACCTGTTCGATGCTGGCGAATCGCTAATTAACAATAGCATAGCAGTAGATCCTAAGAAACAACTAACAATTGCACTTTCCCACTTTTTTAACTTTTATAATCAGCGCCATGTCGCCACGGCCATAAATTTAGCCTTTCTTTATGAATTTGGAGGGATAAAAAAAAAATTTAAAGAATAAAAAAGAAAAAGAGAGTTAATATGATTTTTTCAATTTAAAACTGATTTTCAAACAAAACTTTTAAGGATTTTCTAAAGTTTGAATATAACTATATATAAAATTAAAAATTATTTTAAATGAAATTAATTGTAAAAGGGTAATCACTTAATTTTTAATTGTAAGGGAAAGTCACGTTATGTTTAATTTAGTTATGGTTAAGAACTATTAATTGTGGTCGGATTCTGTTTTGCTTTTGTACGTTAATGCTGTATCAAGTTTATATATAGCTCTGTGCATAACTCTTCAGACACAAGAAAACACAAGTGAATTATTTCTGGATTATCACTTACTCTTTCTCTTACAATCACACCATGTTCAGATACCTTTATTTATAAATTAGTTTACTTTAAATAAAAATTTTATATATTTAGTTTATTGAAAATATTTATTTGAACTTTAATGCATTATATACGATTAAGAATAAATTAAATAGTTATAAAAGGAATTTTTATAAAAGAAAAATATGTTAATAGTGTGTATACAAAAACAATAATGATGGATAGAAGTGACAAGAGATTACCATTACATCATTTATTAATGGAATTCAGAACAAAAACACAATGTTTCATAATCCATAATTTATTATTAATTATCAACAAAATCATGTTTAGTATGTTCTATCCATTTTAATATAATAAAATTATTTTTAGACTTAGTTATACTTTTATAATTTGTCACATAAAACTAAAACATCGAAACAAAATAGAATTGATATTTTCATAACTTTAAGAATTAAATAAACATACATTTATGATTTTAACGATTAATTTATGTATTACACGAACAATTGAATTGTGGAAGCTGAATGAGGAAAACAAAATACGAAAATATAAGAACTTCATAACCTTCTTGTCAGTACATCTAGCAAGAAACAATAATATATTTTTCCCTCCTAATTTAAAAACATTTATGATTATAACATAGAGCCTTCATCCGTGATTTATCTAATCTAGAGCTCGAGATAGAGAAAGCAAGATAAATGTTATTTGGAGAAGAAAGAGGCATGCTGAGGGAAATCAGGGATATTGCAGGCCTTAATGAGAAGTCTTCTTTCAGTCTGCACCCCCTGAAACAGAAGTAATAAATGTATCATTCTAACCGAGCTTATATAGATTCCTTTTGAAAAAAAGAACATCTTGAAAATATTTTTCAACTAAGAGAAACTTCAGAAGCTTAACTATTCTCACCTAAATCCCTTGGCATTTTGCATCTGAAGCATTCTGTCCTGCTAGCATAATTATGCACTCCACAGCCAATTCTGTTATATTAGAAAAATAAAAATAAAGGTGAAATACTTTAAATAGAAACAAATTTAGATTCAGGTATTTGTATCATACTTCGGTAGTGTTTAACTTAACTTTTTTAAAAGTTGAAGTTAATAATAAAAAATTTTAATTTGAAGTTAAAGATATTTGTTGAACTAATGCAACTAAGATAATTACACCAACAAAAGAGAAACTATATAGTAATACAAAAAATATGAAGATAATGTGAACTGACCTTGGGCAAATCCAATCTCCAGTTTTCCATCCTGGTGGGAAATTGTGAGATCCATATCCTCCAGAGTCTGTCATGTTTCCTACATATCCTGAAGAGTAATAATCTTTGAATGCACCACATTTATAGCAGCCTGATCTGCTGGCATAATTGTGAGCTCCACAGTTGATAGCGGTGCAAAACCAGTCCCCTGCCAACACTTCAGTCCTGTTGTATTTGTAGTTTGAAGGGTCAGGGCCCCCATTTTTGGGATACCCACAATTTTGGCATACCTCCCTCTTCTTGAAATTTATGTGCTGGCATGCACCACACATCCAATCTCCTCCAGACCAGCTCATTTTCCCTGTTCATTATATACATGAGAAGTAGCAAATAATAAGAATTTTGGACTAATTGAAATAAGAATTTTGGACTAATTGAAATTTCTTACAAGTTATAATTATTGATATATTTTTATTTTATTTTAATAAATTTAACAATTAAATTTGTCATAAATATTTATATAACCAGAACTTGTTATATAAGTATTTAATTAAGCTTTCTTTATATGATTTTCATCAATTCTCAATGCAGCCATGTATGAGTTATGCCCCCAAACTTATATCAAAAGGCATGCAAAATTTTTTATCTACCCAAGTTATTTGTATAGGGAATTTCAGTCTTGGGTGATAGAATACTATGTAAACTAGCCTAGCAATCTTTTCGATTTTTCTTCTCCACTCAATGTAATCATAGGAGTTTCTAGGATTGAACCATGAGGTTCCAATCGCTCTGCATTACCCAAGAAAGATTACACATAACATCCACGTATAAAAAACAATTTAAGAAGCGAAGACAAGCATAGAAACAAGAAATTCACCTTTCAAGAAGAGTTGTGAATAAGAGAAGTATCACGAAAGTAATGATTTGTGGTTGCTATAGTAGTTTAAATAGCTTGTAAGTTAAGATGGAGAGTTTATTGCTTGTGTTGTGAGGCTTTATATACTGGTTGTGAGACCTAAATGAATGTTTCTAATTTTCATTGCCAGCACTGTAATATTTAAAAGTAGAAATTACTGGAAGATGTAAATAAAAATTTCTACTGGTTCTCATGTTATTCTTGGAAATGGTGGGTAATAATAGTACATGTATACACAAGATTTGTTTATCTAGTCTTTTGCCCATCTTTACGTGATTCTTATGCATTATTGAGTGGAACATATCCAGGGGAATTAAAGTAAGGTTATATGAGGGGTAGTTGTTATGTGGTAGATATTTGTCAATTTTTTTATCTTCTTTATTTTATTCTAATGTCCTTTCTTGTTCATTTTATTTATTTTTCCAAATTAAAAAATAATATATAAAAGGAGGAACTATAAGACAGTATCGGGTCATGAATTGCTGCTCCCAGATGGCTTCTAGTGCAGGAGCATGCAGGGAAAGCATGCATGAAACATAACGAAGCATTAATCACGTGAAAACAAGACCAACCAAGAGAATTAATGTGGGAATCAAACAAAAAAAATCCTGCAAGCCGTGTCATTGAATATTATCTGTTATCACACATTCCTCACCCCATTTTACATATGCACTACTCTCGTCACTTATAGCTTTAGCATTTTACTTCACCTTCTTCTGCAATATATGGAACAAGCGCATCTGTTTCGTTTGTAAGGAGGAGGTTGCCCTGAAAGAAAAGGAAAGATTTTTTCACACCCCAAAATCTTACATCTTTCCATGGTTTTTCTTTCTTCTTTCACGCATAAATACCCGAACGTAGAGGTAGATTTCTGAGATTGAAAGGGATCAGAGTTGTTTGTTTCTGGGATATAATGCCACACCCCATTCACGCCTTTGCTAGCAACATTTCCCAATCACCACCGCCAACGCACCCATGTTTTACAATATGAAATTTGCCATTAATTAGACCTAGCAACACATTTAAAAAGTGTTAATTAAAGTTCATTAAAAATTACAAAATATGTAAAAATTATTAATTTAAGAGTAAAAATAATAAATTTTTGAATTTTTTAATAAATTTTAGCTAATAATAAAAATTTTGCAGAAAATGTATTGTTAACGTTTTTCTTTTAGTTTTTATATTTTATAATGCATAATTTAGTTAATCTTAGTTTTAATTCTTTGTGTTCTATTTTTTAATTTTTTAAATATTTAAATTATATTATTATCTTAAAATTAAGATTTGAATTATATTTTATTTATTTATTATTGTTATTTAAATATTTTATATTTATTTGAAATAAATAACTTAGCACAATTAAAATTTAAAAAATTAAAACTACACATATTTTATATAATATAAGGTTGACAGAAGTTATCTATTTTATTTTTTATTTGACTTGTTATAGTATTAAATTTTAATATAAATTATTATATAATTTTATTGATAATTTTAGAATATAAATTATAACATCGTGAATGTTTTTAAGTTAAAAATAAGTACAGAGATAAAGAATTTAGATTTTTTGATCACGTTTTTGTTCTTAATTTTATTTATTATATATTATTGTAGTATTTCCTTGACCGTTTATTTATTTTTATTATTTTAATTGTGTATATAATTTATTAAAATTCAAATAAATTGCTTCATAGTAACAAAATTAACACTGAAAAATTTCTATGCAGGCATGTTTGTGGTTACATTTATCTTGTTTTAAATTATTATGGACCCATACCTTATGGTTTATATTATTGATTCCTTTCCAGACAATCAATCAATCAGTCTTTGTCGATGTCTTTCGTTATGGAACTTTCCCACTTCATATCACAAACGCTTCCCTCGCGTGTTTTTCAATTTATATTAGTGAAAAAAAAACTCTGTTAAATTAACGGATAAAATAATAATGCAAACTATGTTTGACAAAGAAAATTGAATAGCAACAACAGTGGTGCATATACGATGATGATGATGTTTATTTTTCTCATTAGTTTTTAACCTTTTTTTTTTGTTGAATGCCTTTTATAATTTAAAATTTAAAAAAGGTCTGTTCCCTTTGTTAGTCTTTGTTCATTTTATGATCTATTATATTTTCATTTAATTTATAAATTCTGATTTAAACATTTGTTGATGTGATGGGAAAAAAAAGGTAGCACGCTGAGTCGAAGATAAAGTGAAAGCCTGTATATATATTTATTATTTTAATAAATTTTAATCTTAAAAGTGTGTAAAAAAGTGTGTTGTTAATATTATTTAAATGATTTTTATTGATTGATTTGATAAATTAAAAAATTTAATCACATATTTTATATACAAAATTTGATATTATTTTTAAAATTATTTTCTATTTTATTTATATATCAAAATAAACATGATACATATTTTTAAAATTTGTTTTTAGTAATAGTATTTTTATAATAATAAACTTTTATAATTTAAGAAAAAAGACAAGAGGACGGGAGAAAAGGGATTAATCAGTTGAATAATGTAATAAAAAAACATAGAAAAAATATTATTGTAAAATATGTAAAATTTTGTTGTATATGTTTTGTTTCTTTTATTTTATCATATTTTTAGAATTTTAAATTTTTAAAATGTAAAAGTAGATGTTATAATTTAATTTTGAGAAATGATTACTAATATTTAAAATTTTATTTCTACAAGATACAAAAAAATTAGTTTAGATTTTAAAAAAGAGACATAAAAAAGAAAATTCACGTTGTGAGATATAAAAATTTAGTAAAAAGAGAAAAAGGTGATGGAATCACATTATCTAATTATTATTATTATTATTATTTTTATTTCTAATTAAAGTACGTTATATAGAGGGGTTTACGGTTCTCCATGCGCAGCAGTATTGGAGAAATCTTTTATCTCCCAAATCATTTAATAAAGTTTTTAACCTTTCTTTAGTTTCTTTCTTCTTCAGCATGCCCTAAGCATTTGTATTTGGTCTAAAAATCTTATTAATGAAGTTCAGAAGTTTTCTTATGTAATTAAAGCTTTCTTTACTTCACCAGCAAAGCTTACATACAGCCTGTAACTATGTCCCTTAACTTAAACATATTAATAGGAATTTACTATTTAATTATGCATATAATAAAAGCTTTATTGCAAAAACTATTTTAGTATCTTTATATTTTAGAAAAAATAGTCTCTGACTATCAATTAAAAGCTATCCTTAATATACACACACTAAAAATACTTTCATTACTTAATTGAGCCACCCTTTGAAACACCAATTAAAAAATTAATGCGTGCAATGGATTTAGAGATAAGGTCCTTAGCTCATTTTGGAATATTGGATTTCAAGTCAACAAAATTGATCTACATAATATTACTCTTGTTTAGAAAAAAGATTATTCCTGTTATCTATTAATGTAAAAAATAAAATAAAAATTATTTTGTCACTACTATTTTTTCTCACTTAAGAAATTTAATTGTAATAAAAAATACTAATACTATTTAAATAGTTCAAAAGTAAAAAAAGATATGTACTAAAATAAATAAAAGGTAAATAAAATAATACTTTTTAAAAATTTGTGTAATCTTTTTTCTTTCTGAACAAATAAATCTGCAATATTTAAACACATTACTTTACGGTGTTTGAATTTGATAGTACAAGATTATTAATTTTTCGATTACATTGCCAGTAGGCACGGATGTAATTAATTGAGTGGCTCCTCGGTGAACTTAACTACTTTAATTCCTCGATCACTTAGAAAATTAATTAAGAGATTAAGTACATTTGAAGGGCTCAAGTCAAATGGAGGGATTAAAGAATTAACTCTTGATTACTTTTAGAAGATATTTTTTTGTTACAACTTTTTGAAGATTCAATCTTAAATTCCATGGTAAATGGATTTAATTAAATATAGATTCAAAGTAGATTAGATAAGTTGAATAGAATCATCAATGTCTTAACTCAATTTGCTTCCTTTAAAATTCAGAATTTTTAGTTGTTCATGCACTTTTATTATATTTGTAGATATATATATATATATATATATATTATAGAATTTAGATAATAAATTAATAATTGAAAGTCCTAAGTCTCATTATAAATAATATTCATATTCACACTTTATTATTTATTTAATTGATATATGACAAAGTGTCTTTTTACTTTAGTCTAAATTTAAAAATTTTTATATTTAATCTAAGTATTTCATTTATTTTATATTTAATAATAAGTGAAATAATAAATTATATTTTATTAGATATAAATTAAATAAAAAAATTTAAATTAAATATAAGAGTTTTTAAACTTATATGAGAAGATTTCACTTTTGACAAATAATTTATCTCGTGAAGTTTTAAAAAAAATAATGATAATTTATATCAATTTAAAGGTCTGGACTTGGGTTTTTAAAACAAAATTCAGTTGCAAAATAGACTATTCTTTCCGTTTAAATAAACAGAGAGATGATGATCTAAGGTTTAAATTGGTGTAAACACTTTAATTATGCAAAGTATGTGGTGGTGGCATGCATTGTTGAAAATGTAAAGCAACGGCTATGTTTTGGAGGTGGCATTGTGAAGAAGTGGATTCTTCAAGTATTATTGAATAGAGAGACCCTTTTGAGAAAAGATTCACACGATGAGAATAAAAAGAGTGGCGGAATGAACTGTCAGTCTAAGGTTTTATTTGATTAAATATAAATGGAATGTTCATCTTGTCTGCTGAAAATTAGTGATTAGGATTCCTCCTTATCAAACCCTGGGTCAACAACCCTGCATTCATGCCACGGTGGATTCCCCATTTAACCCATGTCAGCAAAGCCACCGTCAGTGCTCGACACATATATAATCATATCTTTTTCAGGCCCATTTTTTTCTAATTTCATTTATGTTTGATCGGAAAATTTAAGAAGGGGAAACTATTTAAAATGATTTTATTTTTAAATGCACAAGTAAATGTACATTTATCTTTAATTTAAAATCCCTGGAATAGACACACACACACATTTACAAGATATGATCTAAGTATCAAATTTTGTAAAATAATACCTTTACTAATTTTTTATCAATCCAAATAGTAAATTATTATTTTTATTATATCATGATCATTATGCATATAAAATTTAATATTATTTTAATTTTTATAAATATATAATTAAATATTATTTAATGTTTATATTTAAAAAGGCATTCCCAACATTAAAATAAAGTCAAGTGATAAGTATAAAATAATTTTTAATTATATAAATTTTTATAAACTTGATCTACTTTAAGATGCATTTTATGAAAAATTATATGATATGTTAAGAGTGCATACACCATTTTAGCTCAAATTATGATTTTGTAATTGAATCATATGCAAGCCAAAAATGCAGTCGAACTTATAACTTGGTGGTTACTATTTGGTTCTTGAAACTTCAATGTTTATTCATGGATGCTTTATAAAAGTTTCTTCAGATATTTAGGAAGAATAAAGATAGAGTGAATTAACCACAGAGATGTGGAGTAGCTAGGTAATAAGATTTGCTAGATCCGTTTCCATCACTCTTGCATGTAAATTTTAGTTTGGAGGTCCAAAAGACTTCGATTCCACTGTAGTACTTTTTTGAAACCATATATAACCTGTCCATTCTGCCCCGCGTCGAGTCGTCGCATACTTTATAAAAATTTCTAAGCTTTACCTTTACAATAATAATAGTAATAATAATAATAATAAAGAAAAAGAAACAAACTAAAGCAATAATAAGAAAAGCTTTGCTAGCAATTCGGGTCTATTATTTGAATAAATAAAAATTATAATCGTATGTAATATTGTTATTCCAAAATCATATTTAGCTAGCAATACGAGCTTATTTGCTCATAAACCAATCATATGTGCATACATGTCAAAGCGTTTTCTGGTGCATAAAAAATTAAAAATTCAGTTCGTGTCACCGTGAAATTAATGCATGCATTTGGTATACTTGTATCTAAAGAAGGCAAAAAAAAAGTATTGGTATTGGACATGAATCTTCGAATGGCATTTCAATTATTGTCATAAAGCAATTGAAACAAAGTAAAAAAGAACTTGGAAACGGATGTGCATGAGGTTGGAATCGATTCCCAATAATGTTTTGACCCTCGGTATTTCCCCTTTAACTGCATGGACACTATCTAGAACTGCACAAGCCTATCCAGTGAAGGTTTATTTGCAAGTTGGATGAGTCCAATGTAGAGAGTGTTGTGCATGTTTACACATGGATGATGGATCCGATAAATGTTGGGTCGGATGAGCTCATATTGTTGTTAAGCCATTAAGTGGGGTTCAGGGGATATAGGATTCTATAGCAGATTTTCAGCCTACCACATAACAACTACCCCTCATATAGCCTTGCTTCCCTTGGATATGTTCCTCTCAATAATGCATAGGAATCACGTAAAGATGGGCAAAAGATTAGTAGATAGAACAAAACATGTATGCATGCACTATTATTACTCACCTTTCCCACAATTTCTAAGAAAAACAATAGGAGCAGTACAATTTTTTTAATCTACAACTTCCAATAAATTCTACCTTTAAATCCCATCTGAAAAATACCATTTCCACATTACCAGGGTACTAAAACAGACATTCATGTCCCCCACAATAGGTCTTACAACTAGTATATAAAGCCTCGCAACACAAGTAACAAACTCACCCCATCGTTACTTACAAGCTATTCTAAAACTACTAATATAGCAACAACAGATCATTACTTGTGTGATACTGCATCTCCTTAAAAGGTAAGTTTCTTGTTTCTATGTTTGTCATTTACAACTTAAATAATTTCCTATACCTTGATGTTCTGTTTAACGTTTCTTTGTAAATGCAGTGCCAGTGGAACCCGATGGTTCAATAGCCCAAAGTCCTATAATTATATTTAGAGTAAAAAAATTGGCAAGATTGCTGTGCTTTCTTGACAGAGTGCAAGACAGTAGTTCCTCATGCAAACAACTTCTATGGATAAAAAATTGCATGCCATTTAATAGAAAGGCTCATAACGTATAAAAGAAGGATTAATAGTATTATGTGCACATGGAATTAAGTCATATAACTCATGTCAGGGTTTTAGTTGATGAAACCAAAAGTTCATGTAATTTACCACTTAACATATATATGTTGAACAGGAAAAATGAGCTGGTCTGGAGGAGATTGGATGTGTGGTGTTTGCCAGCACATAAATTTCAAGAAGAGGGATGTATGCCAAAGTTGTGGATACCCCAAGTATGGGGGTCCTGACCCATCAACCTATAGATACAACAAGAGTGAAGCACTGGCAGGGGACTGGTTTTGCACTACTATGAACTGTGGAGCTCACAATTATGCAAGCAGATCAAATTGCTATAGATGTGGGACATTGAAAGATGATTATTCTTCAGGATATGGAGGGAACATGGCAGGTTCTGGAGGATATGGATCCGACAGTTTCCCACCAGGATGGAAGACTGGCGACTGGATTTGCCCAAGGTCAGTTCACTGAAAATAGTATCTCTTCTGTTGGTGTAATTTCTCAGCTGCATTAGTTCAATAAAGAGCATGCATTTAGTTGCAACTTGAAAACCATATATCACTATATGTTCAACTATCATAAAAGCTGAACAGTGTAATTTGATAACAAGTAACTGAAGTGCCTAAAAAAAAGCTGCATTTTCATGCAATAGAGGTAGGTACAATACAATCTCTTCTTCTTCCTTCCAGAGGAAGATAGAATTGAACTCAGCCCTTGCATGTTGACATTTAGTAACCGTAAGATCCAAAAGTGCAATGTTTTCATAGGCCAATCAGAAGAAAAGGTTAAGATGTAGAATTAGGACCATGCTAGTAAACAAAACCAATGGTGGCCAGCATAAAAGAATTCTGTTAATTTTATTAGACACAAGAAGAAATATGAAACATGAAACGAATACTTGTATCCAAACCTTCTTCCTAATTTAAAGTATTTGACTTTTATTTTCCATTTCCAATATAACAGAATTGGATGTGGAGTGCATAATTATGCTAGCAGGACAGAATGCTTCAAATGCAAAATGTCAAGGGATTTTGGTGAGAAAAGTTTAGTCTTCTGACGTTTGATCTATTCTTTCTTGAAAAATATTGTCAAGATGTTTCTTTCTTTTTCTTTTTTTTCTGTTCAACTGTCAAGATGCTTTTTAACTCTCTTCCAATGATACATTTATTACTTCTGTTTCAGGTGGTGCGGACTGAAAGAAGAAATTTCAAAAGACCTGCAAAAGAAGAATTTTTCCTTCTTCTCATAACACCGTGCCGTCTTGATTTCCCTATGTGAAGCTCTAGATAAAATGTGGATGAAGGCCCTCTGTTGGAATCATAGCAATGCTTTTTCGTTAGGAAGGAATATGGATATCTGGCTGTTATTGTTTATTGCTAGATGTATTGACAAGAAGGTTGTGAAATCCATATATTTTATTTTCCACATTCTTTACTGAGATGATTAAACTTTGGAATCTATGTTAACCCTTTCCCCCCAAACGATTCTACCAATTCAAATGCAAGTGCACATGAATGCTTGTTTCTGTATTTGTCACACACACTGCAAGTGGAAAGGCTGGAGGGAGAGCTTGTGTGCTGGTGGGGAACATCTGTTTTATTGAGTTGCTAAAGTTGGGTGGTCCAAAGAATGTTTTGCATAATTCATAGATCAGGAAGAGAATTCAGACCCAATTCTTGGATCACCACCCTGATCAATAGATTTGACCACACTAAAGGGAAGTCAAAATGAGTTCACATGCTATGTGGGCAGTTTACTTGAAAATTCAGCCTAATCTCCAATCCCTATTAAGCATATAATCTATGAGCAAGGAAATACTTAAACGTGTAAGAATCCAATGCATCATATAAAATTAGAGATGTTACAGCTGAATTTCTAAAATTTCGAAGATAATTATTTTCACTAATTAATTTGTTGATGGGGCATGAGTAGTGTGGTGATTCCTTACTAAGCTAAGCTCTAAAATCGGGAAGCAATTCTAAATTTCATATCATGCATAGAGCTTCATTATCTTTTTGTGAGTTTCCTTCATTGACTTAATAACACCTTTAGAATGTGGATATTGACTTAAAAAGCATATATATGTTCTTTCTTTCTTTCTCACTATGCCCTGTTACAAAATATTCTGGGATTCTTTTAAGCAAGCTTTTTGTTTATATGCCTTGAAGATGTTAAGAAAGCACCCCACTTTTAATGAACTAGTTCCCCCAGCATATTGCAGATATCCAAAGTGCTGGACCAACTATCTGAATATGATGGATGCCTTTCCTTACTAGTATCCTTATCTAGGAAAAAGACGAACCAGATTAAGGAAATAACACTATTTAACTGTATCACAAGATTTATAAATAATGACTTTCACAAGGTTCCTCTATCATGTTCATAGCACATTCGATGATGCAAAATAATGAAGGGAAGAAAGGATGATTTTATTTTTAATAAAAAGAAATAAAAGAATCACTTTCAAGAGGCATCTAAAATATGCAAAATTACGTTCTTTGACTATACTTTGTATTTTGGAAAAAAAAGGATAATGTAAAGATGAAAACTGAAAAAGAACAATAGAGTAGGAATTTAACAAAAACATATGTCACGTGCCATTTATTGAACATGTTAATCAAGGATAAATCTTTCCCTTCAGGCCAAAATGAAAATAAAGGGGAAGGGATAGATGAGAAAAGGAAAACTCAAGTTAATACGAGTCTGATTGTTCACTCACTCTGTTTCGTTATTTTGTGATGAGGCCAAACCAAAACATATCAAATTAGACAGCTATCTTTAGTTCACTGGTTGGGAAGCAATCAAGCAACTATTGATTAAAACTTTGCAATTTATATTTACTTTTTAATAATTTTTTTAAGCTTTTTTCTAGAAGTTTGGAGGCGAAGGAAAGAGAAGAATTTGAAGAGAAAAAAAGAAGAAGGGAAGGGAAAGAGGTTAAACACCTGTCTTGTTTGGATGTTTAATACTGAGAAGGGGAGTGGGATAGAGAGTTTAATTATATAAATAATTTTAAAATTAATATTTTTATTTTTTAAATTTTAAAAAAAAATTATCACTTGAAAAACTAATGTTTAAAAAAAAGTTAAAAAAATTTATTTGTAAAATAATATGAAAGAGTGAGAGAGAGAACTTCTAAAATAGAAAAACTCAAAAAACAAGCTTTTAAGAAGTTTTAAAAAATCTCTCAAAACTTTTTCCTCATAATTAAGCAACTCTCAAATAAGATTAATCACCTTCTAATCCATTCTTTCTTCTCCTAAACTTAACTTCCAAACAATTTCTTTCAATTCAATGGTATCGTGTCTCAGTAAACTAATAAAGGTTCTCTTTTTCTCTTATTTACTTTACAAATTCTTTCTTTCTTTCTCTGGTAGTCTCATGGACTTGTCTAAAATTCTTTTATGGTTCTGGCTGATTTTTGATCAATCATTAATCTCTCTCAAATGATCCTTTGAGAATTCACACACAAAACAACACAACAATCCATTTAAGGGAAAAGAACAGTATTTACTATTTAGTTGTTGAAATAACACCATTTGCCATGGTCCTAGTACAGCTACTAATTGCGATAAGTAATTATTGAAAAACACATGCAAGCTTATTTCTCTGACTTCAATAGTTATAATGAATTCTAGAGTCGCACAAAAATAGGCATGCCCTTGGGACATATCCTGGCATCAAAATGCTAATAGTGTAGTTAAGTTAAATAGGAAAATACAAGAACTAAGAAGAACTCACCTCATGGCTTATGCAAAAAGCAATCGAGCATCAACAAGTCTTTTTGTTAACCTTAATTGTGCAATTACAATTCCCCGACTCATTTCAGCAAACGTAACTACAGCTTTTGAGAACACTCCAAAACAAGGCTCGGTACATGACCCTTAAGCATATAGTTAAGGCTTGCATTTATTAAAATAAATTTAATAAATAAATAACACAGAGAACGGGAAGCAGTCACAGAGAAACTGCATACAGAACACGGGTATCTGCTTTGGATATGATATGATGCAATGATACATGGAAATTGGAAGTGGAACAAAAGAAAGGCAAAGGAGAGGAAACTCCCCTTGTTGAAGAATGTCTTTCCTTTGAAGTTATTGGATGCTTTATACAGTTTATATTATATGTTTATATATTGGAAATGACCCTGGGCCTGTTCTGGGGACTCGGATTTTCTTTCTGGTACAAACAACTTAGATAATAATGTGAAGGGGGAAATGGTTAGCCAGGCAAATCTATATATTGAAATGTTGATTACAAAACTATTCTTAATTTGAGTGAAAAAACATGTTCTAAATTTTGTTTGTAAAGATACTTGTAAAAATATGAAATAAAATAAAATAAAATAATTATGAAAATGTTATAATTTAAGAATGATTACGGTAACTTCAGAATTTTTAAAATTAAGTCATATAATTAATTATTGGATAATTAAATTTGAACACAAAAAAATGTCACTAAATTATTTTATTTTTATATATAAAGATTCGTTAATACAATCGATGATGAAATTTTTTTACAGATTTAAGTTCATTTTTTAAAAATTATATGTAATAATTTATTGTTTAAATACTATTATAAAATTCTAAAATCATTTTAAAGTAAAATAAATAAATATAATATACATGTTTAAATTTAATTTATTTAAAAAGTATATTTTTAAAAATTATGAATAAATATTTTTCTATGTTGATATATAACTTTTATTATTTAAATTTACGGTTATAATTTATTACTTCACTTGCCGTTATATTTAAGTTAAATGAAAAAATGAGATCAGGTGTAAGAGTTTTTAGACCTACACGTCGGCCTAAGCCTAATGGGAATGAGCAATAAGGAAATGACAAGATGGGGTGCTCCGGGCACCCCCATTAAGAAAGAAGGGTCAAAGGTTTTGGGCCTGTAGCTTTCCCCGTCCCCCCTTCGTCGGGTGGTGCTTGTGTGGGGGGTGTGCCACCTGAACCTGAAATCGGGCTTGAAGCTCTCGCCTTACCAACGAGCCGACAGCTGATGGCTGTTGGTCACGACTACCACCAAAAAGCTCCAATGAAGATGAATATTTCACATTTTGGAGTGTGCATCTGTATGTTGGGTGTTCTTCTGTCGTGCGACCCGGCGGCTTATGTGCGACCTGTGGCCCACGCCTCCTATTTGTTCAGGGCGGGCGGCGTGAACTCTGACTCGATCCGGGTATTCAATCCCGCCGCTGAGATGCTTAGTTGACTCTTTAACCTTGATAGGAAGATGACTTATTCAAAAATTTGTGCATAAGGGTAAGGACACGGGAAAGCTCGACTGTAAGTAAAGGAGAAGAAGAAACTGGATCTCCAGCTCAATCACCAGCACATAAATAGAAGATATTCCACTTCTATGCTCTATTTCTATTTCTTGTTTACTCCGTTACGGGTGTAAGAAGATCCTTCTCCTATATATACATTTTATTAATTTTTTAATTATTTGAATTAATATTAAATCTTATTTATTCTATCGTTGCATAACTTTTCAAATTTATAAACTTATTAATTATTGTTCATTCATTCCACTATTCCTTATTAATTAGATATTAATTATCAGTTTCTAATAATAAAATTTAAAATAAATTATTAATATTAAAATTTAAAATTGCCATAAACTTTGCAAAAATAAATATATTAATATGTTAATATTAAAGTTAAAAAATAGATAAATATATTAATTACACTAAATTAATATTAATTATTATTCACTCCATTGTTGTATAACCTTTCGAATATATAAACTCTTTAATTTTTATTCATTCATTCTATTATTTCTTATTAATTAAATACCAAATATCAGTTTCTAATAATAAAATTCAAAGTAAACTATTAATATTAAAATTTAAAATTATATTAATTCTTATTCATTTATTCTATTATTCTTTATTAATCAAATACCAATTATCAGTTTTCAATAATAAAATTTCAAGTAAATTATTAATATTAAAATTCAAAAATGCATTGAACTTCAAAAATAAATACATTAATATGTTAATATTAAAGTTTAAAAAAAATGTATAAATATATTGATTGCACTATATTAATGCAATTCTGAATGCAAATTCTAAAACTTGTCTACATTTATATATAACTTTTTTCTTTTAAAAAATATTATTTTTTGTAATAAGGTAACTTATATATGGGGTGCTTACCATGTTAAAAGAATATTTGATCTTTAAGTTTTAAAATAAAATATTTATTGATCATTTTTTGTATAAATGAAAATTCATTTATAGTTTTAATACACATAAGTTCATTTAAGTTTTAATTATTACTTAAATTCATTAAACTTTACAAAAATAAATGCATTAATATATTAATATTAAAGTTACAAAAAAATAGGTAAATATGTTAATCACACTAATATAACCTGACTAATTTAAGGAATGCAATTCATAATGACAATAAAGAACTTAAATCAAGATGTGCTAAGAATGTTTTTAAAAGAACTTAAAAGTTAAATTTATATATTTAAAAACTTGTTCACTTATATAATATTGATAGAGAATATCATGGTTCAGATGTATTAAAATATTAACAAATAACTTTATAACTAAACTTCAAAATAAAAATAAAAAAGTAACATAAACGTATAGCTAAAAATTAAAAAAAAATTGTTTGCAAATAGTATCTTAATGCATCAAATCCATGAAAATTAAATATTTAACTCCTTTTTAATTATGACTTTCTTCAAAGACTCAATCCTTGAACCTTGTGTTTGTGGCTTCTCAACAACTGATTGACTCATTTTATCCTCATTCGTTACTATCTTGCAGGATTGCTTAGCAACATGAGTTACTTCAATAAAAACAATTTAAATAATAATCAATGTTTAAATCAATACTTTTTAAAATATTGTTACTTATTTGAAGTCAATTCATTTACTACCATTATAATATTAATTATTTGCTCATCTTCAACATTGCTTATGGTTAAGCCAACACCTTCATTCAAAGTCTTAATGCATCAAACATACAATAATTTTTTTTTTAGAGATTTGACAATAAGTAAATTTATCAATTGAAATAGAATTTCAATTTGAAGACGATTAAATTTATTCAAAATAAATTATAACCTTCAAATTGTCAACAATTTGAGTTGACAAAGTGTCATTTGAATCTCTTTTTACTCATCATCATTCCAATTTAAAAATATTATAGATTAAAGCAAAATTTCAAATTATGACTACCGTAACTATAACGGTCCTAAGGTAGCGAAATTCCTTGTCTGGTAAGTTTCGACCCGCATGAAAGGCGTAACGATCTGGATACTGTCTCAGAACAAATAACGTATTCTTCGATATTCGGTTATACGATATATCAGTATCTGTTTTGATCGCAAAACTACATTCATATTCATGATTAACCTCCTGAATTTGCAGCAATGAATGCATTTTGGATTCAAAATCCAATTTCAATTTTCATTAGATTTTAAAAAGAATTAGCTACTTTTCACTTCATTATTTCAATACAAAACAGACATAATATGTTTCAATTATTTCATGTATGGTCGTTCTTTGAGCTTGGAGCAAATTATCTTCCATTGAAATAGAAGAGTACCCATACATCTAACTTAATATTTGACTTATACTTGCATCATTTATATTCATCCTATACCACAAATTAGATAGCTTATAAGTTAACAAAATTAGAAAACATTGTACAAAATATAATGATGCCTCTATAAATAAAAAATAATTAAAAAGCATACTTATTTTTATAATTAAAAGTCTCTTTTATGTTATGATTGATATATAACTTTGTCCCATTATAAGCATTTGATATGCCTAAAGTTTTTAAAAAAATCATGAAATATAGTTTATTGATAATAATAATTATCACACAATTAAAAGGAGTTCAATATAGATAAAAATTATACCACTAAATATTTTTATTTTACATAATTGAATAATCATAACAGGTAAAGTATTAGAATTTTTATTATTTAGAAAATTAACCATGCAAACTCCTCTCATAAAGTGCAAACAATTCTCTAATTCATACAAAACAAATTCAATATAATATAACCTTTAATTAGTATAAAGTAATCAAAGGTAGAAAATAAATAGCAAATATTTTAACCATTAAAATATGTTTTAAAATAATACTCACCCCAAGTTATTGAGAATCAAATCAATATATTTGCTTTTCTTTCTATTTTTGCTGTCTCTTTGAAATTATCTTTCTTAACCACATGACCAATGACATCTAATTGAACACGTGTCAAACATTCTTTTAAAATAATAAAGTAGTATACATAGTTAAATATGAAGGCGATTAGAATTAAAAAAAGTAACTCATCAATTAGATATAGGTCATCCAACCACTTAAAATTTTTTAGAATAAAACAAAATCAAATCAGTTAAAAGAGATGTCACATTTGACTTCCACAACTCTGGTGGTTGCCATCAAATTTAACTTTCATTTGTGTTTAGTGGTTTGCATCTTTTTTTGAGAAGTAATTACCATAAAATTTTTCATGATATACATATTGCCTTCATGGAGTAATTTTTTATAACCTAATATAATATCTTTCTTAATAGTATAATGAATCATTGAATTCTGAAATAATGAGAGATGAAGGAATTAAATTAAATAATAAAAAAAATTTATGCACTTCAATTAAAGAAATCTAACAGTTTCACCTTTTCATCGACCAAAATCATATCACGCTATTAACTTTACTTTTATTTCTAAACTCATAAGAAAATCACAAATGAATGATTGAAAGTATTATCCTCCAATGTACATTCTCAAATTGTATGTCAGAAAGCATTGAAATAGTATGTGTCATTTTAGAGGAATTTTATTTCAAACAAATAACATATACTTTCCCTTATACATACCAAATAAAATATAATTTCTTTCTCACTTTGAGATTTGGAAAATACAATAAAAGATACGGATAAGTTATTATGTCATAATATAATATTATAATTATTAATTATAAAATAAAAAAATAACTTTATAAAATTTTTATGATAATGTTTAAATTACTTTAAAGTTTAAAATTGATTAGTATATATTAATATTATTACTAATAAAGATATTAATTATTTGAAAGAAAAAAATATAATATATAACTTTATAATTTTTATTTTTATAATATTTAATTTAAATTTTGAAAATTTTCTTAATTCTATCTTTTCAATAATAAAATTTAAAATTATTTAAACATTGCATCTTTTGAATATATCAAAATTAAAAATTAAAAATAAATATATTTAACTAATTTTAATTAAATCATTTAAAACTGTCTTAAATATTACACTTCTTGGATATATTAAAACTACAAATTAAAGATAAATGTATTTTTACTTATATAATATTATAATTATATTTATAAAATATTTAAATGCATTTGAATATTATAATTATAATTGCTTTTAATATTTATATAATATTTAAATATAAAATAAGATGTTTAGATATAAAATAGGAAAATAAATAAGATTAAATCGGATCGATCCAATTTAATCTCCAAACACAATCCGTTTTTATTTTCTGTTGTTTGATTTTTTCTTTTGGGTTTCCATCGGTCAATCACGGTTCGATAGGCGGCTAGGGTTTTGACTTTGTTATATGCCAACAAAAGGCTTAAACCTCGCATTTGCCTCCCCTGCATTCCATCTCTTCTCTTCTTCCCTATTTTTTTCATGAACGTTGATGATCAATCCCCAAAAAGATTCATTATTTGATGTCCCATTTAGTTTCTCTTCCAAGATTCTCATCCGGGTCATCCAAATTTGTTGATTTGATCTTTCCCCTTCTCAGAAACTGGCCTCAGCTCAAAGTTCTTCTTTTTCTTTTTGGGGTGTTCAGCATTGATCATTTGATTACGAATTTCATTTGATTGAATGTCAGTGTTTTGAACTTTATAAAGTTATTGATTCAGTTCGGTATCACTGATCATTCTGCGCGGAACACACAATTGGTTCTAAAATGTCCACTGAATGTTGATCTGATTGATCACCAAGAATCAAATCAAAAAAGAATCTAAATTTGATAGAATTGGATCAAAATCTGCGATTTGACAAATTCGCCATGAGTTTCTCTGACCACATTCCATCCTTTATGATGTCACCACCGTCATTTGCCACAAACACAGACGCCATTGAAGTGAGGCTTCAATTCCCAATGAACAATGAAACATTGGAGCCACATTCACCACATGATCAACCCCCTTCTTTCAAGAGGGCAAGGACTTGTGATATCAACCACTCCAATGGCATGGCATGTCCTCCAAGGATCAATCAGCATCCACAGAACAACACAGCCAACAAAGGAACAAGCCACATTTTCTTCAAGACTCGCATTTGTGCAAAGTTCAGACTTGGTGCTTGTAGGAACGGTGAGAATTGCAACTTCGCACATGGGGTTGAAGACATGAGGCAGCCACCACCAAATTGGCAAGAACTCGTTGGATTGCGCAATGAAGAAAGGCCGTCGTCTGGGAATTGGGATGATGACCAGAAAATCATACACAGGATGAAGCTATGCAAGAAGTTTTACAATGGGGAGGATTGCCCCTATGGTGATAACTGTAGTTTTCTTCATGAAGACCCTGCCAAGTTCAGGGATGATTCAGGGAGGTTCAGGGAGAGCACAGCTATAAGCATAGGAACTAATGGATCCCCAAAGTCCTATGGTGATGGCTGTGACAATTTAGATAGTAATAGGGCTGTCAACACAGGCTTAAATGTGTCTAGGGGGAATGTAAAGTCTACTTATTGGAAGACTAAACTGTGTATTAAGTGGGAGACAACAGGAAACTGCCCCTTTGGAGATGACTGTCACTTTGCTCATGGACAAGCAGGTAGATATACCCTCACCCTTTTTTATATTGGTTTTGGTTCTACCATGAATGAATGCTACTGTCTCTTGATTTGTTATGTTCCATAGTGTGAATTCAGTTTTGTGATATATCTGGATGATTTGTAATAAGTTCATTTTCTGTGATTTTCTCGTTGTTGCACTTGTTTGTGATTTGACCTTCAAAGAGATCATTGCTTAAACAAGATTCAAATTATGTACTTGAATGTGTGTCATTTTGGTTGTTGTGTATGATCATTTTGTATTTTTTTGTGCAACAGATGCTAATTCAGTTTAAAAGTAATTGATCACTTATCTTTTATGATTAGTGATTATCTTGTCTGAGGCATACGCCACATATGAATGAAATTCGGAATTACCTATAAACCCTGTTGCTGGGATTTTTTTTCTGATTGAGATGTCTAGATTTTTCAAGAATTAAGTTGTTGACCATCTCCATTTTGTAGTGGAAGTGGATTACTATAGTATGGTGTTAAAATTACTTTCACTTTGCAGAGTTGCACATTCTTGCTTGACTGATCCATATAATATTGTCTACTTGATAGCTTATGTCCTTCACATATATCATATGATGGAGACATTACCTTTGTTCATGGTTCTGAATATAATATTATTTGTGTAGCTTATCTGAGCATTTTGCTCCCTTAATTTCTGCTAATTATTGGCTTAGGAATTTTTATATACTTTCATAAATACTTTGGAGGTACTTTCATTAGCATGTGATAACTTGTATATGCTTATTGTGAATGGAATATATACAAGAGAAGTTCGGCAATTTTAACAATTAAAATTGCTTGGTTGCTAAGTATTTTTGTCTTGCAAATCAGAGTTACAAGTTCCTGCTGGACGCATTGAAGCAGAAACTGCAGGTGGGGCTGCAAGTTCAGTTAAAGCTACCGTTCCTTCGGTACCAAGAGCTACATCAGTTTCTGCTAATGATGCCCCTCCTAGCTACAGAGCAAGTGTGCCTCCAGCAAATGAAGAGGAGCAGGGTAAGAAGCATTTACTGAAGTGGAAAGGACCCAAGAAAATCAATCGAATTTATGGTGATTGGCTTGACGATTTACCTCTTGCTCACAACTTGCCAAGTAGAGTGGAGATCTGAGTTGAAATTTGTGCTCTTGAAGACACTCAAAAATTCGATTAGGACACATTGAATTCTTCCCTGCAGCCAGAATTTTGAAAATGTGATCACTGGTTAATGGTGATCAGTTCATAGATTTATTTGTTATTACTTCTTTTTCCTGATAATTGTTATAGTTTTCTTGTTAGAGATGTGCAATTGTCAGTACATCTGGATTTTGATGGATTTAAGAATTGAGCCACATTGGTGATTAAGTATCAATTGCTGAGAACGTTGTGTGGGATTCTGGGCTGGGTTCAACAATTGTCAAATTTCTGAACCCAAATCCAGGCCTTAAAGAGGTAAATTATATTATTTTATTTCTACTCGTATATCGAATTGTGATAATTTTGCATTTGTTTTTTATATTTTCTTCTTCCTCCTTCCACTGTACCATATATTGTTCTTAAGCTTTTACGTTGGATAAAGTTTTATACAGATGTTAATGCTCACAATGTATGTAAAAGAAATGTTGAGAACTCGACACATTTGAATCTCATTAAGTTTTATGCGAGTTTCAGGATGAAGAGGATGAGCCTAGATTTTTTAATAATAATAAAAGTGTAGCATTGGGCATGTATGTAAAACATTTTCTTACTCCTTGTGTTTGTAATAATTATAAGCATGCAAGTGTGTAGAAAACAAGAAAATAAATATCCAATGTATCAATATATATACACACACATGTTGAAGTCTTCACGTCTTGCAATTTTATAGGATATCTATTTAGTCTTTACCAACTAAACCAATCTTTGTTGGTGATATATAATTTATTAATTTAATGAGACTCTCAAGTATTTTAACGAGTTTAGAGTTATGTGATATAGGAGTGTTAAGATTTAACTTCAACGTACCAGAGTTGAATCTCGAAGATAACATTTATGAAATATTAAATCCTTCAACTACCACAATTAACTTTTGTGGTATAATTCTTTCAAAATTCTTATAAATTAAAATCAAATTCTTTCATCATCGTATCTCTCAATCACAAATGAGTGAGCCAGAGTTGATGTTGGTGTTGCAATGTATACGCAGTCAGCTCGTGTAAGTGTTGTAGCTTTTGTAATTTGGAGTCTAAATCCTAAACCCTAAAAAATTTACTTAAGCGAATTACTAATTTTTGCTTAAATTAAAAATATTTGCTTAAGTGAAAATTGTCAAATTTTTAAAATTTTATTATTTTCTTTTTCTCTAAATTACAAAATTTTTGAGAAATTTTTGTACAATATTATATTATAATCATACTACAAAAATTTTAAAATTTTAGAATATGTAACACTGCAACTATTTTTTAAAGTTATTATTCTTATATTTTTATCGTATTTTTAACAATTTAACTTAATTCTAAATAATTCTACTTTACTAATGCTTACTATAGGTAGGATACTAAACAATATATTCAAAATATTTGATAAAATAATATATATTAGAGTTTTTAATAACTAGATAGTCATTAATAAAAAAATAAATATTTTTTTAAGTTTTTTATAATTTAAAAAAGAAAAGAAAATTTTAAATTTTTTTACAATTTTAGCTTAAATGAATTTTCTGACTTATTTTTTTAAGTAAAAGTAAAATCACTTTTGTTAAATTTACTTAAATAAATTTAGATTGAAAACTACAATTCTTAATTAAAAATGTAGAGGATTCTTAAGCAAGAAAATGACTTATTAGACATTTTCACGTGCAAAAGTTCTAATAACATGAAAAAAAAAAAAAAAAAAAAAAAAAAAAAAAAAAAAGCCAAACCGGGTTTCAACTGTTCATATATATATATATATATATATATATAAACTCCCCTTGAGAGATACCAAACACGGGGGAGGGAGGAAGGACAGGTCACGGTTTCCTAGTTTGGTTTTTTTCATGGTTTGTAGTCAGCCAAATCATAAGTGGGACCCCAGGTTACCATATGACGCGTGTCGATACCACATGCACTCTCCATTCACCTGTCACCACCAACTTTTTCTTGGTTCCCTTTGACCCTTACCATTTTCAACCCTTCAAAACTCACCTACACCCAATCACCATGGAAGCAAACATTGAAGTTTATCCTCCTTTCTCCTACTATCCAATCCTATTCAAAATTCTCTATCTCCCATCAAACCCCTTTGTCTCTAACAAGAGCTTTCTCTCAAACCCTCACCATGTTCATAAACTTTCAGTCTCACACCTTCGCCGGCAACCCTCTACACTCCAAATTCTCGAGTGAAGCTTCTTCACCCTCAGAAGCTCTCGAAGCCCTCAACTCCAGAATTCTAAACAACGCACTCTCTTCTTCCTCCCCGAGCTTCAAGGTGCTGCCTTTCAGAAATGGGAGGCCTTTAGCCTCCTCCACCGCCGGCACCGGCGACTCGCCTCCGATTTGGCATCTGGGTTGGATTGGATTGAACGATCTCAGGGGCATTTTTGAGAATTCCGGTGCCCAGTTGAGCGTGGACTCGTTGGTGTATCTGGGTTCGAGTGCAGAGGACAACGCCGTTTACTGGGCAATCGATGTTTCCGCTAAGGTACCTGAATTGGATAGCAACATGGAGTTGTGCTTTGTGGAGCTTCGAACGCTCATGGTGGCTACCGACTGGGCCGATTCCCAAGCAATGGGAAACTTGGCTATTGCAGGTCATGTAAGTTAATTTTTTATGCATCTGGCCATGTTAAAAAGCTAAGAGTAGAAAGATTTTGTCAAAAATAATAAATATTTATTATTTTAAGATCATTAAAAAAATTCAATATATAATTTTTAATGGTAATTTACAGGGTGTATTTAATGTTTTTGACACGTACTTTGGTAAAAAACCGAATTTTTTAACATGATCTATCCAAGTAATTTTTGCTGGAGCTTGTGTTGCTTGTGAATCTATCGGACTCCTTCTCCATTCCTTGGTATTAAATACTAAGTTTTTATAGAAGCTTTCTGCAATTATATAGTTATCAGATTTAGGTTTGTGCACTATACATGTATGTGTTGTATCACAATTTCAACTATTTCAATCAGTGACTATCACTCCACAGTGCAGAGTTATCTTAGAGGAGTTAAATCAGCAGTTATCTTAGAAGGGTGGGCTTCTATTAAATTATTATAGTAGTGAGTAGTGTATGATAATGGTAGGGCAATGTCAATGCAACTTCCTAATTAGTGGGTTTGGCCTGGCCAGGCTAAGGCACTGCTGGAATGGCATAATATTTCACGATTTTGTGGATATTGCGGGGAGAAAACAGTCCCCATGGAAGCTGGGAGAAGGAAGCAATGTTCAAATGATTCATGCAAGAAGAGGATATATCCACGTGTTGACCCGGTATGTTATCTTCTGTTCCAAGTTTTGTATGTATAAATGGATTATCAAACGTTTGCTCAAGTGCTTTTTGGTAACATGATCTTGTGCAGGTGGTCATTATGCTTGTAATTGATACAGGGAGTGACCGTGCTCTTTTGGGAAAACGACCGATGCTTGTACCCCGATTGTATAGCTGCTTATCAGGTTTCACAGAGGTGTGTGTCTTGACAATTTTGAGGCCTTTCTATTTTGTAGGGACTCGAAAGATTTTTTTCTGTTATAGCCTGAACAGCATAGCTTATTCTCATTATCTGCGTAAATAAAGAAGAAAGGCATTTGAATTCATGTACAATAACAAGCAATGGTCATGATATTTCCTTTTCATAAAATGACATTTGTCTGTTTTTGTTCCTAAAAAGCTCCCATTTATGTGGTCTGAAATTCTTGGACTTCCTTTTGTTCTTTTAATTGGTAAGTATTGTAGGTTCTGATAGACAAAAGACTGTAGGTCCTTAGAAAGAAAAGTGATGCCTGTAAAGCCAGATTTCATTAGCATAAGAATTCACTTTTTTGCAGGGATAATTTTCTAGTTGTGTTTATTTTGACCCTCTTTCCATCTATATACAAATTTCATACCCTATTATTGTATTTAGCCAGGAGAAAGCTTGGAGGAAGCTGTAAGAAGAGAAACATGGGAAGAGACTGGTATTGAAGTGGGAGAAGTTGTATATCACAGTTCTCAGCCATGGCCTGGTATAACTTATGCCAAATCACTTAATGTTAATTTACTTTATGCTTTTATAAATTTATTATTTATTTGTTGTTTACATGAATAACATTGGGGTTTATAACAGTGAGTTAAAATTTTATTAGCAATTTCTGCTATTTGGATATGTTTTTGCTTGTATAGTATTGACCAGGGTGAAAACAAATTGAGTCAAACTGAGTTTAAACTCAGGCTTTTGTCAAAGAAACAAGTTATGTAAGTTTGACTCATTTATTTAAACTAGCAAAATTTAAAACTTGATCCCAGCTTGTTTAATACCATAAAGTATAAGTTCAGCTCATTTATCCCATTTATGACTTGATTATTTTATTTCCCTTTATCAAATATCTTCTTGAAGTATCTTTTTAGTTGATTCGTTCTGTGTTTAGTACTCATTTATGATTGAAAATGAAGAAAAAATTGAAATAAAAGTTTTTTACTTCGGTTCATAATTCAATATTAAGATAACTTTCACGATCTTACAGATTTTAGTTGCTTTTTAATTATTATATTTTCTGGGTACAAATTGTAATTTTCCCCTTAAGTAAAACTTATTACTTGCTTGGTATTTATGCTCACTTCTGTGAAAACACACAAATGTTTTTTTTTTTTTTTAAAACAAAACACATGTATGTTAAGGGGACTATTCATGAGCTTTTAATATCAAGCATATAAAGCTTGAGCTTGATTCATTTATATAGTTGCAGTTTTCTTACAATGTTGACCGGGAAAGATAGAGCCCTAAATTATCTCTTTCAAGCCTCCTTATGCAAGAGTCTTTTGGGTTTGAAATATAGACAATGGCACAGGCTCACCCACCTAATACTGAAATTAACTTCTTATTAGAAGAATGGGTATGACAAGGGTCAAACTCTAAATGGCTTGATGGTAGAGGCTCTATTGAGAACCGGCCATCTCAAAAGCTTAACTTATTAGGTAATGGCTTATGATTGATTTTATACTAACATCTTTAACACTTTAGGTAAATAAACAAGATTGGTTAAGCATGTAATGCTCAAATAGTTTGCTCTTAACTCATATACACCCGTCATCCATGGTATTAACAATTGAACTTGATTCCATCCATTTCTTTATAGCCTTGCTTTATGTTCCTTTGTTTCATGTGGCTATTGGAGGATGTGGATGACTTCTTTTCTCCAAATTAAACGCTGGTAGTTCTGTGGTGGTTCGGTCTTGTTCAAAGCAACTTAAATCAGCGTTAATATCTTAAATATGTTTGAACTCTTAATTTTTCTCTCATGTAGGCAGCTTTCAGAAGTATAGGAATATAAAATCTGATGTAACGATGAATTAACATAATTACATGTATTGTACTATTTTTGTTATTGAATTTATAATTATGTTCCTTCTTTTTTTGTCTATTACTAAAGCAATTTCTATTGTTTTTGTTGCTAGTTGGACCAAATAGTATTCCATGCCAGCTGATGGTTGGATTCTTTGCATATGCAAAATCCCTTGAAATAACTGTGGACAAGAAAGAGTTAGAAGGTACATTGACCTCCCTTGTATAATTGAATTTATGCCTGCCCATTATTTACATGCATGGCTTAAAATGGTGAGTTTGCTTGTAAAAACCTATTCGTGAGACAGACTTCTGTAGATGTAAGTTTCGGGAGTGGCTGAATTCTCAATTGTACAGGTGCCGACTTTTGTGGCTGAAATATCAGCTGCACAATGTACATACGTATGGTGTATGACTGTACACAAGCTTATTCATTTGGAGTTGACCTATGCTGATGATTTTTATTTATTTTCTTGCATGATGTTTGCTTCTATGTTATGATATGCACCAAGTTGTTGATCCACAATGATCAGATATCATGAGAAATCATGGTATATATGATAAATCATAAATCACTGTTAATCTTTCTTTGTTTAAGAATAAACTGAAAAAAGAGTGGGAAGAATATAAGGTAGTACAAGAAGTTAAGAAAATACTGTTTAACTTTAGTTTTGTTTTCCCTCGCTTCTGTTTGCAATCCTTGTTATTTTTATTATTAAAAACTAATTAGATCTAACTCTACACTAAAAACTAGCTTAAAAGAAGATAGCCCAAATCTGATAAGGACTATTTTGTTTATAATTGAATTTGATGCAAGACATTTTAACATACATTCCTTCACACTTAAGACCTAAGACTGGACATCTGGAGGATGAAACTTACAGCACTAAACATTTCAGGGTCCCAACATCAATACTATTTTTTTTTATCGACTCCCAACATCAAGACTGAATTTACTGTGCTGCCGTATTATAAATGGGTCAGGTCTAAATTCAAGGAGGGAAGATTGCCTGAGACTTATAAATACTATTTTGGCAATGTGAACTATCTTAATATTTTCGAGGCATGTTTTCATGAAAAAAAATAATTGTGCAGTGATTTAACATCTTAAATCTTTCACTTCCTCCCCCACACTGCATTATACATTTTCTTTCGCTTTTGTATTTGAACTGCAACAACTGATTCGGCAACTTCCTTGTCTAGATGCTCAGTGGTTCAGTAGGGAAGATGTAAGAAAAGCGTTGACGTTTGCTAAATACAAGAAAGCCCAAAGAACTGCAGCAACAAAGGTGGAACAAATGTGTAAGCGAGTAGAAAAGAATCAGAGTTTGGCTGCAGATTTCACCGTGGAAAGTGCTGATGAACATGCTTCGATAATTGTTCCTGGACCCTTTGCAATAGCCCATCACCTTATTTCATCTTGGGCTTTCTCAGATCAAAATGTAGGAAATGGTGTTGAAAGCAATTCAAAACAACCTGTCGGATGTATTACAAATTCGTAGGAGTGACTGAAATTCTTTTTCAAGGAAGCTTTGGAAATAAAGCTTATGTTATTACTTAGAAGTATAATATATCTTTTTATCTCCAAGAATGTATAGGGGTTCTGTGCCGATGATGGAATTTTCCCATCAAATCGTTTTGAACATTCTGCACTTCTGTTATTGGAGAGCTTGACTTTTGATTTTGCATTATTATTTCATGTACAACACGTATTCTGTATTATCTCTGAACCTTATTAGTATTATACAAGACCATCTGCTTTCTGTTATAGTTACATCTTGTTTCTTTGTTTACCTTGTAACTGATCTTAATCTTGTGTTACCAGAGTTTTGGGGTAGCAATGCACTCTTCTAGTTCTAGCAAGTATTTACGAGGCCTATCATGTGATTCCTATGCTTGTTCAGTAGGATTCCTTTATGCAAGGTTGTCGTGTTTAAGAGAGCTGTTGTTGAACTCTGAAATTCTATGCCTCCTATGTTCTGGAGGAGGGTTGAGAATCACCCGTTGCATTTCAACATTTTCAAGATTTCTCATGATTGGCAAGTGACAAATTATTTCAGTCTGTATTATCCGGCTATATGAAACAGAGAAAAGCATATCCTTCCATCACATGGAATGATTTTATGACAAACCAAAACTCAAATACTTGCAAAGGAGCTAGCAAGAGAGTTTTAGTGCATACTAAGCCACGCCAATATTCAAAAAGGCACTGCAGACAAGCTAAAACTGTCAAGTTATCAAATGTTATTCTGGCAAGAAATGTAAAAACCAATTTCCACGCTCAACTACACAACAAATTCTCTTTTTATTCTTCTATCTATCAAAGAAAGGTGCAGGTGGCAAAGGGAAAATTGTCTCTACGTGAAACCGTTTTCTCTTTCTACAGAAATATTCCAACCATTATTATGCCAGGCTTTGGAAGGAAGAAATGCTAAACTTTCTCGTGTACCTTTGCTGTTGTTTCTGCCCAGTTTATAGTTGACCTTGCCAAAGCATCCATTGGGTCTATACATTTCTTGAGAAGAGGATCATTGTGAGGGAGAACCCCCAGCAAATCATCAGATGCCAAAATCACCACGTTCACTGCCATGACCAAAAGAACATGGATTGCAATTCTCAGTAAATTCCTCGCCCCTTCAATGTCCTTTCTGTACAATGCCTCCATTGCAGGAACCAATATGTGTTCTTCAGTTGCTTTGTCTAGCAACACTACTTCAAATCCCTGCAGATAAGCTTTATCACCATATGCCCAAAAGATGGAAAAAGATCCTTTCATGTGACATATGTCGTGTACAAATTTTGTGTTTCCCTTTTTTTTTTATCATTAATATTTACTGTTTTATTAACTTCTGTCATTAAGTTGAGTTAAACATACAAAAATAATATACTTTCATTAAAAAAATAATGTATTTATTACATGAGAGATACAAAAGCATAATAAATACTTTATTTTTAATAAAAAATTATTACTTTTGGATGCTTAAACTAGGTTAACAAAAAGTGTAAATTTTATATGGTTTCACACTTTCACTTATTAGAAGATAAAGATACAAAACTTCATGAATTTGTCATGTAAATTTTAACACGAGAGGATCCCAACTCCTTATTAAGACGAAAAATCATGAATACCTGACTTTGAAGCTTCTCCTGGTAATAACTAGCAACAAAAATTGAATCGGTAGTCAGCAGTCCAATCCTCACAGTACCTGCAGCATGAATTGGCTTCAACTTGGCATTCTTGAGCTCCATGGCCACACACTCACCAACATGAAGAAAGGGTAGGGAACTATCCTTGGATATTTCACTGTGCCATGCATGCGATAGATGGCAAGGCATGGCTAAACCACGAGCTCCAGACTGCTGAAGAAAGTCACTTTTGGACCTCAAATTCTCAATCACCAGCTCCTGATTCAATTTGATATTATCAATCCTGCTCCTTGCAGAATAAAAGGGACTACGCAATGAAAGAACTTTGCTTAACACAGGATCACTGGACACAACAAAAGGAGGACATTCTTTACCATTTCTTGAGCCCAAACATGCAATCTTTTCCAAGAAAATCAGAGTTGATAGAACGGATACCCCTCCTATAACACCAACAGTGTTTGGTTGGCTTAGCATGGAACCAAAACTTTGACATCTCATAAAGGAACTACCTTGCTCTGCATGGTTTCCACTCTCATCAGAAGATAACTGTAAAGCTGTACTTGAATTTGATCTTGCTTTGCACCTAGTCTGAGTCCTCTTTCTTAAGCCATCACCACTCAGAAATTGAGGGTGATTCAGTGTCTGTACGGACATCAATATTGCCCTTTCTAACATCTCTAACAACCCAGTTTCTACAAGATTTTCTTTTTTTCTTTTGCCCTCTGAATTATGAACATCTATCTATAGATCTTCTTCTTTCCACAATCTTATCATCATCATCAGTGAAAAGTTGACAAGTGCCCATGAAAGTTTTGTCACAGTCACAGCGAACCTTGAGAGCTGATTCCCCAAAACAGGATCTCTGACAAATGGACAATAATTCAGATTACCCCAAAGGATCTTATATATTAAAGTATAAGGTTTCATTTTATATAATAATTAATGGTAAGTAAAATGCAGAACGGTAGGTGACCCTCCCATACTGCCAGTGCCTTATATAGCCTATATCTAATATAAGGTTCTCTAGTGATAGTGTTTATGGAATCAACATAATTGTCATGTATGTCTTTTAGTGGTTGCATAATTGACTACCGATATCATTTGTATTATATATTAATTATTAATTTTCTACGAGTGCCAAGGCTACACCAATGTATGCGGTTTAGAAGATTAGTGAATGAATGAAAACAACGGGGAACTTGTAATCTTCGACTAAATGTGACATTTTTGTCTTACTGAATTATTAGATATTATTTGTTTTTTCTACAATGGCATAGAAAGCAATGAATGTTTGACGCGCGTGCTTTGTGTCCAGTGTTGATCAAATCTAAGGCACATCAAGTTCATCTGCCAATCCTTCCTCAGTTTTTTTGGTGTGCCCTAGCCTATGAAATAGTAGCTCTCTGTTTTCAATTCAAAATGGAAGAATTATTTGTCTTATGCTCAATGGTTGTCCCCACTACCCATTACTAATCAGTTCATCCCTCCATTTTTTTTTGTGTCATTTTAAGATTTTATACTTGAATTTTAAAAAATATTCTAAAAAAACGTTTCTTTTTTATTATATCCTTCATTAATATTAATTATTATCTCACTTATTTATTATCTTCTATCAAATAATCATTAATTATTAAAGATAACAACATAAAAAACATTGCTTATTAATTTTATAAAATGACAATAAAATAAAATTGTTAAGTGTCAAAGAGAAAAAAAAATATAGAGAGGAATCTTCAGAATACATACACTCCATTAAAACGATGTTCATTTTCCTTGAAAATTTTGTTGACATTAATCATAGTTATATAAGTGATTTGTGAATCTTGTTATTTTGATATATTATTTACAAATTTTGCAGTTGCAACTGTTTTTATTTTGAATGAATTGTTTATAAATTTTACAGTTAAAATGCTTCAAACAAAAGTTTATGTCGGGAAATAAATCAAATTATACAAGATGAAGTCCTTTTAGCTTCATTTTGTACTTCAATTTTGAAGATCCAAATATTGGCATGTGATTTACACTTTTGTGTTGGGTGCGTGCGACAGATGGAGAAGTGATTAACCTAAGACTTGCCTAGCCAACTAATCTGAGCTTGTACCTTTGATTACTGCTTTGAATAATCATAATTCTACTTGAAGCTTCTTGGAACAAGGATGAAGGATCTACCACTCTCATTTACGAAAAGGATGTGTACAATGGGTCATTATATCACAGCATAAAAAGAAAATTATGCAATAATTGACAAGGTAATAATTAGGTCCCATCTGGAAGATAGTGAAAACAAACTCATCAATCAGACACTGTTAGAGTTGAACCAGGCCTCATGCAATTGTATAGCCCGATCTGGTCTGACTTGAATTGTCTTGCATAGATCCATAGTTAAATAGGTTAATTTAAGTGGGTTCAAATTTAAATAAATTTATATTTAATAAACCTGTGGCTTAAATGAGTAAATTATTAATTTAGTTTACTTGTGTCTTCTTTTTAGTTTTGTTTAATTTTTTAACTTAAAAGAAATTTTTTTAATTAATTAACATATTAAGCTAAAGGAAGTCATGAATTTAACTTATTTAATTAGTTTGTTATACATACAAACCTATATAGACCTAGTACTGTGTCTGAAGGCCATTCCTATTCAATCTTGAAGTAACATACCCAGCATTCACCTTGTTCTAAAAAAAATATTATTTAAGCGTTATTAAAATATGTGAGTTAGAGTAGAAATATCTATGAATTAAAGTTAATCTGAAAAAACATTAAATCACCACTAAAAAAAGAGTGAGGTGCTAAATCAAAATAGCAAAGAGTTCAAATATTCATTAGTCCACTACCACTAACACTAAAGAATAGATTCTTCTAAAACTTTAAGTTCATGTCTCTCTCCAATGCTACTAAACATTTTTTTTTCAAAAGTCATGTTCAGGGATTTCAAAAAATCCATTAAATATAACAAAATAGAAGTTCACATTTAATGCGTGTAATTTTTTAAAATATGTTTTATGTGAAAACTTGTAAGTTTATAAATATTCTCAACAATAGTATCATGAGAGACCATTCCACTCTTTAAATTTTATGTATACAAAATAAAATAAAAATATATTTAATTTTATAATTAATATTTATTCTTAAAATAATTTTTGTAATTTAATAATTTATATTTTAATTGTTATATAAATACTTTATTACGTTTTTGTTTTTATTATTATAACAATTAAAAAAATATTGAAGTCACTAACTATAGAATATGACAAAATATTAATATAAAAATTAAAACATATAACTTTTTTGAATTATCAAAGCATATATATATACAAAAGTGCGATTTATAAAGGCTAAATATGGAATAATTAGACTGACTAAAATGGAAGAGATTGGATTTAAAAAAATGAAGTTTACAAAGCAACGGCAACGACTGGTCGTTTAACATTTGGAGAAACGATCAATAACGAGTTGTGGAATGTGTTTGCGGCGAAAACACTGAACCCTGGCTTGTGGTTGAATCTGTGTCCTTCTTTCTCTCTGAATCTGAATTGAAATGGCTGCTTTCTTGAGGAGGTTTGCAATTGCCCAATCCAATTCCTCTCACTCCAATTTCCGCCTTCCGTTTACTGCTATTGCCGCCATTTCCGGCGGAGCCTCCTTCTGTTATTACTATTCCTCTCCCAACCTCGTAAGTCCTAACTAACTATTCACTCCTTCGTTATATATTCTAGATTCTTCATCCTTTATAAGCATCACGGTCACTGTTTGCAGGCTCATTCACAACAAATTGATCAAGAGGAAACTAAAAATATTGGTGGGTATCCCCTGGATGTGTATTTCATTTGTGATTTTCTTTAACTTCCAATGCGTCACAAATAAGATTATGGACATTTCTTTTTCAGCACTCAATCCAGATAAGTGGATCCAATTTAAGTTGCAAGACACTGCCAGGGTTAGTCATAATACCCAATTATTCAGGTATATCCTGTACGAGTAGGACAATTCATGAATTTGTATACGTTTAAAATACCTCACCTCTGTATTTGTGTGATGCTGCTTTTTCTTTTGTTTTGTCCTTTAACTTTTGTTGACTTTAATTCCAAGAAGTTGTTCATGTGATATTTACTCTAGTGGAGTGAAATGTGGGCATGTATTTTTCCGGAGAAACAGTTAATTCTAACCCCATATACACACTTAGCTAAGCAGTTTACTTCTTACCCTTGTGTGGATCTGAACCCATAATACACTGCTAGTTACTATACTCAATACTCAATTCTGAAATAAGTATAAGTGTCTGGTGTCTGTTGGAGCTATAGTGATGCTCTAGTTAGCAGATCCGTTGTTGTCTCCATCTCACCGTGGTATAATTTAAATCAATGTTCTTGCTTTCTTGGAGAAGTCTGGGTTTGAGTTTCCATGAGAGAAGCAATTAAGTTATTCTTAAATTTCTTGCAGGCTCCTTTATTTAAAGTCTAAGTTGTCTTTATCTGATTAATAAATTGTATTAGTGGTGTTATATTCTATCAATAATGAAGCTTTGATTCATATCGCACCCAATTATTTGTAAAACAAAAAATGCTTGTCGAGCAATAAATTCATATGAAATGCTAGTGAAGAGAACTCAAATGCTCATCATAATATGCACCTAAACTGAAGCATAAGCTGCAAATTTAGAGATCAAGGGGAGCATGGAGATTCTAAAAAGTTTATTTGACCTTATCTTATCATGTAAACATTTAAGCTAGTGTTTGGTTAAGCTGATGAAAGTGGTTTGTGACACTTCTTTAGGCTCTTTTTAGCTTATTTCATGAGTTTCACAGTGATGCTTGCCAAAATAAGATGTAACTGTAAGTTTTCACGTGATAAGCTCTTATATAGTACGAGCTTAATTCAACTATTTTGCAAAAATGCAACCCAAATCATACAAGATGTGCTTTCATCAATGTTGCTCATATTCATTATCAAATAGCAAAATGAACTCAATATTCTCATTACTATTTTAATTTCATGCGTGCAAATGCACTAACAGATTTTATCTTGCATTTGTGTAACTATTTTCATTTCTCTATGACCGTATGCCAGGTTTTCATTTGATCCCACTAAGAAGTTGGGCCTGGATATTGCTTCATGCATTCTTACAAGGTGTGATATATTGTCGATAGTTCATATGTTTTTGATACTGGCATCATATTTGTTTTTTGGTTTCACATGTTGTGGACTCAAAGCATTTGTATATATGCAGGGCTCCATTGGGACAAGATGATGAAGGAAAACCAAAATTTGTCATACGTCCGTAAGTTTTCATATCGAGACAATGAGTGTACTTCATCTCAAGATCTCTCTTTATTCTGGCACCTAATCATTTAACCTTTTGGCCATCTTCCCTCATTGGTCAAAAATTGTCATAATTGTTCTTATATTAAATATTAGTTTCTTAAATTGTTTAATTTTCTTTTTTAGTATACTTATTTGTCTTATCACCGGTAATAGCTTTAGTATGATTAATTAGTGTTCTTGATGCCCCTCTTAACCCTGCATTTTTTGTGATGAATATCTATGAAAACCATTTGTATGGTGTACATTTTTTTTCTATGTATTTTGTTGACCTCAGATATTTGTTTAGCTATAAATAAATTATGTGAATAGAGATTGGAGGACACCATCTAATTTGACTTTTTCCCTTACAAGACAATTACATTTGCCTTTTCTTGATTATATTTTCCTTTGCTATATTTCTCTATCATGTTACTCCCATCCTTCTGTATTTCTTTTTGGGTTCCCTTTGAATTGAGTTGCATTTTTTATTCCACAGAAACTCTTCATTGGAAGTTGGAACTCTAATTGTCTTTGAATAATGTAATGCTCATCGTGTGAATTTCTCACAGTATTGTGCACTCTCTAATTGTATCTTTCCGTTAACCCTTAGAAGCATGGCAAAACCATCCTTTTCTTACTAGCTAATACAGTGTAGACAATAGAACTGCACATCTATGCACAATATATCATAGTACCTGTTGAATCATTTAGTTTATGCTCTTGCAAACTAAATTTTACAGTTTTAGTGACATTGATATTTATAGTTTTTAAGAGTAGGTGAAATTATCATATGAGTCTTTAACAAATAGAAATTTAGAAAAAGTTATAATATAGTTTGTGTAACAGTCTCTCTGCTTGCGGGTCAGTTTATGTACATTTACCTACCCCAGCCTCAAATAAATCTATTAGTGCTATTATTATTTACTTTTGGTGGAGGGAGAAGGCGTGATATTGGAAAAGTGTTAAAATAATAAGACACTAAATTTCCACTCAATGTCAAGAATCAAGATCACTTTTGAGATGCTAATAATTTCTTGTTTATTGTTGATATTTCATGGATACTAATTTAGGATGCTTGTATCTGAATCTACAGGTACACTCCCATATCAGATCCAGAATCAAAGGGATATTTTGATTTGTTAATCAAGGTATGCTGCCATTTTGAGGGGATTTCTTTTCTTATCCTGTAAATTATCTAGCATATCATTTTAATTTTTAAAGAGGCATTTGGGTGATTTAGTTTTCAAATTGTTGCAGGTGTACCCTGAAGGAAAAATGAGCCAGCATTTTGCAAGCTTAAAACCAGGTGATGTTGTTGAAGTGAAAGGGTATGTCATTTGCAATTACAATTTAAGATCAGAAGAATACTTTCCATTTTTCAACCTTTTATAAGAAACATGTTCTTTCAGGCCCATTGAAAAGCTCAGATATACTACTAATATGAAGAAGCATATTGGCATGGTAAGAATTTTCATGCTGGTAGACACAGTTTCATTTTAAAAAAAAACATGCATTTGAAAAAAATAAAAGAAATTTGTTTCTCGTTTTCCTCAAAAGTATGTTTGAATGACCTGCGCATATATTTTCCCAAAAAATGTACTTTGTTATTGCCACTTACTTTATTTTCCTCAATGAATGCATTTCATTTCAATATAATGTTACAAATACATTATGTTTGTAAAATTATCTCATTTTCCATGGCTGCACTTGCTTGGGCTCTCTTTATTTTTTTCCTTCTTTTTGTATGACTCAGATTGCTGGAGGCACAGGAATTACACCTATGCTTCAGGTAATTGAAGCTATATTGAAGAATCCTGATGACAAAACTCAGGTAGGTGGTAAACCTCTGCTTTGTGTTACCCCATGATGTACAGGTTGTCTTTTTATGCACTTTTCTTAATTATGCTATGGAATAGATGAGTTATGAACAGTTTTTCTTTTAATTTATTGAAACTTTTTTGGGAGCTTGATTCATATTGCTGGAATTAGATCAGTTTGTCGGTGCATATGAAGTATGTTGAATTTTTATTATTATTTAGTTTTGTCCTATAAAGATAATAATATCATAGCTTATAGTTTCCTTATACATATACAGATATCATTACTTTATGCTAATGTCTCCCCAGATGACATACTGCTTAAACAGAAGCTTGACATTCTAGCAACAAGCCACCCAAACTTAAAGGTAAAAATCTTGTTTAGCAAAGATAATATTTTTAGTCAATCTCTCATTGTCATGAATAAATTAATTGAACAATTTTTTTAAAACAAAACTTGCAGATATTCTACACTGTGGATAATCCAACAAAAAATTGGAAAGGAGGTGCAGGTTTAATATCAAAGGATATGGTTGTGAAAGGCTTACCCTGTCCTAGTGATGATACTCTAATACTTGTGAGTTTTGATTTTCTAGTAAAATCTACATAGTATCAACTGAGCTCTTCTAATATTATCCTACCAATGTATTTAAACAATTTGAACCTCTGGGGAAATTAAAAGATTTTTTCTTTTTCTTTGAGAACATAATGTATCCATATTGTCAGATGGCTAAATCACCCATATTGTAATTAGTAAGGCACTTTCCAGAACCTGTTGTTCTTGTTAAGCTTCCTTTGATAAGAAACCGTGCAAGAAGTACATATGAATGGGATGGAGAAATCCTGTATTGAAATCTTGATCTGTGTCAAAAGGCTTATGCCAAAATTTCTTCCTTTCAAATTATTTTAAGTTAATGTTTCAGTTTTTGGTTGGTGAGGTCTACAGGGAGATGGATTATGATGGTGGTGGTTGTGAAGTTTCATTATTTACTACAAAAAGTTCTGTAGTTAATGCCTTATGACCTGCATTTCAGGTGTGTGGTCCGCCTGGGATGATGAAGCATATCTCTGGTGAAAAGGCCAAGGACTGGTCACAAGGAGAGGTATGAAATTTATTTTTGTGGTGTGTATGATTTTATTTCCTGGATCCCCGTAATAAGGCATTCTATGGTTGACTTGCTACAGCTTTCTGGCATACTCAAAGAGGCTGGATACACTGAACAAATGGTTTACAAATTTTGAGAAATTTTGGATTCTTGCATCTAAAGCTTGCATGTCATCATGCACTTACCCTGCTGAATTCGTGTGCCAACTTGGTTTTCTGAAGAAAAACCTAAAGAGTTACGGTTGAAAATTCGAACATGAAATAAATCTAGAATTGCAGGGCAAAGAGAAATATGTAGTGTGTAAGTGTCTGGAGTCTCCAAAATTTTGTGGATATTTAATCATGCGGTTGTTCAGCATGGTTGTCAATAAAGGGTGTCTCGTGGGGGTAAACTTATTTTCCCACCTAGTTATTTTAACATTTACCTGGTGAGTAAATTATAGCATTCATAATTTATAAGTATTAATAATGTGTTTTTTTAATAAAAGGTTAAAATCTTAAGAGAGAGAGAGAGAGAGGTTATTGTAGTGTTTTTCTTAGAAAAAGTTCTTAAAATGAAATGTTTGATCTGAAATATATTTATACCATTTTTTTAAAATACTTTAACAAATAGATCTTTAAAACGAGTAAAGGGGGAGTTTTCTTTAATAGAAAAAGTCAACACTTTGGATGTTAGTTTTTAGTGGAAAGGGAGAAAATTAATACGATGGTTTGAGAGTTTTTAAATGAAAGAATTAGAGTTTTATAAATAATTCAAAATTTTTATAATTACATATTTTTAAGTTTTTTTAATTTAAAATTTTTTGTATTAACACTTTTTACTTCTTTTGTCTCTTTTTTTACCTTTCAAATTTTTTATTTTCTTTTTTTAAATTATTAAATAAATTTTTTAAAAAAAGTAAACGTGTTTAAGACTTTTATTTTCTTTTTTATTTCCAGAATTATATTAAAAAAAAATTCAAATTCATTACCGGCATGTGTTGTTTTAAAATATATATTTTACAAATTAAATTTAAAATTTGTTATCATGCCAATCAATCTGAAGTTGACTCACAAGCATAGCACATATAAAAAATTTAAATTAAGTCATATATATAGTAAAAAGTCCATTATTTATTAATTTAACAATTTTTGTAACTTTAAATTTTTTAGCGTTACCTAAGGTTGATATTAACATCATTAATTAAAGTAGTCGTACTTGATTTAGTTTATTTTTAAAAATAATACTATTTTTATTAATTTAAAATATTAAAATAATTATTTACTTTTCAAAGTTTAACATTTGCAAACCATGCTAATTAAAAAATAAAAAAAGTTATTTGAAGATTATGAATCATTATTAGAGTTGGCGCAGCATCACCACAGGCTGATTTGGAAGATCAGTAGTAGAGTGCAAATTCCACTGCAGTCTGCGGGATCTGATTCGGAAGATCCGCATTCAATCATTTGTTTTGAGTGACTTCATCACGTCAGATATCTATGCAGAAGCGAGATCACCAATCAAATGAGAGAGAGTTACCTCCAACGGTGTCCAGTTCGTAAACTCATCACATTTTGATTTGTTATTTCATCACCCAAACAAACAAAAAGAAAAGCTATTATTCCTTTTCAACCCTCCCTCGTCAAATAATACATCCTGTTACAATGCTAATTATTTTCAAATAATTGAAAAAGTAACGTTACGAAGAACACTTAATGGTGTTGCTTTTGTTCCTCTCAAGTGATTCGAGATCACATAATTTCAGTAACGTCTGCAGTGTCTTGTAAGAGAGCATTCTCACGTATAGAAGAATTATCTCGGTTGACTTTTTATATCAAACAATGTATATAATAGATAGTGAAAGTTAAAAGATAAAAATTATTAATTTAAAAATAATTTAAAATTATCTTTTACCATAACAGGTAATATTTCTCTCTCTCTTTTTTCTTTATTCTGGTCATGGGCCCAATTGGAGCCCAAAAATTTGAAGCCCAACAAACTGCATCGTTGGTTTGTTTGTCCACAAGAAATAAACAAAATGGTTTCTCTTTGAGGATGGCAATGCCATCGTCTGATTAACATGGAACCGTAATGTAAGAGCGAAGTTGGAACGTCGATGGAATATTGATCCCTTCTTCTTCGAACGATCCGTTTTCAGTCTCCGAATATGGATGAAGATTTGGTGAAGCGCAACACCGATTGCGTTTATTTCCTGGCCTCTCCCCTCACTTGCAAGAAGGTTCTCTTCCGTTTTTTTTTCCCTCCGTTTCCCTTTCTTTGATTCCTCTATTTGCTCTCCGTTTAGGTTGTGATGCTTGTGTTTGCAATTCCGGTTGCTAATTCGCTCGTTGTTTTGCAATGCCATTGCTCTAACCCTACCCTTCTATCTTCGATTGTCGTAAACCTAGCTTTTGTTTCTGTTTTCAATTATATTCTGCATCCAATTTAACAATGCTTGGTCTTGTGGAGTGTTTGTGTGACTTTTCTTTTGGTAAGTGTCGATTTTTCTAACTTTTAGATTTGATTAATTTCTCACTTTGTTTTTTCAGGGTGCTGAGTGTGAGTATCGGCATAATGAGATTGCGAGGCTCAACCCTAGGGATTGCTGGTACTGGTTATCTGGACATTGCCTTAATCCAACGTGTGCTTTTAGACACCCTGTGAGTTCTTGTTTTTGCTTTTTCTTCACTTTGCTCTTTGATTTGTTGCGTATGTGTAGTGGACTGCCTGGAACTGTGATATTCGTTTCGGTTGGATTGTCTTGTCACTTGCGTGGTTGAGCAATTGTTTCTGTTGTGAATTCATTTATGATTATGGTTTCTGAAAATTGACCATTTCTCAAATATGTGCTCTAAAGAAAGAATATGTTTATGTTGAACATTTAAATACCAACTTTGCTACATGGCTGAAGCTAGCTGGTAATAGGAGCCAGCTCAAGCATTACGATTGATCTCTAAGTAGATTGTGATGTAAGATTAAAAGCGCGGTAGCATGTTAAATAACAGAAAATATAAAATTTTAGGTCTTTGTCTTTTTTATGTTCTTAAAATATCAAATTGAATGCCTTCATGTTTATGAGATTGGGCTGTATTTTCTAATGTCTTGATTTATACCCGTAGTCCAGCAAGGTACATACAATGTCATGCATAATTTGTCACTTGTTCTGCTCTGTATGTAGATTGTGATGATGCAAGATTGCACACGTTTTATTATGTGTATATTGTACATATATGTTATTTTCTACAGAGCAGTACTAAATTTTGTGGTCATTTGAACAATCCTTGTGGTGTTTTCTAAAATGTCAAATTGAAAGGCATGGGATTATATTTCATCTCCATGTTTAGCATTTCCTAAATGTCTCGAGTTATATTATACCCACTGGCCATCTGAGAATGGGATAGAAGAGTGTCTCTCATAGTTTGTCTCTTGTTTAGCTAAATTATTTGGAAGTTTTGTTACCTTGTATCTGACTTGATGATTAGGGTTCCTTGCGTAGGAAAACTGATTTTGCTTGGTTGAATAGATTTCATGATTAGAATTTTCAGATGTATGAACAGGCTCATTGAATTCACTGCATTATGATTATACAGTGAATTTTTTGTTACTGTTATCTGTTTCACACACCCCCTCCATATTTGATATCCATTTTTTTTACTTGCTCTTGTTTTACAGTAATCTCTCCTCTCAGTTGTTACCTCTTGCCATTTTCAACTAATTTTTATCATATTCGCAGCCATTGGATGGACATACTGGAGTGCCATCTGAACCTTCTCCAACTTCATTACCTGCAAACAAGACAATTGTTCCCTGTTATTTTTTCTTCAATGGATTTTGCAACAAAGGTGACAGATGCTCGTTTTTGCATGGGCCTGGTGATAGCTTTATCACTGTAAAACCTTTGAAGAATGACAATGGAAGCACTGATGCACTCAAATTAGAGAATAAAACTTCATCGGGAAATACAACAGGTGTAGCATCAACACCCATTAAAACACAATTTGACAGATCTTTAACTGCTCCAAAGGATTTGTCTGATTTTGAATTTCAGCCTATGGAAGATCGTCAGCTGCCATTATCCAAAAATGTTAAGGGGCATGGTGATTCCCTTGAGATATCTGCTTTAGAATCCAAAGAAGCTACAGCGACTAGGTCGGACTCTGTGTTTCCAGATGATGGCTTTGTTCATAATATATCTCATTTAGGTACTGAGCAGAGTTCAGAGGAGCAAGTAAATAGTCACATAGAGCCTGAGGAACGGTGGGAATCATCCCCTCATTCCCCTGGATTTGATGTTCTTGTTCATGATGAATTGGAGAATTTGGGTTATGAGGAAGATTCTGAATATTTTCAAGTGCTTGATAGGGATGACCAAGAACTTAATGAGCAATACTTGGGGTATGAATTTAAAGATTCAGTTGAGTATGATACTATATGCCCAGAAGCTGATATTCTGTATGAACAAGAAACATATGATGATTACAGATGCTTTGATAGAGATCTTAGTCATGCTAATGGCAGAACAGTTCACGCTTATCCCAGAGAGATAATCTTAGATTCTATATTGTCCAGGAAAAGGATCCGAATGTCGGCTGAAATGGCCGCTTATGACAAGAAGTTAGATCTACGTGACCATCTGAGGAGACGTAGGGAAATTAATGGTCCTCCTGTTACAGGTTTCTTAAGAAGACACGAATCATCTTCTTTGATGGCTCGAAACCAGGAAAGGCATCAAAGGCATGGCATTGATCAGCGGCTAAGTAGAAGATTGACATCACAATTGGGTTTTAGTGCTATAGATTCGATTGGAGAGGTTGAAACTCTTTCAATTGCTAACAAGCACAGATTACTCGGGAATTCCCAGCAACATAGGCCAAGGAAGCATTTTAAAGAAAAACTAGCTAAAAGGCAGTTCATTTCATCTAAAATATCCAGGAAACCCGTTTTAAAGCAAAGGAGATTTATTCACGAGTCCATTACATTTTCAGGACCTAAGACTCTTGCAGAAATTAAAGAAGAGAAAAGGAGGGCTGAAGAAAATATACATTGTAAAAGCATGTCATCTGATTTTCAGGATCCTAAACCTCTGAGTGAAATTCTCAAGGACAAAAGGACCATGGATCAAGTGAGAGATGGCAATACCTGCCACAAATGAATTATGAGATCAAAATGACTAATGACTTCAAGTGACTAATATTTTTTCAGAAGATAAAGGATAAACTTGGCTGATGATGGTGGTCTTTCTAGCATCCTTTACTGTGCTAGATATGATGACCCTGCCATTACCGTTAGTTGATGATAAGTTTTCATTCCAATGAGTGGAAGGTTATGTGCGCCCCGAGGCGAAGAAGATAGATATTAGATAACCAGTGTTTGACTAGAAAGGATATCTTCTGTAGTTAGTTGAATATTTTGATTTGGATGAACGACGTCTTAATCTAGAGAGTGGATTACTGATTTACTTTAGTTTTATGTGTGATTTTGGCCCCCTTTCTTTTTGCTTGTACAGAGCTTAGAAGTACTCACTACCTTGTCTCGGTCGATGTTCTTACATGATAAAATGTCCCATCTTTGTGGATTTTCACCGTAATTATCGTTACGCATATAAATATTAGGTATACGAAAAACTAAAGTCGTCGGACATTGGGATAAACGATGTTTATTTCTGAATTCGAGTATTCGTGCACAGATGCCATTTTAGATTCACATACAACAATCTTTTTTTATTATTATTAAAAAATGCATAGAAATTAAACATTTTTTCACCATCCAGTAACCAAGGGGTGGTTCCATGCTGTATCAGACCTGAAGGCTACAGCTAAACACAAAATCGGAGATTTAATAAAATTAATAAAAAAATTCAAATTTATTCGATTAGATTTTCAGATGCAACTCTTTTAATAAACTTTTTATTTTTATAATCTGTCCTAATAATTTTTGGGTCAATTGTTGATACAACCATTCCTGATAAAATAAAGCGTGAAAGCTAATTAGGAAATTAGAGATTTTAAGTTAGAAAAATTAATTAAATTTATACATAGAAAAAAAATAGTCGCTGGTGCTTACTAAATACATATTAAAATTTATTAAGAATTATAAAATAAAAAATTTATTAAATGCTCAATTGAGAATGTGAGAATTATAAATTATTGGAAATATAAACAACAATAAAATTAAGCATTTAATTGAAAATGAAAGAATATAGATATTTATTAGTTTTAAATATAATTAATTATATTATTAGAAAATTACACTGCTTATAAAAAATTGAAAGTAAAACTCTTGGTGAGTTTCCGATAAAGTCGATCTGGTCATAATGAGAATGAATCTCCTTAAATACCCAAAATTTTTAAAGAAATTTCCTTCCTCCTTCCTGCTTCCTGCTTCCTGCTTCCTTTTTATTCCATCTTGAGTTTATTTGTAGCTTGTTTTCTTTTAGTCAATTCGTAAGTGAAATTACTCTATGATGTAATGATAAACTAATAAATATCTCATACTTATACTTTTTATTTTAGTAAATTTTAAGAATATAAAAAATAATATACGTTATAAGAAAAATATATAATTAATTGAAATGGTTTTGCTTAATTATTATTTTATTTTAAAACTGTTTTTTTGAGAAATTATGGAATGTTAACTGAACTTGTTTATGTGTGTATGGATTAAAATATAGAGAGGTATGCTAACTAACGTTTTAAGGACCTGATAACAAAATTAAAAAATAAATTTAAAATATATGTTAGTTTATTTTAATGTCTGTAAACTATATTTAATTATTAAGAAAATTATGTTGTTTGTTGATTCTATTAGGATAGTCAAAATTTATTGTATTTTTAAAAAAATTAACTATTATATAAAATGTTTAGCTAACTAAATTTTAGGTTTTGTTAATTTTAACCTTTAAGGTTAATGATAAATAACTAATAATAGTAAAATTTTATTAAAAAAATATTTATTATATTTTTATAACTTCAATATAATAACTATGTATTTTTTTAATAAAAAAATTTTATTTATAAATGCTTAAACTCAGCTCTAAGAATTAAAGTTAATAAAATTTTTAAATTTTTTATATATACCAATATGAATTAGTTTATATTATTTTTTTATCAACTTATTTTCACATGATAATATAAGAATTATTTTTTTCTAAAAAAGACGTTGAGTTAGCCTTTTATTATTTTAAATTTTTATCTATTAATAAAAAATAACAAAAATAAATATATTTATTATATTAAAATATACATTCTTAGTGCTTTAAGTAATGTCGCCGGAAACCGATACACGACAATTTCACATCTTTACACGTGTTTTAAATAACAGAACTTGGGTATTATTCTATTAATTTGGAATAGACAAGCGAAATCTATGGCATTGAATCCGAGTTATGTATTTTTGTAGCCAAAAAGCTGTGTGATACTCTTTAGGTAAAATATTCCTTAATGATTAAAAGAAAAAAAGTTTACTAAAGAATTACTTATAATTTTTTATTAAAAATATTTAAAAATAATGAAAAAAATACATAATAAAACTTTAGCTCTTAGCTTCTTTAGCCTAACCTCATCTTATTCTGATGCCCACCTCTAATTTAGTATCTTGCAGTCTCCTCTAATTTCTAAAACGCATATTAATTTTATCAACACATGACGTCCCTTCCCTTCATGAGATGTTGACATTCTTACGATTAATTCGATTTCTGGTTTTATTTTGTGCTTGCCCCCATATTGTTAGAGAAAAAAAATGCTAACTATTTTTTTTTTTAAGATAAGTCTTTTGATCTTATAATTTAACAAAATTTAAAACAATGTGTATCACTATTTCCGTCTAACTTTGTTCATTGTATGATGACAAAACAGAGGTGTAATGCAATCAATTTTCAAATTGAAAATTAGGAGCATAATTTGTAAATTTTATTTTGGATCCAAGCGATAACAGGCTTTAAAATTGATAATACTTTCATCCAAAAAAATAAAATAAACTTTATATTAAAGCAAATTTCTAAAACATTAAAAAATGAATAAACGTACAATTTGATCGATGAAAGTGATATATTGTTTATCTTTGATCCTTGAAAGTGTTATCACATATTAATTAGTCCCAAAATATACGAAGTTTCTCATAATATAGTCTTTCTTTCAACGGCTGTTACAATGGACGGATTAAAAAGTTAACATGTATCATCATATGTGTTGCATCACATGTTCGCTCTACATGTGCTTAAAATATTGTTTTCGTATAAGAAATCTAAGTTATAATATTTTCCTTGTATTGTATATAATCCTAGTATGTCTTTATTCATCACCTTTGGTACACCTATAATCCAAATTACATAAACCAAACCAAAGAATGAGGACCTCCAATAACTGTACTATTAGAATTTTGGGTATAAGCCTGCTCTAAAATTGGAATAGAATGTGAACTTTAAGCTTAAATGAATTATTTATCTAAAATAATTTCGCTATTTAAACTTATAATGACCTTATTTTGAAATGTCACTGTAAAATATGAAACGAATGGCTTAGATTATAAAAAAGGAGAGATAGAAATTTCACTGTTCAATTATTCATTATGAAATGGTGTAATTTTGAACTTGCGTAGATAAAATATCTGATATTGACATCGATAAAAGAATGAAATTGTGAATAATTTTTTACATTATAGAGATCAAATTGTGCAATTTTGGTGACCAATGTGCCATTTTCAATGACCAAATTGGATGTTTACTTTTTAAGAATACAACGTGAAAATATGGTGTGAGTTGAATCCAAAGATTTGGTTTCTTCAAGAGTAGTCATGGAATGCTGAATACTATGGCACTACCAAAGAAGGGAGTTGCATCATGGTGATGGCACCTGGAATGGCAAAGTAAAATGAATACCCAGTGCTATTAGGCAAAAAAATAACAAATACAAGAGCGAAATCAAGATTGTAGATGTATTAATGAATCTCTGTCTACTTTTCTTTCAATCAATGTGGATAAATAATTTTACGAATATGTTTGGGTAGTAAAGGACTGAAGTTAAGTTTGACCAATATGAAGCCGAAACAAGGAATCACAATTCTTATTAGGAAATCCCATCAATGATAAGATTTGCATCATTATACTAAAAACAGTGAAAACGTATTAGCAGACACAAACCTTGTCCCTACTTACATAGTTAGGTGACACTAGAATTCTCAACTCTTGCTGTATATGTTACTCCTTTTTAAGTCAAAAAAGTAACACGTAATTAATGTCAAGGTTGTCAAAATCTTTAACCGATCAACATAACCAAACCCAGCAATTAGATTCCCCTAGTGATTTTCTTCTTTATATATTCCTTTATTTGTCATTTTCCCCCCAACCTCATCATCTCTCTAATTATCAAACTCTAACATCATCATATAACTACTAGTTGAGGTTTAAAATTTCCCTTCAATTTCAACCATATCACAGAGAAAGAGAGAGAGAGAGAGATGGCTGAGTTGCAGAAATCAGTAACATCCTTCAGAAGACAAGGGTCTTCAGGATTGGTGTGGGATGACAAGTTCCTTGCCGGTCTTGGGGACCAAAATCAGAATCAGAACCAGAACCAGAACCAAGAAGCTAAGGCTAACCAGAATCAACAAGGAAACGAAAGAGTTGAAGTAATAGGACAAATTGCCACGTTAGAGCGTAGCAGATCAGAGGGGGCACGCCCATATCGTACGGTCAACGTTGCACCATCTAAGGACCCACCTTCTCCCAAGCTAGCTACCTGTGGCTTTTGTGGTTTCTTTGGCAAACCAGTTTCTGCCAACCCCAAATCCAAAAAGCTTAGGTAAACACAACCTTCTTTCTTATTCTCTCCCAACATGTAAATCTGTGCTGCTTCTTTTTATCCTTAATTTCTTGTCTCCGTTTCAGTTTTGTGCTTTGTATTTGGGATTATTGTTTGTAAATTCCTTGGACATGTGGATGTACCTTGGTATGTAATAAGCTTATGATTGATTATAATCCAAATGAGTATGGACTATTGGGCCTACGATTGAAGGAGAAATTTACGATTATAATTTGTAACAATTAGCAGAGTAGTATAAGGTCGGAGAGCACTTTAATCGGTCAACATTAAGAAGACTATGTATTGTTCTATGAGAAACGTTCAACAACTTGGCATATTTTGAGGAATCATCAAGCCAATTTTAGCGATTTTGAAGTGTGATAATTAATCATGTAGGAAACGTCCATATAGTATGGTTTGTGCTTTCTAAACCAAAAAAATATTACGTGTATTTTTGCAACATACGTAGTTATCATTTTGTTGCGATTAGGTGTTCGGTCTTTTGTTGCTGCTTGAAGATGAAAACTAAAACGTTCGATGATTTTTTAGAGTTGCCTGTACCGTTGAATTTCTATCTTGCTTTGTCTTAAAGTAAGCTAATTCAGTTGGCTTAAACTACTAAAAGAATGAAACCAAAGATTACAGAACGTACATTTGGCAATTAACTAGCGTGTCGACATTAACTAATTTCACATGATATCAACAGTAGAATTATTATGACCCATATTTTAATCCACTGTGTAACTGGTTTTTTTTTTTTTTTTTTCTGTAATTCAACTTTTAATGAAAACTTTATTTATTATAATTTAAGCACATAAAATAAACTTGATTCAAAAAGTTAGCCTGTTAAATAAGAAGGTTTCATGATTGAAGTATCACACTTGACATCTTAATATGAAACTAATGAAGAAAAGAAAAGAAGAATGAAGAAATCGTCTAAATCTGAGACAATGGCCCTCCGGTGTCCCTCCGGTGTTTAGACTTTGACCGATACATATGCACACACGTCTAATAATATAAAGATAGCGTTATGCTCATTTAAAGCAAAAACCTAACTTGAAAATAAATAAATAAAATTCAAAATGGTTGATTCAAAAAATTGACAAATATTGAGATAAAATATGTATCTGTAATAAATTATGAAATCACTAAAAAATACTTTTCTCCTTTTTCTAATTGAGATGATTATAATTTTATATATCTTTTTAGTATTTTACGTAATGAGGAAATTTAATATGAAAAAAAAATTAAAGTAATTAAATTTGAGATTAGCGGATAAATATAGATATAAATGTAAAAAGATAATTTTAAAAAACAATTAATATTTTTTAAAAATATATAAAAATATTGTTAAATGACGATGAGTTCATTCATTACAAGGAGAAACATAACGACAATTGAAAATATTTTTATGTTCAAGAAGGGGGATTTATGCTTCTAATATATAGGCAAATTGATATGTCATTGTGACATTAATTTACTCTTGCATGTGTAATTCTAGGTTACCAACTTGGGGCATATATGAGAGAGTGAGAAAATTTCATTAATATTTACCATTTAATTTTACACAAATATTGGTTAGTATTAGTATTAAATAAAATCAATCTTAGCAAATCATGTTTGGAACGTGATTGATATTAAGTTCTCTCATCTCTGTGGACATGTCTCACACAGTTTTTATCAACAATGTGATTAGCCTTTTACTAGATTTAATTGAGATGAAAAAAAAATAAAAATACGACGAATATTAAAAACGAAGTAGATATAAACTATTTTACTTGTTTGAGATATAAAGAAATTAGTGAAAAATGTATACACACACTCTCGGAAAGGTTCTCCTTTTTAAAGATCAATTTATTACCAATTAAATGAAAAATAATTTTCATCTAAGATTAAAAGATCTTTTTATTCATAAAAAAAATAGAAATTTTTTTTTATCTACTTTTATCTCTCTTTCTCTTTTATTTCTTTTCTTCTTATTTATTTATTAAATATACCATGTTAAAGATGATTTTTCTGATTAAAAAATTTAATTTTTAATAAATATATTGATAATTTTTTTACCATTTTGATTTGGACATTGATATTTTTCTTATATTTCTTAAAATTAATTTTTTTAGTTTTTAATCGATTTTTATATTACAAATGAGACTACCTTATCTAGGATAAACGTCACATATTTAATAAAATTATTTTTTACAGTTTGTCACATGTAATTTTTAATATTAAAATTGTCATGTAAATTACACTCTCTCAGATATTGAATATTGCACGGGCTGTTAACTGGTTCTTCTTATATTTTTCTCCAAAAAAATTTCTTGTTATGTTTGACTCGTAGAAAAATTACTACCTAATACTGCAACACTTTTATCTAAGATTTAATGCTCAACCAATAAGAAGTATGTATGGTATATTAAACGACTCACACTCTTAAAAAAAAAAAATAATCAAATATGCAAATTGTAATTGTTAAAGAGTGATTGTATTAGAGTTAGTATTTCAACAATACCTGTGGATGTATCTTTTCTTTCCTTGTTGTTGAAAACGATAAAAAAGACACATAAAAAGAAAATACATATTTTTTAAAGCAATACATATAATATATAAGCAAACAAGCTTATAATAAAAAGAGAAATTATTACTAAAATGAGACTAATTTTACCTCATACTTGTATATTTTTTAATTAAATATATTCAATTTTAACACCTCATGTTGATTTATTAACTACTTTACTTAAATGGTGGCATTGGTAAGAAAATATATTTGAACAGATACATATATTAAACATATATGATCAATATTTTTTAAATATAAAATGTAAAAATATTTTTTAGAATATATACACAATATCAAACAATATCTTATTTATAACTGAATATTTTTCAGATTTTATTTCCTTATTTTATTTATATATTATTACCTTATAATTTATTTTTTATTTAGTTAAAATTCCCAATATAAATAAAAAAAATTAATATTAAATTTAAATTTTAAAGAATATATAAAATTAGAATAATAATCCATCTTCTATTCATTTTAATTAAACTATGTTTTAATCTTAATTAACTTTAAATTAATAATAAACATATCTCCATGTACCAGAACTTTATATATTTTATTGTTATAGTGTATTATATTTTATTACATCACATCAATGTGTATCATAAATATTTTTATTCTTTTTTTTAAAATATCTAAAAAACAACGATCATAATATTTTTAACATATAAAATTAAAAAATATTGTGTAATGCACGTTTTTAAAATTAATGAATAAATAGAATAATAAATATTTCCATTTCTAATATTGAATATTTTATTATATTAAGTAAAAATATTTTTTAAATTAAGGAAGAAACAATAAAAATTATATCAATATGATGTGTTAAAAGTTAAAAATAAAAAATAGGTTAAGATTGAACAAGGTCATATTAATCTTAAAAGTTAGATTATTACAATAATTAATGTAAATTTAATATAATCTATTAAATTTTAAAATAAATAATTAAATTTGAATAAGAAAATTCAAAAGAAGCAACAAATTATAAATATAAAATAAATAAATACTCAATATAAATGATAAAAAAATATTTTAATATAAAAACATTTTAAAAATAAGACTTTAATTTTTAATATAGAAGTCAAATATCTGTAATAAAGGCAAGAAGAGTTGACAAAGTTATTTTGATCTATTGGAGTCAGTTCATTTTGGGCATCAAGACTTTATTAGGTCAGACAAAAAAAATTGAATTTAATCTAAATTTATAAAAATAATTTCTAAATTGTTTAAAATATAATTTTATGCATGTTTAATTTGATTTAAATTTATATTTTATCAGAAAAATTATTATCCCAATTAATTAAGAGCATTTTGTCAGGAAAAATGCATCAATCCAAATCCCTAATTTCCTATCCAGCCAGAGTCGACCACAGGTAACGTTTAGCTATTTTTTTATGCATAATAATGATGCTAACGTTATTAGGCATGCTATATTCAAACTTTTCCAATTACGAATATGTTTATTTAAATAATACAACTACTTAACGAAAGCTACATGATTATTAATGATGTACTAATATTCAACGACAAAATAACTGAATTTTGAATTTTGACAGTTAAACAATTACGCAGACAAAGATGGGAATACCCAACGTATAAATTAACGAATGCCCTAAATAAAAAAAGTTGTGAAGGAAAAGTTGAAAACTGAAACATGAATTGTTTGAACTTTGCTTGTTTTTCTTATTTCTAGGACTGAATTTTTGTTTTCGGTCAACTTTACTGGAACTGAATTTAAAAATATGGAATTGAGCTGGGTTAGAGATTCCTGGTCAACGAGAAAACGAAACCCAGTTGTATAAGATTCCAAGATTTATGGCGTCACTAATTTGTCAAACTTCATAAAAAAAATGCAAAAGATGAAGGAATACAGATTTATGTTGTATGAAAGAAACTTGATTACACATTAATTTTCATGTACAGACAAGACATCTGAAAAATGAATACAAATTTTGCCAGCATAAAAAGCCGTAGCTAAATCTTATATATATTATATGTACCTTAATCCAACGCTTTCTTAACTTTCGTCTTGAACAGTAGAATATATAAATTTTCCATTGAAAAATAAAGAAAACGCCCCGTTGAATGCGTCACAAATGAACCGAAACTTGATCCTACAATGCAATGCCAGACCGGACCATACGCTTTATCAAATTCCTGCACATGAACATACCAGGAATATATTGTAAATAAATAGATTTATAAATAATGACAAAGAGAGAGAGAGAGAGAGAGAGATACTTTATTTTGTTTTATAGATCTTGCTGACCAAATATATAAAGAACTAAATAAACAAACCATGTCTCTGTTGTGCACATGGGTTGAGTATAAGATGAATAAGATTAATGCACCTATTTTCTGAGATAAGTAGTGCATGATTAGCTACAATATTTGGGGTATGAGCCTACGGGGGTTTAACACATGGGCTGTTGGGAATTTTGCAATTAAGATTTGATCTTTGACAAAGGAGATTCAACAAAATTGTGTAAACTCGTGGACGGCCAAGATCTAAAGATCTAGACACAGGTGTTTGCTAGATCAGTGATCTCAATTCCATTGTATTGAACCAGTTTCAAATATTATATCCAATAAACGAAGAAAGGAAGAGAGACAGAAAATGTCAACACATGGCTCGTCTAGTCGGCTTTCACCTTTAATTCTTCTGTGGGGTTCATTGAATTTGAACAAATCTCAATCACTCCAGAAGCAAAGTTCCAAAAAGAAACACCAAGAAAATAATCCCAATCACTTTTCTTCCTTTTGCGCCACAATCTTCTTAACTAACAACACTACCTATCTCTATGCCCCTACAAGATCACAACTAAACTAAAGGAATGTTGATGAAATGAAATTGACTTAACATCTTAATTCAATGATCATGAGAGGTCAAATTATAGCATACCTTCTTTATGTTATGTGCTATGTGTTTAGAGCTAAACTTCTCCAAGCTATCATATGTCCTTCTTGCACAACGAAAAGCATGCACTTGCATGAAACTTGGCATGTCTGAGACCAAAACCTTAACTTGAAGATATGCAGCCACAGAAGACAATGTTTCAATTTGGGACACTGACTTTCGACCCTCAACAACTCTTCCTGCTGCTAAACCTGTTTCAATGTGGGACACTGATTTTCTTCCCTCCTCAACTGTGATTCCTCTTGCAGCTGGTGACGCTGTTGCCTCTATGCAAGATAGTGATTTTCTTCCCTCAACAAATCCTCCTGGTGATACTAACTCTAAGAAAGATGTTGACTTTCTTGCCTCAACAAATTCTTCTCCTCTTCTTTCTCCAATGTCTAAGTCTTTGTGATCACCATTTACTACATTGAAAGTTCGAGTTCTTGATATTTTGTGCAACCAACTGCGTGAATTGGATTTCTTGTCTTGATGCACAACACCGTGCTCTAACTCTTTCTTTCTCTGGTTTCCTATGCCACCTTTGTAAATGTACATGAACCCTCTCTTGTGTTGTTGCTTGTCTTGGTTAGCCATTTTCTGAGGCCCTCTTCCGAGACTAGAAGAATGATTAGTAGATAGATCCAATTGGGACTAATGAGGCATGGAGATACGTGTACATATAAATGTTTGACAGGGTCTGTATACTTAATCACGAGCAATAGGAAGACCAATTATTAGAATAATGCATATTCACAAGAAGGTGACATACTTATAAAGGCAAACCCATGTGTTTCTGCCTGTGGTGAAGGATATATAACAAATGGTAATGTTATATATTTACCTAAGATTTGAAATATATTGGTCTAGTTCTTTAATATCAAATAATGGCCATTGTGGTGTGGGACTAATCATTAGTCTCTGGGGCATATTTGTCCCCCAGTGACCTGCTTCTAGACAAACCAGCATCCATGGACCCCTACCCTTCCCACCGCCTATTTGTTGGGTACCCCCCGTAAAAAGGTCGTTATCTAGTATCTGCTACTTTGTAGCTTCAACTTATCCCCACCCTGAGCTCTTTATCAACATGCATGAATTCTTTGGTGGTTATTGGATGGAAATCGTTTGAGGGTTAAACCCACAATCAATAACGACCATAAGCTAACTTGGCTGTACATTTATGAGAAAGAGATTGATAGTTGGGTGATCTGTGGTAAGGTTTTTTGTATATATACTAACACATCATATGTAGATGTTGTCATTTTGGCATTTCCTTTCGTCTGGCTGGTTGAGGTAGATTCACCCACTGCTATCAATTAAATCATAAGTGTACAGATGCAGCTAAGCTCCTCAAAAAAACAAATATGTGAACAGTGTTGCGACAGGTATGATTTACAAGTTGTTTAACAATTCTAATCACCAATCCCCTCATAAAAAATTGAGATAAGAACAAAACAAAAATAACTCTTAGTTCTGTATCCTTTTAAATTTGTTAGTTGAATATCTAAACATTGATATTGTATAAGATATTATATGTAAAATTATTTTTCATCTCTTTTTTACTATTTATCTTTGTCGTGTATAGGCATTTTAAAAATACTTTTAAAAATCAGGGCTTAAATGTAGAAGAACCTTTTAAAATAGGATTATCATGATTGTACCAGAAGCATATATAATTTCTTTTTTCTTCTCTCTTATGTTTATGGCTTGGGTTATTCAACAATCTAGGTGTGCAGAATGTGTCGACGATCTATGCGGTTACCCTACAACTTAGTTTGTTATATGGACCTTCCGATTCGTTGGTTTGCAATGAGATTTTGACGGGTCCATGAACCATAGGTGAAGCCACCGGTAACGATATATGTGCATCAAAATTTTAGTGAAATGTTTCTATCGTTTCAACTCATTCGTACAATGATTTGGTTCAGTTTTCCGTATAGGATACTCGTATTTTGACAATTCTTATGTAAAATTATATTTATTTGAAACAGATTAAAAATGGAATATGAGTTCTAATATAAAAACATAAAAGAATCATATATTATTCATCCTCCTCTATTTTGATTTTGGTGTGAGTTCTAAAACTATCAAAATTTTAAACACTTGTCATTAAAAGACTGTGCCTATTGTCAGTGGATTTCTTTTAGTTTACTTTCTTATTAAATTATTACGTACCCTACAACAAAAAGAACGAAAGATTACTTAAATTATGTGGTCATAGTTTATGCATGCGACTGTGTGTATAATTTAATGTGGTTATGGGTTCTGATGGGGATATATACGACTTTGCTTTAAATACATCATTAATAACGATTATTTAGGTGAAACTACTACATTTTGAAATACTTGTGCAAAAAAACAAGAAGCATTTGAATGAAAGATGAGGACTAGTATTAGTATATATCGTGACATTTATTTCGAAATAAAGTTGTGGGGAAGACGTGTTTGCTGAAGACACTGATAGTTGGTTTTGGATTCTAGTTACTTAACTTGGGAATAATTTCGTTACAATTGTTATAGCTAACCTTGTTTAATTTGGAAGACGCTCTTGTCAGTAGAGCACACACAAGTGGATTTGATTTGGATGATATATACCTAAGTGGGTGAACGTGAATCATAAATGAGCCCCACCAACATAACTGTTACGTTGATTCAGCAGAGATTCAGATCCCACATAGAGTCACTGTTGACGATGAAAGCAAGAAGCCCGATACATTTTTTACACTCCCATCACATAAAATTTTCTCCATTCGCATAGTTTTCCCATGAATTGTCGTCCATTTGAATTTAATTTTATTAAAAACGATTTGTAATAAATTGGATAATGTAATTCCTTTATTATTTTTTCTTTAACTCACTGTTATTTAAAACAGTACATTAATGCAGTAACATTTTTTCAAAAAAAGAGCACAACATTTCAATTTAATGATTTAGAATGATTTGATTAGATTTGATCAATCTGCAATCGTGTACAATAGCCAGCAACATATATATGTTGCGGATTAGATATTTCAACACACCACTGTCGACTAGTTCCTGACTTTTGTTGATTAATATCTCCATAACATTGATAAAGGGGATGAATTTCCAATTGCTCTCTCTTGCTCCAGAAGAAGAGATTTCGATAGCTCCAAGGTTAAACGATGCTTGCTTTTTTACTTTATTTTATTTAAATTGAGATATTATTAAGAAGAAGCTGAAGCTAGTACATCAATAATACATGCTGACAAGACAACACGAGGGACATTCTGAAACCAGATAACGGATTGAGATCATCTGCAGTTCAATCAGTCATAGAAAAAGATAAAGAATCCAAAACGTGGGCATGCATTGAAGCACAGGAATAGGAGTAAGCCACGTTTCGAATTAACCAGTTTCATAAGTCGTAGCAAATTATTTTGGTATAAAACTCAGATCAATATTTTTAAAAAAATTATCAAACTTCTTAATTAAATGACGATATGCAAATTTTTTTAATATTAGAAAATTTCTATTAAATATGTATTACAAAATTTTAAAAATCATCCAAGTGTTCCTTAAAATTAAGGTTAAAAATAATTTAATACATTTTCTGTTTTTTTGTAATAATTTACCTTGTGAAGGTTCCTTACTTTTTAAATATGAAGGGATATAGCTTTATCGGTTCTGATAGCCAATATTTTTAGAATATTAGTTAAGAGGAATTAATAAATAATTTTAATTAAAAAAATCAAGTAAGGGTGCATTTAAAATCATCGAATGCGCAATATTATACTTTTTAACACTAATTTTTTATTTTAATTTTTTTAGCAAATAATTAGATCACAATTTATTAGTTTAGGGTTTATTAGTTAACTATTTTTTTCTTTATTTATTTATTTCTGGGTGGGAAAAACTTAACATTAACCCAGTAATTTCTACTACTTCCATAATTGTTGTTGCAGCGGCTTGGCTCGATTCGACTTGAGATTGGTCTCCTACAAGGTTAGTTGTAGTAGAGAATGAGCAAAAATTAACTAAAGACAGAGGAAAACAATACAAAGCACTTAATTGCTTAGAAAGGATTTTATGGAAGGTTTAATAATTTATAAGCTATGGTAGCATTAGCACATTTATTTGCTAATCATTTTGCTTCATCTTTAAAAGCTGCCATTTGTTTGGTTTTATCTGTTCTTTAAATTGAATCTTTATGAGACATGAAAATTGTGAATATACGAATTCAATTTCTTACGATATATTCAATTGTATTTTCATTCATTTATTCCTTCTTCCTCCCCCTTATAGTTTACTAGAAAAGAAAATAAAAATACTTGTAATGTGATTGTGAATATTCCCTTTATACAATTTTTTTTTGTCTATTCCTTCTCTTCTTCCAACCTATTCTTATTTATATTATTTCTATTCTATTGTTGAAAATTTTAAATGTATTATAAGTGAGGGGGAAAGTACCTTATTATGTGAAACTCTTTTCTTCATGTTTATTTGAAATCTTATACTTTTTTTTTAAAATGCGAACACTTAATCAATATTTATCTATTAAATTTGAATATTTATTTTTAAAATGTTCTCTTAAGTAATTTTGCTTTGGTAAATTACATGACTTCTCTTATATAAAAGATCTCATATTTTTATACACTTTTTATTACTTTAAAATATTATAACTTAAATATAGTCAAGTCCAATTTAAATTCACAAAAGAAGATAAAATAAGAATTTCCTATGTTATGTCGGTGCACATAGATTAACTAGGAGTACTAAAATTAATAAATAAATTTTAAGGAAATAATTATAATAACAATTGGAATAAAAGTTCGAGAGAGAGAAGAATACAAGCTAAAGGTTGTTCAATTTGAATGAATTTATCCTTAAACTTTTGACCTATTTAAGTGGGAAAAAAAAGATTTCTTGCCATCCGATGCTCAACAAATTAAGATAATAATAAATTTGTATTTAATATTTTTTTTTTTTTATCAATTTAACTGCTGAATTCAAATTTCTCATAAAGTATATCAAGTTTATAAAGTATGATTGGTTTCATTTTATTTTAAAATATTATATTATTTAAAATAAAAATATATAAGTATTATTAGATTATATATTATAAATATTTAAATAGTTTAAAGTTATATAATAATATTATATAACTCAATAATTAAATTGTTAAAATTTACTTTTAATAAAAGAAGTTATTATTTATTTATTTTTTGCTTTTCATTTATCTTTTTTGTTTCAACCGTTCTAAATTATCAATTATTATAGAATTTGAGCAAATAATTGTTTCCCGCGTCCTAGATGTGTTTGTTTTCTGATATGTTTTTCTTTTTTGCTAATGCCCCATACAGGAACGAAAAAAAGAAACTTTCAAAATTAAAAACTAAGACATTGAACCTATTTGAGTATAACGACATGAAACAATGAAGCAGCATGTGAGAGAATTGTGCAGAGGTAGAAGAAAGGAAATGAAGTGCTTTCAAAAGTTTGCTAGTTTAATAAATGTTTGCTGGACCTTGAATATGAGCACGCCACATAATCATCTAAGGCAAAAAGGTTTTCTTTATAAAACTATTATTATTGTTTAACTTATGTAGTTAAACCGATGATTGATAAATTATATTAAAATATGTCCCTTCAAATCTTTCATCTAAGGTTTTGAAATTTTTAGACATGAACCTAACAAATGCAATATATCTATCACATGGCTAATAAAGACATGATGCCACTGTGGTGGGAATGCAAATAGCAATCTTAATCAATGATTGGACAAAACGAAAGTTCACTTTCATCGACTTAAAGAATTTTTTAGAATCCTTATGAACACTACCAGGTACAGCAAAGATTCTGACGTAAAGGGAATACAAAGAAGGAATTATTGACCAAGCATATATAAGTGCATAATTAGGTGTCTAAACAAGTGGAGCTAAATTAATTATTTAAATTTTTTTTTATTCTAAAAATTTAAAATTAAATCAACTATTAAATATGCTAAATTTAAAACTTGACCACTTGACTAAAATTTAAATTTTTCTTATTTTTATTTATTATTATTATTGCATTTTTTTTAAACAAAGAGGGAGAGAGATGGGGAGGAAAATGACAACTATAAGTTCATCCAATTTATTTATGTAAACTTCTGAGAATGTTGCTAATTTTTGTTAGAGTATACACACAGTATTGTCTGTTGCCTTGTGTAAGATTTAAATATTATATGTCCAAAATAAAAGCGTTACTATCAAGCATTTATGTTTTACTTTGGTTGTAAAGAGTCTCAAACAAGTCACGAACCATTATACAGCTATGGCTATCCTGGCTAGCTGTTACTCAATTACAAGGCTAAAATCTCCCTTATGGGACAAGTAAAGGTCGAATTGTCAAAAAGGTAGCACTTTGAGCTTAGTAACGGTAACTTCAGTTATAAATGAGTAGTTAATTTTTATGTTATTTTTGCTTACTAGATGCAAGAAATTTAATTGAAAGCCAAAGAGATGGCATATAAAGGACCTCATTTACCCCTCTTACCTGCACTCCCCTTCATATCTTCTTTTCGAATTGTGAAAGTTGCAGAAATAGGAGTTCCTTGCAGCCCAAAACATCCAGCAAGAACTTCATGCTGTTTTGGACTGAAGGGAGCTCCTAGTTCTTCACTTTCTCTATATTCACCCTTCACTTTATCGGCTCAAAGGCTTCACTCTTGACGCTACTCTTCAATTTCATTAGTATTAATTTGTTAATGCCTTGATGTGTGAAATCATGTTATCAGCGATTTCAGATTTTCAATTCTTTGCAAAGGTGGGATTAAAATATTTCATCATTTCTTTCATCCTCCTTTTCATGTTACGAAGTCCATCACATAGGGCAGTAAACTACCAATCAAATTAAAGATCAACCTTACAAAACATTTTTGAAGAATTCTTGTTCTTTACTTGCGCATGGAAAGGTAACCGTTTAAACTATAATATTGGTTTTCTTTAGTTTTATTATTTTATATTTCGATGCATTACCCATTTCCTCCCTTACTGCATTTCACTCTTTATTGAATGTGCTTGTATATGATTTCATAACGAAACCCATTAAAGGAAAAACGAGTATTTAAAATTAACATCTCCACGATACCCCTCCCATTTCCTTATTTTTCAAGCACAGAACTTGCCAGTTGATAGCTTCTCACGTTTACAACGAGTAAAGCATTCTCCAACAGATCATCATGACATTTTATTTTGATCTCTTTCTTTCTGTTTATGTTACTATGCTAGTCGTGTTCTTGCCACGAAATTCTTAGCTGTTCAAGAACTAGACACTGTTGGTATTTCCAGAAATTAAACCCATTTCTTCATCCACCATTAATTCCTTAAAAATTCTAAACATTGTGTGCTGTAGCCAATTCTGTTATATTTTCCCAAAATTTTATTTTATTTCTCTCTACAAATATGGGGCTCAGAACCTATCTTTAAATAAATCTCCCTCACTCATGAAGAGGAACCCAAGCCAAATTTGGGGGACAAACCCAAACCCACCACTAGACTAGTAAATGGGTCATCAATTCGTATGCAATCTAGAACACATAAGGTAGGTATTACTGGTCATCCATTCACCCCAAGTTCAATAGAAGAGAAAAAAGATGAAAGAAAGAAGGTTTTACTAATTTTCATTTTCGTAAGAATTTTTTTTACTATTGCTAACGTCCAACATGGTTTATTATATATGATCATTTTATACAAGAAATCATGGGGGCTGAGACTGTGAGACTGTGAGACTGACAATTGCTGCTACATTGGGATCATGTGTTGAATGTGCTGATGCCGGTTATTAATATTGCAATTGAAGCGCGAGCAAGACCATACTTTGTCCTCTGATAAAGGCACTACAGGGATGTTATCACAGTTGCAGATTTCAATCATCAAGCCATCTGGGTCATGAAAGAACAGCTGATCAACGTAGATTCCACTTTCCTCTACTCTGCTCTTCACGTACTCTATCTCCATTTGCTGCAGTCTTTTCTCCACAGCTGCAACACTTTCACTCTAGCAACAATGCACAATTCGTTCCATTCACATAAGTATATGTACAGATATATATGACTACACTTTTAAATTGAAATTATTTACGTATATATATAGCCTATATGAAGTGATAAAGAGAGAGAAATACTTGAAAAGAAATGTGGTTGTCCTTTGGATTAATGGGAACAATCTTGGGCGTGTCTTCTGGGTGTTCTGATTGGAGAAGGTGTATGCCAATGCCATAATTGAACAACCTACCAGGATCATTATCAAAACAAAAAGGCAATTAGTATTCAATTTGGATGAAAAACAAGAAGGTGCTCTTTTTATATGTTGAGTAAACCAAAAATTTTGTCAGAAGTGTTTTTGATTTCTTTCCTATATATACAACATTACAAATACTTATACAAAATGATTAAATGTACCATGCGCCATTGAAGTCTAACGAACTAGGCCTCTTAATAGGAAAGAACCCAAGAACGTTTACATAAAAATCAACGGACTTCTCCACTGATGCACACACCAATGAGATGTGATTCAATGACTTGAGTTGCAGGGGATTGGTCATTCCTCTTTCCCTTTTTCTCTTCCGTCAATTAGGCAGAACAACAAAGAAGAAAATAAAAAGAGAATCAGGTTCTGAAAGGTACGGCGGTGCAAAAAGGTTAGTGTGTATCAAAGTATATTATGGATAGGATTGTTGTCTTGCAATGCGTGCTTCTATTTATAGGGACTCGGAAAGAATAGTCAAATATTTTATTCTGCATGTGTTGGAAGTTTCATGTTTGGGCTTAGGATTTGTTTGTCTTTGGATTCGGAAGTGGATTTTGTTACACGTAGATTTCGTGTTGGTGAATAAGGTATTGACAGCTGACAACACTTATCTTGCTTTCCGACACGTAAGTTTGCGTTTGGCTTCGTGACTTAGTCTATTACTTTTTGCAGCGAACAAAAACATGTCACTGCCGAGGGATCAAAACTAGGGATAAGCATCAATAGAACTTCCAATATGCTTCTTAAATCTTAATACCTCAGCAGAGAAAAGTACCAGCTACCAATTTTCTTTCAACTTTCATCCTCATTTTGAAGGTTAGCAAAGCACACGGATTTTACTCTCGCTTTTTTTTTTATCATCCGATTCTTAACAAGTGCATATTTTTTTTTCTTTATCAAACGACTATATATAAAAACTCTGTAAGTAAGACGTTAGGAATATCTATAATGTGTTGGGAACAGATTCTTTTATCATGTAATATATGTTTAAGATACTATCTAACTTGTTTGAATTTTATTAAAAAATCAACTTATAATCTTACAAAGAAACAATTTATTTAAAATAAATAAAATTTTAACATCCATGGTTAAAAATAAATGAATTTATTTTTTATATTATTGTTAATAATTAATTATTACTAATAACTTCATATTTATTGAGTTGGGCTTGGACTTTCAAGGAACTCGGGCTTGAGCCCACACTCTAACGCCGCAGCTCGGACGAGCATAGGTTTACCTTTTAGTGTGACCAAAACAAGGAGGGGAGGGGGTGCTTTTTTATTTTATTTGAGATTAAGATAGAAACTTTTAAGTTCTTTTCTGGAATTACTTTTTTCATTTTTCTTCATTCTACAACACGATTTTTTTCTTTTCCCTGATTTATACGTTGTTCAAATTATAATATGATGTCATTAGTAAAAGAAGATGTTCAGATTAACTTTAGAAAATGATTTAAACTGTTAGCTTCAATTACTCGAAGTGTATACAAATTATAATGACAAATTTCTTAAAGTGAGTTCACTTTTAAACTCAAACTGTCTGTTTATGTTTTCAAGAGAAATTGTGTTCTTTAAAACATTTTGTGATGATAAGTACTTTTTTTAAAACACGAGTTTTATGCCCACACTCTATGTCCCATATATGTGTTCAAGAAAATAGATCAATTTCATCATTTTCGTGCAACAGAGAGTAGTCAATTTATACGGATATTAGTTATTTTTAGTTTGATAATATTTTTCATAGATGATCAGAAACTTTAATTCAACAATTGATTATGAAAACAAATTATTTAAGACCTTGATACTTTATATATACACACACACACTAATATTTAATCATAATTTTTTATTAAAAATCATTCATTTTTGTAATAACTATTTAAAAAATATATTTATGGAAATTTTTAATTAGTTAACAATAAAAAAACTGACCTTAACAGCACATTAAAATTAAATTTTAAGAATCATCTTATCGTCACATAAATTTTTAAAAATTTAAAATATGAATAATTTAAGTAATACATATTTAATATTTAATGATTATATGAATAACATTTATAATTTATAAAAAAAATTATTTATAATACAAATATGAGTATTTTTTAAATAGTTTAAATAAATTTTTCTTCCCTTGAAAGTAGAGTATACAACACTCGACTTGTTTTGATTCGATATTAATTTCAATAAATTCAAAATTTTAAAATTAAATCTAGGTATATTTTGAGTACGAGTTTAGGTTATAACTAAGATTGTTCCAATTCAGCTCAATTTTATTTTTATTTCAATTTTTATGTAATTATGCATTAATAATAAAAATTAAAAATTTAATAAATTATATATCATATTTACTCAATGTTTGGAGAAAGAAAATTTTTTCTAAGTTATAAAGAGCTTATCAGACTAAGGGTCTTAGACTCCCACACTAACAAATGAAAGACTTGAAAAATTATCTACGTTCTAAATTTATCTTAAAGATTCCACTTTTCGAGGAGTTTTAGGAATATTTATAAAGTAGTTTTTTTAATATTGAAAAAATTACATTTCGAGGAATTTTTTAGAGTTAGAGAAGAAGCCTCGTTCTTTATTAATTATTAAAAGGTAGGTTCGAACTTAAGAAGTGTTAGAAGGTTTTTGAAAAGAACCTTAATTTTTGTAAAAAAAAAAGTCACATTTTGAGTTGTTTTAGAAGTTTTTGTCACACTCTAAATTTTTCTCAAAATTGCTTGAAAGACAAGAGAGTAATAGAAAATTATTCTAAGTTCATAAGACTAAAGACCTTTTCAAGGAGTTTTTGAAGATTTTCTAGTTTTTAGACTGAGAATAGCTAAAACTGGTAAAAAAAAAAAAAGACTGACAAGAAGATTATTTTAAGTTCACAAGATTGAAGGTCTTTTGAGGAGTTTTTGAGGGTTTTAAAATCCCTGACACACAAAATTGTTCGAAAAATAAAAAGTGATTAGAAAATATTTTAAGTCTACAAACCTAGTTGAGCTTTAGATTTCCTCCAGAATTATTCGAACAACAGAAAGTGGTCAGAAAATATTCTAAGTTCACAAACCTAATTGAGCTTCTGATTCCCTCTATAATTGCTCAAACACCAGGAAGTGGTCAGAAAACATTTTAAGTTCACAAACCTGGTTGAGTTCTAAGTCCACACATCTGGTTGAACTCCAAATTTTCTCTAGAATTGCTCAAAAAACAAGAATCTGTCAGAAAATATTCTAAGTTTATAAACCTAGTTGAACTTTAGATTTTCTCCAGAATTGCTCGAAAAATAGGAATGAGCAAAAAAAATATTCTAATTTCACAAGAATAAAAAGCGCTCTCAAATTTCCTAAAATTAGTTGAAAAATAAAAATTAATAAAAAAATTATTCTAAGTCCATAATGCTAAATGAGCCTTTTAAATTTCTCTCATAACTACTCAAAAAATAAAAAATAAAAAGAAAAGATTCTAAGTCCATAAGAGTCATAATAGGACTCAAAAGTTATTACAAGGCTCAGAAGCAGTTACCAACAGTTACTACCGAATAAAAATTCAACAACACAAAGAAGGATCGTAGGCAATAGTAGTTATGAAAGAAATCATAACCGACAGCACGATCAGAGCCGAAAAAAGGAGAACGATGGTGGTTTCCTTGTCTATAAATACGTTAAAGCTTCACTTTCTAGAGGACGACTTTTTGCACCTAGACACCGCACCTAAATTTCTCCACACGTTGAAAACCTGCACCACGCTAGACACCAACTACAAGGAGATACACAATTGTTACTTGTCATTGCTAGGGGTCGTACATTTACATTCGTGCATATTTATATTTTTGCAGTTTAATTCCAAATTATTTATTTCTGGTTCATTCCATGTTGTTAATTTATTTATGTAAAATGCCTACGTTTGATTAAGTTCTTTGTAATTATCATTTACTATTTCTATTTAATTATCTGCTTTACAACACTAATTTGAGTATCACATTAATAATATATTTAAAAGAACTCAAGAAGACCTAAATTCAGTCTCCAAATTACTCTTAGATTATTTATTTATAAACTGTTAATTTTTACCGTAAACACTCGGGTATTGTTATTTTAAAATATATATTATAAAATATAATTAAATTTAAATTTTATACTTTTAAATTATAGACTGACTTATATAAAATATTAAAATTGATACATTTTATTTATAAGTTAAATTAATTTCATTTTATCAAGACTTAATCAATTTTAAAATAATCTTATAAAATTTTCATAATTAAAACGTAGAAAGCGGTTTGAGTAGGTTTATGTCTTTGGACATAGGAGGCTCCTTTGCTGCATTGGCGGCACAAACCGGTTCTCTTTGTTGACTTATTTTGATACATTTACTTCTATTGTCCCCAGGTGAGGTGAGGAGTGAGGACCATGTCGCTGTTTACAAGTAAAATAAGGAGAAAAAAAATTTGGACTTCTTCTATTTAATAATTTAAATTTTATTTTAATAAAAATAACTTTACAGTTGTCATTTGACACTCTTGCACTTTTCTATAAAACATATTTATTATTTAACCGATAAATTATATTATATATAATGATTTTTTATTTTATTTTTCTTTTATAAGTGTATTTTAAAAACATACTTAAAAAGTAAACCGATATATAGTATATGATACACATAATGAAGCACCAATTGCAAGTTTAGAGCCCTATCCCACCATGGAAAAGGAACATTAAGTTATGAGCTGGAAACCGATATACTTGAGTGTCAAGCAAGAAATGCACATTGCTTCATCCAAGATATTTTTAGATACTAATAATAGAATATGGGATTTGTTTTAGTTTTTACTGCTATGTACATTATTTCACTTATAATATTGAAAAACATAGTTAAATGTTTTATTTTTATAACACTAAGGATTGAAAAAAAATATTTAATAATTTCAAAGACTATTGTAATATATATTAGTCTTTAAAGGACACACTCACCCATAAACAAAAGCAAAAGATGCGATAAAAGTAAAACACCGATCCGTAAAGTTTAGTTGCAAAAAATAGCAAATTCATGGTTAGAATCTTGACGCTTTCTCCCATTTCAGCTGCATAAGGGTCTTTTTATTTAATACATTTAATATTCTTTTTTGGTAGAACATTCAATATGCGTGTAAATTAATTTATTTATAATTGGGTAATTGACTGCTTTTATAAGTAATTGACCTGTTTACTAGCTTTTATAAAAATCTTTCAACATATAATTTTTTAAACATTTTTTAATATAGATATAATAATACATAATAAATAATTTATATTTAATATATTTTATTTAAAATTATAGGATCTAATATATTAATACGTGATAATATTAATTACTACTATAAATTTTTTATTATATATCTTTAGATACATATTATAAAATTCACTTTTTAAAAGTCCAAACATATAAAAACAGAACACCACTCGTGCATTGATCCGATAACGTTTAAAGTTTAAATACATTAATACACTACCTGCCATAATTTTTATTTAATAATCATTAATGCTGTGGAAAAATTTTGTTGACTTAATAGATTTAACATTTTTTAACGTGTATTAAAAGATATATATATATATATATATATATTATAAATAACATTTTTAAATATTATTAATATATTAAATTTATATTTTTATTATATACCTTTGAACACATATCATAACAATGTATTTTAATTACCGAGTAATTATAAACTTACGTGTACACAAAAATATTATTAAAAAAATTTAATTTTGACACCGTATCATATTCCATGAAATTAACCACTCACACGTGGCTAAATGAGTGAAAGGATCAAAGCATATTATTAAGAAATGTATTCAAAATTCTTGTGCGTTTAATGTTTACAAATTTTAAAATTATTAAAAAAAAAATTTATATATTTTTAAAGTAATAAAAAAGATAGCAAAACTAGTGTGTTGAGTGAAAGGACAGAGAATAATATCGAAACAATACACGGGCTGTATTAAACAAATAGGCTCTTGCAACTAAATCCTTGACTTTCGATAGCATCACCATTAAGCAAAGAGAGAGTCTTTGATCTCACTGTCATCAGCTATCATAAAACTTCCACGTGTCTCTGTGTTCTTTTCCTCAATATCATCCAAAAAATGAGAATGAGATGATTTTGAAAATTCAAAGAATTTAAAAGAGAGAAAAGAAACATAGGAGGAAGATTCGAAGGCTTCCCAAATAGATACACGAAACGAATCTCTCCCTTGCTTGCATCAAAACTTCATTATTTTATGGAGGAACTTGGAAGAGTACCGTAACTCTGATACCTCTGTCCTCTTTGCTTGGGTACTCTTTCAGGAGAAATAACGCTTACGCATGTGCGCGCTCTCACACCCAACAACTGCGTAACCCTTCTTCCTTCTTCCTTCTTTTCATTGCTACAATTCAGTATCGGATTCAGTACTCAAATCAAGATCCTTTCTTTCTTCAAGATTCGGTGTTTTTGGGGCCCTGCTTCAATTGGGTTTCCTCCAATTTTCGTAATGCCTCTTCAGTTCCGCTAAATTATTGAATCCCCAATTTGCATTTTTTCCCCTTTTTGTTTATTATTATTGGAAGATGTTTCGCTTCTGAAATGGATTTTGAAGGTGGGCGAGGGTCATTGTTGAGATGTCCTTTTCTTCAAACGGTATGATTATTCGTAGGTTCAGCTTTTCATATATGACGATGATTTCTATGCGTTTGGCTGCGTCTCTGCCGTTGTTTTTTGTGAGTTTGTAGATTCTAAATTTCATTCAAAAGGGATTGCTTGGTAATGCATAGTTGGGATTTGGGCAGTGTACTATATATCAATGCAAAATTATTGGGGTGATTAAATTTTGCTAGTGGGTTTTGGAGAGATCATAGGTGTTTTATTTGTTAATTTTACGGATAATTATTGTTTGTGTTGCGTAATTGTTTGGTTGGTTTTGGTAATAGAAGGGTGAGGATCTCGAGAGGTTGTGGTGATTTGAGTTGTTGCTTGTTGGGAAGTGGTTGTGGTGAATGTTGTTTGTGTAATCTGTTGCATTGCAATGTCTGGGGGAACACCGGTCGGGGGAGGTGGATTTATGAGGCAGAGGCACAGCCAGGGGTATGCCAGCAGTGGTGATGACCTGGAGGATGATGCATGCTCAAGGAACCGTCCCTTTGCGCCTCCTAGTCCTCCACCTAGGACATGGATTGAGATGCTGGAAAACTTTCTCTGGCTTGCTTCTGCTGCTTTCATTCTATACTTTGGCGATCAGCATTCCAATTTGATATATCTGTTGTGCCATGACAACCGAATTAGAAGGTAACAACAGCTTTCAAATTGCACTCTCATGCATAATGGTTTGAAATATATTTATAAACAGCCACTGGTACTTAATTGTCTAAAAGTTCATTATTTCTTTGTTGCTAAAGTACTTATGATTCACGGATAATTGTTATACCAAAGGTGATAGCAGTCAATAGTTTCAAAAGCTTGACTTGGTTAACTTCATGGTCAATTTGGAGGGGTATTGTTGTTAAGGAACATGTTGAATATGTGAATGATATGGGGTTCAATATATATGGAGTTATGCCTCACTGATCATTTGTTGAAGGACTTGCCATAAATCAAGTTCAGAATATTGTGAGTTATGAACATTGGCAGAGGGGCAAGGAACTGAGGACACTGGTCAATAGTGTTTTATCTTCAAGTGTGCTTTCTTACTTAATTGTCATGGCAATGCTTGGTCCAAAATGTGTCATTGGGTTGATCGTGAAGTTATACATTTTACGTGTATAAATGATAGGAAAAGCAAAGATATATTTACTAGCATATGCTTCTCATTCCTAAAATAAAAATCATATTAACCATTTTTTCTATTTAATGGAGGAGAGGGGATGAAATTTATGTGCATGTTCACTTGGAGAAACTCTAGTATTTGGTTAGTTTTCCATTATAATTTATGTACATTTTTTGTTTACATTGGTAACCCTCTAATTGGTTGGAAGCGATTATTACCAGTCACAATACCAGACCATGAGACATGGCATGTATGCAAAAGATTAAATCATCAACCCTGAACAGATAAAGCAGTCCCTACGTCAGAAGCCATAACATGATCCTGTAATTATGATGTGATTCTTGATTAAATCTCATCAACTTCCATTTATTGGCTTGTATGTATCTACCATGGATACATTGAGCTAAACAGTATCCTAACAGATATTTGGAAGTGAAATGATCTATATCTGTTGTACCTGTTTGAAGATATTTAAATTTGGAATATGAAGGAATCTGCAAATTTTAGGGTTGCTGTGGATCCATCAGATTAGATTCTACTACTTGATTCTATACTGGTATCACAATTTTCATGATCTCCTTAATCTTATTGCAGACTGCCTTTATATCTTGGGATGATAGGTATTGGTTTGAATGCATTGATTTTCATATATACAACTATCTTGGCTTGGAGTGTTCGAAGGTTTGATGAAAAATGGGGATTAAAAAAATGGGAAATAACAAGCATCTCTATGTTGCCATTTGCCACGGCATTTGGAATCATCTCTTTTTGCTTGTAAGCATATCCCTTATATGTTATGTCAATCGTATGTTATATCAAGTGTTTCCTTGTTTTGCTGACTCCATATTGCTTGCCTCTCTAGGTTCTCCTTTGCTTTGTGGCCAATATGGAGTTTCTTGACACTCCCTCTTCTGGTATATCAAGTTTTAGATCTGTTGTTATTTTTTACTCCTACCTACCTTCTTTTTCTTTATGTACTGCCAAAAGGTTAAATTGTGCCAACCACCTTATTGCTCTATGTTGTGCAGTTTACACTATTTATGGCTTGCATGGTAGTAATCCCTTACCTCATTTTTGGGACGCTCCGGCCTCCTCAATACGACGAACTGCGTACAGATTGAGCCTCATGATTCAAGTGAGGAATAGTACTGACTTTTCTAACACATATGTCAAGGATTGATTGAGTGGTAGCCGTTGCTATGTGGTTTGAAGTTTTGTCTCCTAGCAGCATGATGTTTCATGTTATGCTTTCCTAAACTGGTCCTAACAGTGAGAACTAAAATTCTTTTCATCCTTACAATTACATTAGGTTAGAGTGATGCTGATGCGGCAGGTCTTAGTTGCTATGAGTTGAGATAGAGGACTTGTGGGTTAAAGTGTTTAGTTCTATCAATTGGAAACCTTCAATTAATGATATCATAATAGCATTTTTTACATTTTCAGTTTTGCATGTTTGCTTAGTGGATAACATCCCTCCATTCCTTTTATTTAGTTTCTTAAATGGCTGCATCCCTTTAAACATATTCATTAGCATTACGCTCTCCATTATTTCCATTTTGCTCACAAAGGCATAACTTTTTTAAAACTTTTTTGACAGATAGAACAATGTATTTTAATTTACACATCCAAATTTTGTTTGCTTTTTAGACGTGCCAGCTCGATTAGTCGAGTATGAAAAATGTGACGAACTTTACAACAGAACTTTATGTGTAAACTACTGTACTTATAACATAAATCAGCTAGGCACACGCTTTATCATGATTCAGGTCACGTTTAAGAAGGGAATGCTTGTTTCTGTCATTGGACTTTCTTTTAAAAAAGCAAATCATATGTACTTCGGTTACTAACCTTACTCTGGTTGATGAGTCAGCAAAATTAAGTTCTATTTACACGAGCTGAGAGCCAGGGCGTGAATGTCAAGGTATTGTTTGGTTTTTTAATTTTTCTTTTCTTCTCATTAAAATTAAAAGTTCCTCAAATTGCCTATCTAGAAGCCCTATTTTTTTAACTTGCTTTTATACTTTAATTTTTTTTCTAAAATGTTTTAAAATAGAAGCGGCGAGGCTCACTTTCTGTGATGAATTTTGCCATCCAATGATTTTTTTTCTTCTGGATCAATTTTAGTCTTCTTGCATGCTGAGAATTAATAGGGTTCATAGCAAACTAACAAACAACAATTATTCATACCAAAGGGTTTAGGCCAGAGAATGAGAAATAAGATATAGCTCAATGTTACACCTTCATTCTTGACCCAAAAAATTCACCTGGGAGAAATAATTTTTGATATTTCTTGCAACTTGTTACCTTTAACAGTGCATTTAAGTATGTAATTTAATTAAATACTTATTCAATAAATTCTCATTATGTGATGGTTTATAACAAATTTTATCATTAAAAAAATTATTGAAATAAGCTGAAAAGAAATAACAGGAGTCATAACTCAAGTTTTTATTATAAGTTCTTCCAGATGCCTCATAAATACTTTGTTTGAAAAAAAAAAAAGGACAGGGAAGAAGAAAGAATTCGTAGAATGGGAGAGAAAGGGACAATAGGAATATTAATGAATGAAAGAAAATGAGATACCCTTTTTTTGGTCAATAAGAGAAGGAGATATCTAGTTTTTGAGGAGCCGAACAAGCTACTTGAGCCTTGATTTGCACTTCGGGCTCCACCGAGCTGAGTTAAAAAGCCTTTTTTTTGTTTTTTAATTCGGGTTGCAAAATAACAGCTTCAAGAAAAATTCATATTCACCTCTTATCCTTAAATAAACTAGGCTAACTGAATCTAATCAAAGAAAAATTCAAATCAGTTTGGATCATAAAACTTCAAAATTAATTTAAGTTTAAAATTTAAACAACCTAAGCCCAATTTTTTAAGGGTATCAATCGAATCAAACCAATTAAACTAACTCATTTTATTAACGTATATAAGAAGAGGTGAGAACTATAAAACAAGAAAATGTTAACAATACATTCTTTTAAACACATTCTTCAGTATATTTCATGTGATTGATCGTTTTTTTAAAAAAAATAAGGTTAAGTAGTTTCAATAAATTAATCATAATTTATAAGATAAGTGTTGTAAAAAACTAACCAATTACGAGAACTGTATGTAAAATTAACATTTCTCATGAAATATTTTAATATTTTATTACTATACCTCTGCATTATAACCAAAAGAAAGTTAAAAATCTTAACAACACATACTAAATAGTTAGAATCCTCTCCTTCCTTGCCTTTCTCTTTATTTTATTTCAATCAAACACTATCTATTCCATATCTCCGGATTAAAAGGAGGGGAAGGGAACATGAGAAATTTAATGGTAAAGACCGAGCCACGCAGAAATGACCACACAACACAAGCACCTCAACCATGTCTTGTCCCCAGAGATGAGAGTGACATCTCTCCACATCAATATCTCCTCCTTCAAAAAGGAAAAGTGGTTTGATCGATCATTCTCATCTTTAGTGCTCAACACATTTGTGCATGCCATTATTGGTATACACTGAATTCTGAAAGTGATTGGCAGAAAAAAATGGAACTGTGTGTGATAGGGAGGCACCGAAAACGACTCTACTTTTGCGGAATGGGATGAGAGCAATAGCTAAATATGAATATGATTGTGACTACTTAAGTCCATCTATGAACTCTTCACCCAACTTCGTCTTGTGACAAATCTCTATATTATGTGAAGGGAGATATAGATTGTAACTTTCTTGACAACGATAGGATTGAATTATGCAGCTTTTTGAGGGATGCACATGGCTTTGCATTGGCTGTGTTGTTAGATTTCTAACACCACAAATAGGTTCAAATGAAACGGACAATTATGAGTATATATGTCATGTTTGGGAAAGTGGTTTGGTTTTCTTGATTGGACCCGCCATTGTTGAATGCTAAAAGGTCACATTTTTCAATTAACCAAGGTAAGCAATATCTTATACATGATATTTTCTTACATCATTTAGATGTAAAGCCAATGAGTACAAGTCAAGGAGTTCAGGTAGAGATCAATTGTAATTAGTAATTTACTTGCACTATTATGTATCACAGAACATCATGATGAACAAATTGTTACCGAAAGTTGGGTTTAATTAATATCATAGTTGAGTAGCCGATCTGTCTTAACCTTTTGATGACTGTGTAAAGTTTTTCGCAGAAAGAGAGAGTTTAGTGGGCCGTTTTTGTTACGTCATATAATTGGAATTATTGTTTCAAATGGGAATATAAAAAGGACATTGTCTGCTTAATGGTCGTGGAGGTTGAAAGATTATACTCCCAAGTAGCTAAAGCCTAAAAGAGCTCTAACATGTGATAGGAGTGTCCAGCTGGAAAGGTAATTCATGTCAAGGATCTTGCATGAGGAATGAAATCCCAGTGATGTGGAAAAGCATGGCACACTCGAGAAACGTATCTTTGCAAATAAGATACTGTGCTGCACTCATTTGCATTTTACTTAAGAACTAGGATACTATTGGAGTAGTAACAGGTTTTGGAATAACTAGCAAGCTAAAAGGTAGCACCTTGTGAAAATACTTCAACTTTTAAGGGCAAATAGGAATTTTAAGGGCACCCTTTTCTTCACGTTTATTAAACACCAGAGTACAAGGTAATAGTGTCAACCCGCAACTTCATTTACAATGGCATTAATTATATGAACGTAGGGATAGCATTGGGAAGGTTATATGATATTGAGGGGGAAAAGAGCAGATGCCACAGTCCCCTTGTCCCTGATGGTAGGACCATTAAATTTGTAATGAGAATGAACTCAACGTGCAGGATCAACAAGAAACCAGCTCAACATAAAAAAAATATGAATACTTAAATTCTATTCATAAATATCTCATTTTTTTAATTTGAAAATCTAATCCGTGATTATTCGAAACAATTTAACACGTTGAAATTAGATATGCTTGGTTAAAATTTTCATTTTCTTACTATAAAAATATTGTCTTATAACTTTAGAGTTTGGCCCATTTTAAGTGATGTTTTAAAGAAATTTTTATATATAAAAAATAGTATAAAAATGAATAAAACTTCTTTTCTAAGTTAAAAATAACTTACCTTTATAAATTTTTACAAAGTTAAATGAGAGAATTTTTTTTAAAAATAAAATATATATAAAAATTATTTCTTATAATACGATTAAACACTGATGTTAACTAGTTAACGCCCTAACAATATTATCTATATTATGGAAAAAAAATATTATACCTTGATGAAACAGCGTTTTCTTTTTTAAATGTTTTAAGTAATAATTGATGTAATAAACTAAAAGACTTTTAAGTTATGAAGTACTCCATTGATATACCATAACATATAATTAAATGGCAATAAGCATTACAGATGGATAAATCAAACACAATTATTATTGCTACACACAGTTAAAGGACCCCCAAATGCAATTAAAAGTAATTATAGAGCTAGAGAAAAGAAATCAAACGGTAAAAGCGTGTGTAGATAGGCTAGTTATGATAATCCAATCAGAATCAGAATAATTTTGAGTGCAGGAAGGAGAAAAGTAAGTAACTCAGCGGTAAACCTTCTAGCATGGCCCATTTCTAATCATATGCAAAGGATGATAGGACGCCCACCAGCACCAGCACCAGCACCAGCCAGCCAGCGATGAGAATCACCAAATTGCCCTTTAGTGGAGTAGGAATAGCGCCATGATGTGTGTGTATGATCATGCAAATGCAGTACAGTGGGTCAAACAAAACACACACCCCGCAACATCTTACATTGAATTATTAAACATATAGTTGGTAGGGAGTTTTTTTTCCTGCAAAGGTGGGCCCATGTTATTTTGTTCTGAATCTTTGTCTGTCACTCTATCCTCCCTTTGTTTGTGTTTGCATTTTGCAATCTTCAACTCAACAGTACCAAAGAGTAGTTGTTGTATTTGTATTGTATTTCACTATTTTGAGTGTTTTGACTTTCCCATTCCCAAACCAAAACCCCTGACTTCAGTCTCCAAACAAACAAACAAACAAAACAATAACTATCTTCCAACCCAAGTTGTCAAATGTTCCTCTTTTCTCCAATTCTCCAATGGACAAAACACCAAGGTGTCATCATTTCTTCTCTCCTCCTTTAATGGTTTTGCTTTGCTTGCTTTAAAAAAAAAAATCAAATTTTCTTTCTCTCTCTCTCTCTCTCGAGTCTTACCCTCTCTTCTTCTAGTTCTCTAGTTGAACACATTCTTATGCTTGGTAGGTTGTGCCGTTGAGGTGATGGGCCCTAAATTCCACTGAAGTTTGATGGTAAGAACCAAAGGGGTCTCTTTACCTCTTTCAGTGCTTCCCCTTTGCCCCCAATTTTGTGCTGTCTCGCATTTAGGTTTTCCCCTCTTTTAACTCACAAGATAAGATTTAGGGCATTTGATTTGACTTGATTCTTGGCAATTTCCGATGTGGAATTTCTGATTTCTAATATTCCACATGGGGTTCCTTCATCGTGCTTTGTGATTGATTGTGTTCCTCCTCCGCTTACCTCGTTGTTGGAGAGAACATGGTTCAAATTTCCTTTTCAAGTCTAAGTTTTCTTACAAGTTAAATTGAACTGGGAAGAACAAAAAGAAGGGGTTTATGGGACTTGATTCTCTCGAATTTCGTGTTGGGTATGGCGTTTGAAGGATAAGGACTTGATTTTTGGTGGTGTTGGTTGTGGTGTTTTCTTTGTCGGAACCGTTGAATTTGAAGAAGGGAAAGATGGACAGAGTTATTCAACCTCCTTTGGTAATTTGCTTGCACCCTTTTCTTTTCCCCCTGTTTTTTTTTTTTTTTCCTCTTTACTAGTTTATATGCCATTTTGAGTTATGATATGAACCAATGCCCTAAGTTGGTTTGACTTTCCTTTTTGAGTGGTCCTTTCTATGGAAAATCGTAGTTTGGTCTTCTATCCATGTCCCTGACCAATTTGTTGACTTTTGCTTTGCCCTTATGTGTGCTGTTTTTTAAAGGGCTTCACAAAATTCTTATCTTGAAAAGTGTTTCAACAATTACCTTTTTGCAGGGGGTTGTGGCGATGAAAGGAACACATTAGTTTAGAGATCGATGCTTGAAGATTCTGGTTGTTTTATTTAGTTCTATTGAATGCCATTACTCAGTGAACATTTCTTCTTTACCCCCTCTATGTTCTGCGTGTTGCATTTGAACCTCCCTGAAAGATGGGCCATCTATAATTTCTCGGTGTCGGTTTCTTTTGTATCACTGAAATGTTCCCATAGGCTTTTGGGCCATAATTATATGAGAAATGATTACAATTAGAATGTATGTTATGATTGGGGTGTTTAGAAGTGGAAATTATTTTGTCTTCTGACATGTACCAGTAACTTCTGAGCCTTGAGGTCTGTGTAGTATGATGTATTTCCATGGATTTGATGCAGGTCTCATACATAAGACCATCAATACATTATCATAAAGTATATACCAACTCTTGCAGTTCAATATTCATCAAAATAACATAAAGCTGATTATAGATTTCATTTCTCATGATTTTAGGTATTGATGATAAGCTTATATATATAGATGACTCTATCTGAACCTGAAAGATCACTCTTACTAATTGATGTTTAAGTTATTGGTGAACAAGATGCTCTGTCTGCTGCCTCTCAAGAGTTATTTGTATTAACCAAGAGATAAATGATGTCCTATGTTTAAGTTTTAGACCATAACTTAACATACTAAATGAAAAAGGGGTGTCCCTTCATTTTAATTATAACTGTTGATAAGCAATTCTTTGTGTACAGGTTGATACAACTGCATGCTTATGCAGAGTAGATACAGGCCTAAAAACTGTCGCTGGAGCAAAGAAGTATGTCCCTGGAACAAAACTCTGTCTTCGGCCTGACATTAAACCATCCATTCACCCAACTAGAAACAAACCATCACGTGGTGACAGAAGCCGCAATCAATCCCCACTACTTCCAGGACTCCCTGATGATCTGGCCATTGCTTGCCTAATCCGAGTCCCTCGGGTGGAACACCGCAAACTTCGGCTAGTCTGCAAGAGATGGTATCGTCTTTTGGTTGGTAACTTCTTTTACTCTCTCCGCAAGAGTCTTGGAATTGCAGAAGAGTGGATATATGTCATTAAGAGAGACCGAGATGGGAAAATATCATGGCATGCTTTCGATCCTGTGTACCAACTGTGGCAGCCCCTGCCACCTGTTCCTAAGGAATATTCTGGAGCTCTTGGTTTTGGCTGTGCCGTTCTCAATGGCTGTCACCTGTACTTGTTTGGTGGGAAGGACCCACTAAAGGGATCCATGAGACGTGTCATATTTTATAGTGCTAGGACAAATAAATGGCACCGTGCCCCAGATATGCTTCGTAGGCGGCACTTCTTCGGCTGCTGTGTCATAAACAATTGTCTGTATGTAGCTGGTGGGGAGAATGAGGGTGTGCACCGGTCCTTGCGATCAGCTGAAGTGTATGATCCCAACAAAAATAGATGGTCATTTATTGCTGATATGAGCACTGCAATGGTGCCTTTCATAGGAGTTGTCTATGATGGAAAGTGGTTCTTGAAAGGACTTGGTTCTCATCGGCAGGTTCTGAGTGAGGTCTACCAGCCAGAGAACGATAGCTGGTACCCTATTTATGATGGAATGGTCGCTGGCTGGAGGAACCCCAGTACTACCCTAAATGGAAAGCTCTATGCGTTAGACTGCAAAGATGGCTGCAAAATTAGGGTTTATGATGAGGTTAGTGATTCATGGAACAAGCATATTGACAGTAAAGTGCATTTGGGTAACTCACGGGCTTTGGAGGCTGCTGCTCTTGTTCCCCTCAATGGGAAACTCTGCATCATCCGGAATAATATGAGCATTTCTCTGGTGGATGTTTCAAAACTTGAAGATTTGAAAGGATCTTCTGCTGAACAGTTGTGGGAAACCATTGCTGGGAAAGGACAGTTCAAGACCTTGGTCACAAATCTGTTGTCTAGCATTGCAGGGAGAAACCGACTCAAAAGTCACATAGTTCACTGTCAAGTTCTTCAAGCTTAGAGGCTGTATAGTTCTGAAAATTTGATAATGAGGTCAGGTCATGAGTTACAGCATCTCATCTTGATGGTATATGTTGGTGAGAAGCTGGACCAACTTTTGCCAGAACACCATGGTGCAGTCTATCTTGCTTTTTGTCTCAAACCCCTGGCATCACAAAAGGTGATACATACATGAGATGTTTTAGTAATCATATAGTGCTACAGATATTGATACATAGTTATTACATTTTGAAAATTTCAGTGGGCTGTTTACCATGTCACATGGTTTATCATTAGCTTGTCTTTTGTGTTGCTGCAACCATTGTATAACATGAAGATGACTGGTGTGTTGGACGGAGGAGAAAAAAATAAGAGTCAGTTTGGTATTCGTATAAAATTGAGGGTGAAAAATTCAAGAAATAGTTTTGAATTTAATTTTTCATTATAAAACTCATCTATGAATTTTCCACCCTCATTTTCTGTAGTAACAGCCAACTGACTATCAACTCTTATTTATGTACAACTCTTCGCATTACATATTATATACAAGCACAAGTTGAATCGAGTTATCGGGTGAAAAGATGGTAGGGTTGCCTTGATGTTTTGTACCATATGATGAGACTCCAGTACCCTGTTTTGATTAAAGTATGCACCCCTCAATCCTTGTTTGGAGTGTGCAAACATTACAAATGTCGTGTTTGGAAAATTTATTATTAGGTTGTATTTGAGCATGATTTTGAATTTAAAAATACAACTTATGCAGAAAATAAAAATAAAAGTTCATTTGGATAAAACCATGACTTTATATAAACTATAATGTAAATATGATATATGTTGCATTGCCAATATAAGTAAGTGCTGCTTTTACAATAAATTCAAGGCTTACTGGTTTATTTTTTAAAAAAATAAAGTGGGGGGCTTTAGGCTGGTGGGTGGTTTAACCCCCATTTCTACACGCCTCAACACAGCTGGCATGTAACGACGTGTGTGGAAGCAGAACTTACTCAGCCATTGGATGTGCAAAGTGATGTATAAGGTTAGATGCTTAATTGCATGTTTTTTTTTTTTTTTGTTTTATGTTTACTGACCAATTTACGTTAGTTAATTTTAACGTTGTTTGTTATAGTTTCTGGGTTGAATTTACGTTTCCTATCTCTTTAACTTAAATTTCTAATCAAGTCAGGTTAGGTTAAATAGTCTCAACGTCGATTATTAATAAGAGGATCATATGCCTTGCACGTGTATTCATTAATAGCTTTTCGCTCATTTGTCCTTCTAGCATTTTTTTTTCTGGGTTGAGCTTAAATCTTTCCTCGAGGACTGCTTGTGATTAGCTATGTTTGCAATGTATTGTATGCAAAAAGGAGCATTTCAGGTGAGATCGCAAGAACAAAGAAGTTAATCTTTGCCAAGCAATCGTACAAATATAATAGAAAATTCTAGGAAGCCCTAATACCCTAATGCCCAAAATTTATATACAATTGTTTAGGCATTTTGTTACATACTATTTTTTAATCAATAATAAAGTTTACTTTACTATCTTAAGATGAAACATTGACAATAAAAATATCTTGGAATTAAAGAACTGAACTTCAACTTTGTCTTAGTGTCATAAGAAGTTGGAGTTTTATGAGATGTGTGTATCTGCTATACATTATTGAAGTGATAAAAAAAATGTTCAGGACACATTTTATAATTGGTTAATTTTTTTTTAATTGTTAAAGTATATATTTAGTTATAGGAAAAAACAAAAGTATACATTTGGTAAATTGATCATTTTTTCAAAATTTTTTAAATATTTTTAAAAATTGACCAATTATAAAGAGTGCGGTGTTTGTGAGGTGATTTTTATGTAGTTTTTAATTTATTTTATTTTGATTTTTTTCCTTTCTAAAAGAAAAAGGTTGAGAACTTCAACATAAAAATCATATAAATAATTATAAAACCTTCTTACCTTTTATTTATACAGTTTTTTATAAGTATTAAATAGAGAAGATAAAAATATGTTTATCTTTTTATGGATGATTTTTCAAGGACAAAATTTACATTTTTTTTAAGTGTTTATTAACTAAAATAATTTTTTTTTAATAAATCGTTTGTATTTAATATTATTACAAATATTGAGATAAACCATAAATTTTGATTGACAAAAAAAAATGCTAAAAATATTAAAAATTTGAAATTGTTTTATCCACGCACTTAATAACACTTGTTAAAAAAATATTAAATATATTGTATTAAATACTTTAAATTACCATAAAAGTATGTATTGAATTTATTTTATGATTTTAAAATAATAAATATTTATATTTTTAATAAAAACTTCCTAGTTGAACCTGTTAACACGCTAAGCATACATTAAAAATTTTATTTCATGTAATAATCATTTCTTCTATCCCATATTAGATGTCATTAGGACCATTTTTTATATTATTTTTTATTTTAGAATATTAAAAAATATTAATTATTTTTTAATAGTATCCTTGTTATTAGAGATAGTTTTCGTCAACCAATTACCATAATAACTTTAATGGCACTCTACAAGTGTATTTGATGACACAGGCTTATTATTATTATTATTATTATTATTAAGTAGTAGAGTTATTTAGTAAACTAAAAATAAAAGGAGTTTTTATTATTTAAAGGTTAACTTATGAAACTTTATTCCAAGTAACATTTAGTTTATTATAAATTGGCTTCATTTTTTTTTCATTTTTATTCTTCACATTTACACAATTTACACTAACAAAATAACCTTAATACTTCCTTTTTATGGTCAGCTAACATATTTCAATTTGCTATTCAATTAATTTCACGAAACAACTTTAATGCGTTCATATAAACTACAAGTTGTCAACTATTTTTTTATTAAAATTTGCATCAATTAACTACTATAATAACTTTAATACTTTTAAAAGGGTATTTTAGTAACTTTAATTTATTTTACCACTGTAATTGGCAACACTAATATTTTTTAAAGATTTATATATTGGTACTTAGTGAGATCGAAAATAAGACGAAATAAATACTTTGTTAAGTAGTATAATTTTTGTAATGCATGATTAAGGATACAATAAAAAAATTATTAAAAGTTGTAGTATTTAATATCATCAATACAACAAAATGTGTGATTTTTATAAATTTTAATAAAAAATTATTACACATTATTTTTATTGTGTGTCTTAAACACTCATGAAAAAAATTGTATTAAATGTATAATGAGAACTTGAACAAGTTTGTCAAGGTCAAGTGTCACCACTTATCAATGAGTCAGATTTTTAGTATTCACTTTTCATTGAAGACTAGGTCAAATTTTTAGTCTATCGTTCAAATAGAAAAAATAAATAAATTTCTACCGTTTATTTTTTAAAATTAAAAGAATAAGAAAATATAGAAAGAAAAAGTAAACATAAATTTGAATGCAGCATCCAGTGTGTGATTAGTCGGGAACTTCAAGCGTCCTCTCTCAGTTTGCGTGTATATGGATCAGTGTGTAATCAGCTCATGCGCCCAAAAAATTATAAAATCTTGCACTGATTAACTTAAAAAGTACACTTTTCTTAACTTTAATATTTAGAGTTTAATTTAAATATTCAAAAATAAAACTTTTTTAAATTTTGAATGATATTTTTTTAATAACAAATTATTACTTATGCTTAAACTGAGCTATATCAAACCCGAAAAAAACATGTACATCTTGAACAGAGCAAAATAATTTTGAATCTTAGTTAAAAATTAAAATCTGTATAAAAAATGCATTACGAGAATAAGAGGGAAAGGAAGCGGTTAGTTGATTATAAATTGTGGAAGGAAGGAGGAATATTTAGTTAGGGTAAGTGGCAATACTACCTCTTCTGGTTCCACGCCAACATTTAATTCATGCTCAGACTCTCACCTTTCCCACGAATACCAGATTGCCACGTGTCGAAAAGGGTCCCACTACGGAAAAGATATTTCACGTCTCTGCTTCGATACACGTCACCCCCGGAAATGGACCCCACCCTCCACTTTCGGAAAACAAAGCATTTCCCTTCTTAATTCCCAACCACTCTGCTCTCTCTTCTCAACCCCACTTCACGCTCACCATGCCTTAAGCTTCTACTGTATAAACACACACTCGTTCTTTGCTTTTTACTATTCCCCTTCTTCACTGCTACTAACAACCATGCCATGGTCTCATGCTTCTCCCGAGTTCACTCACAACCCAACTCATTCTTCTCACTCACGTTACGTCCCTCCACAATACAGAAATAACAACATTCCAACTTCTTTTCCTTTCTCCCATGATTCTACCCGTTGCGCCTTCAACCGTTCTGCCTCCAGGACACGTGGCCGTGGCGGTTCAACTGCCAGGAGGTTTTCCCGCCCGGAACAGCCGCGTCATAATGATATTTCTTACTGGAACGGCCGCTGCCCCTTCGATGAAGCTGAGGTGGCCGGCCAAGTCCAAAGCGGCGATGCTATCAACTTTGACGCTTACGAATCGGTGCCGGTGGAGGCGAGTGGGAAGAACGTGCCCCCGCCGGTGAATGCCTTCGATGAAACCGACTTGGACGAAGGTTTGAAGAGGAACATCGAGAGATGCAAGTACGTTAAACCCACGCCAGTTCAGCGTCACGCGATTCCCATTGCCATTGCGGGTCGTGACTTGATGGCGTGCGCGCAGACAGGGTCGGGTAAAACGGCGGCGTTTTGCTTTCCCATTATATCGGGGATTCTGAAGGGTCGTTCCGGTTCTGGGTTTTCGGCAATGCCTCGTGGTGGCTTAGTTGCATACCCTACTGCGCTTATTTTGTCTCCTACGAGGGAGTTGTCGTGCCAGGTTTATTCTTTTGCTGATTTATTTATGCCCTTAGGTTTTCTCTGAAAATAAAAATAAAAATAAAATAATCCAAAATTACTTGTAATATATTTTCGTTTTGTAGATACGAGATGAAGCGAACAAGTTTGCATATCAAACAGGAGTGAAAGTTGTGGTGGCTTATGGTGGGGCTTCCATTACTCAACAGGTGTGTGTTTTGAACTACACCTGTTGTTCTCTTATTTATTTTCAAAATAAATGAATCGTTGGTTGAAATTTAATGTTGGAAACTGAAAACAGCTACGGCATTTGGAGAAGGGTGTTGATATATTGGTTGCAACTCCTGGGCGATTGGTTGATATTATTGAGAGGGAAAGGGTTTCATTGAAGAGGATAAAATATCTTGCTTTGGATGAGGCAGATCGTATGTTGGACATGGGGTTTGAGCATCAAATACGCAAGATTGTGGAGCAAATGCACATGCCTCCACCGGGTGTTAGACAAACTATGCTTTTTAGTGCTACCTTTCCTAATGATATACAGGTGAATTCACTGTTGCGTTGCCCTTGTCTTAGAGGGTGTTGATATTTTTAATGTAGTACATGCTTTAATATGAGCTTACGTTTATTTCCCTCTTTCAATTATTCACTAATGTTTCAGAAGCTTGCATCTGATTTTCTATCCAACTACATATTCCTGGCTGTTGGAAGGGTTGGTTCGAGCACTGAGTTGATCGAACAAAGGATTGAACTTGTGCAAGATACGGAAAAGAGAAACCATCTTGTTGATATTCTGCGTAGTCAAAAGGCGCATGGAGCCAATGGGAAGGTAGGTGGTAATGCATTTATTGGATAAGTGATGTTTTAATCTACTGTTGTTGCTCGAATGCTAGTTTTGCAGGTCATATATGTATGCTGGATAATTTTTTTAATGTAATTTTTTTCCGCAATGCAGCATTCTCTAACTCTTGTATTTGTTGAAACAAAGAAAGGAGCTGATGCTTTAGAAAACTGGTTGTCGAGATGTGGGTTTCCAGCCACTACAATACATGGTGATAAAGTTCAAATGGTTAGTTGGATTTATCTGTTATGTTGCACTTGCTACTGTTAAAAAAATGGGGCTTGTTATTTAGTTGTATCAATGAGATGAATGTCAGTTCTTGAATATCAACGGGTTGTTTTTATCTTCTAAATTTTTATCTAGTAACTTCTTGCTTTATTGTATATTTTAGGAGAGGGAACGGGCTTTAAGGTCTTTCAAATCTGGTTCGACTCCAATTTTGGTGGCCACTGATGTTGCTTCCCGAGGATTGGATATCCCACATGTGGCTCATGTTATCAACTTTGACTTGCCTAGAGACATTGATGACTATGTACATAGGATTGGAAGAACAGGCCGTGCAGGTAAATCTGGTTTAGCCACTGCGTTCTTCAGCAGCAAGAACACTCCTCTTGCAAAGGCACTTGTTGGACTCTTGCAGGAAGCAAACCAGGAAGTTCCATCTTGGTTCAGCCAATACACTGAGAGTTCATTTTTTAGTGGTCGTAGCCATGGGCCTAGGCGATATAATAGTGGCAATTATGGTGGTCGTGACTTCAGAAATGTGACTGAACCTGAGGTGGAGAGTTACAACTACAGTACTTGTGACAATGCGGATTCTGCTGTGGATTCTTACCTTGATGGTGTCAAAAACTCTCACACTGATTCATCTCTTGACAACATCACTAATACAGCTTCTGAGTGCAGCTATCAACATACTAATGATAATTCTGATTTCTATGGAGGTGGAAAGGTTGAAGATGGACCATGTGGTTATACATCTATTGTTGCTACAGGATGGGAATAGGCTTCAAGCCTCGCTCGTTGCATCCTTTTCTACTGTGGAGGCGTACCGTATCATTACGTAAAAGAAATGTTGAAAAGGAAATTGCCAGTTATCTTTGTTTGGGAGTTTAGTATTTGTAGACTTCCGAACGTGTTGAATTTTCTTTTGCCTAAGCCTCTTTTTTGGATTCCAAACAATAATAGGATATATAAGCACGATTTATGAAGTTGTGGACTGGACTTTCGTTATTAGTAATTTAATATCTTCTTTTTATTGCTGGAGTTGTTGCAAGAAAAAAAAAGAATCAATTTATTTTATTACATGCCATTGTGAAGCACATTTTCAATACTCTTCTAGTATATATTCTTTTTGTAATAATTTTTCTTTATTTATCACTTGCATTTTTTCTTCATTTTAGAAAATTTTAGATCAAGGAAAAATAATATATGAATTTTTTATTTTTTTGGTTTGGTATGATTTTTTGTTTGAATTTGTTTTATAAATTAACTTTTTATTTTAATTTGGTCTTATATATCAATTGTAATCAATTTTTGCCACATGAAATTGTCTTTTTTTTAATTGTGATCGTGGGTTTCCGGTGGTTTTCCTTCAAACAAAAATTATCTTTAGAAATGATGTTTAAACCAAAAAATTGTGACAATTGAAAAAGTCTTTTATTAACTTTTAACTTTAGTTTAAGCATCTATAAATAGAATATTTTTATAAAAAAATTTATGTGTTTATTGTATTAAAATTATAAAAGTACAATAAATATTTTTTAATTTTTTTATTATTATTAATTGTTTGCTGTAAAATCTTAACCCAACTTGGTTTCTAAATTTAAAATTTTTTGTTTATTTTATTTGTCTTGTTTTCTTTAAATTTTGCTTTTATAAAATTCATTGCTTTTTTGTTATTTTAATTTGGTCTTACTAATCAATTGTAATAATTTTTTTATCATAAGAAATTATAATCTTGTTGTCAATTGTGATAAAAGATTGTTTCTAACTTAATTTGTTATCTTGAGTTCAAATTTTAAAAAATACAGTTGTATTAAAATTTAGAAAAAGATGGTTGTGATCTTAAAAAAAAAATATTATGACAATTGTAAACTTAGTACCATAATTGTGACTTATACAAAGTCTTATCCTGACTTAATTTCTAAATTTATACTATAAGCTTTGATCTATTTACTTGTCTTGGAACATTTTTAAGGCTTAACCTGCTATTTAAAAGCTTTAATTTGATCTACAAACTTATTTAAAATTTTATTTTATAATGAAATTTTGTTAACTTGAATTCATAGAATTAAATTTAAGCATTTAAAAAAATTATTGTTTTTTTTAAATATAACATTTATTATGCTTTTTCATTCTCAAAATAATAAACTTTTTGAATATAAAATTTTACCACTTAAATTTATCTTTACTTAGTTTTTAGGACTGAATTTAACAATTTTTTTTTTTAATAACTCCCTTCAAATAGGTTGAAAAAAAATCATCCTTAACTAAAGTAATTAACCTAAACTTATATATAGATAAATACACTTAAACTTTAAATAGATTAAATATATAATTTCAAAGTATTATATATTAATAATAATAAGTGGGGTTAAACATTGAAATAACGACAAACAAGTTAAAAACACGGTATTGTTATTTATACTTTTGAGGCATAAATTTAATATTTAAATATTATTATACGGTAAATATTTTCCTTTAGTCCTCTAAAAAAATTATTTAACTGTATCATGAATGTCGGAAATACATCGTCAGTTAAAACATTATTTCATTCGAAAATGAATCCATGTTTTCTTTTACATTTTGCATGGAAAACAAGTAAAAAAAACTTTATCAACTCAAGTTGAGTATTCTCAGCTAAGGCCAAACAAAGACAAAATATAGAAGACATTGATTGCAAAATAAATCATTGTCTATGGAATCAACAAAACTTTAAACAAACAACCTGGGTGAAATTGTCAAATATGTAAGCAAAAACAAAATCTGCAAAACCAAAAATTTGCACCGCAAATTAGTCTCCTCTTCCTAAACAAAAAACCAATACCAACAAATCCCGTGGAAAGAATCAGCAGTCACATCCACATGTTGTTTAAACTTGTTCATTTTCTACAAGTATCCTCTTGCAAGCTTCATAGCACATGAAAGAAATGCCAGCAGCAGGAACTAGTTTTAAGCAACTTGGTCCCAAACCTCTGTACAGACCCAGAAGCCCTTCCTTTTCTAGTATACTAATGAGGGCATGTAGCATGTTGCTGTATTGTCTTCCATTTAAAGCCCCAGCTTGCATGTGCTTACGAGCCACTTCAAGTGGAAATGTTGCACCACCTGAAATTGCACCAGCAGCTGATCCAATTAGAAGGGTCATCACATTCCCAACGTCTTCCTTATTGAACACTTTCTTGTAAGCTTTTCTAAGTGCATCATAAGCAAGGTAGTTTGAAGCAGCATAAGGTATCACACCAATTAGACTAGGTGTTAGGCCTCTGTACAGTTCTGCAGGACCTTCCTCTTGAACAATTCTTACAAATGCATCGAGTAAGTTCTTGTACACCCCTCTCTGCAATTCATGTAATGAGATAAATTTGCATCACTTGGAGCATAAATGAGGGCAAGATCATAATGTTTCTGTGAGTGCATACCTGAACAGTGAGACGAGTTTTGAGTAGTTCAAGAGGGTATGTACACAGGGTAGAGCTAACTCCAGCAACAGCACCAGCAATTGATGAGGGAGGAATTGGGATTTTTGGCTGTTCTCCAGGTTTAGGAGATAATTGATTCTTGACAGTATCATACGCAAATAACTGCATGTTCCATCAGATGTTATTAACGCATGTAATGAAGTTTAAGGCTACATAATGAAGTGCTAGACTACTTGATCAAGGTAGAATGAACGGTGGACTGATAATTTTACTATCTGACCCAACAATGAAGTGAAATAGTGATGAATAAAATGCAAAATATACACCTGTCTCTAAATATGCATACCTATCAATCAGATATTGAGAGAAAGAAAAGAGGAAGGAAAAAAAAATCCGAAGGAACAGGGTATACAGTAACTCTAATTATTTCAGAAATAAATTATGTTATCATGTTTTTTGGGTCACCATGTTATCGTGTGTGTTAAACCATAGGTCCAGAACAGTCCAAGCCCATTTCTTAGTTCATTTATTTTAAAGTTAAGTAGAAGCAATTAGAAACGTAAATAGAATGTCTCAAAATTAATCTTAATTAAAAAAATTTATTGAAACGTGTTTTTTTAATTAAAGAGTACGCAAATTAATTCTAATTGTAAATCAAACGGACACTCGGTTACTGTCCAGCTAACTAAGCTATAATTTAATCTATTATAGATAAGAAACTGATGAATCAAGTGATTCCAAGTAATTGAAATGTGAGATAAAAAAATATATCCAAAAACTGAAATCTAGGATTCAAAAACATCATGACTACTCACCTCAATGGCCTTGCTTGGTGCAACTCGGATAATGTTGACAAAATTACCTGTGAACAAGCCCTTCCACCCATCAGTCTCCATAATAGATTGAAACACTTGGATTGTGTTATGCCCACAGCTTCCCACCATCAAATGGGTCCTTATGGTCTCCAACGGTGCCACGGCAGTTCTTGACACTGCACCCGCAATAGCCCCACTTATCAACTTTCTCAATGATGGATTCCCAATCTTAAATTTCAATTTAAACCCCTTTATCTCTTTTCCCTTCTTCATGCCAAGTCCTTCTTCATCAGCTTCAAATGTCTCACCATTCAATAGTCCTTCACCCCCCTTAGTACTAAATCCAGCTTCAGTCAATAAAACGTATTTCATGGAAGAATTAACCAAAGCAAGTTTCTTGCCAGTGTCTCTAGTACTAGCAGCTGTTGGAGGATTTGGTGAAATCCCAAATCCAAATCCTGCTTGACCAACACTTGCAAATAAGCCAGTTGGATGAACATTACCCTTATGTGAACCCCATGCAAACTTTATTCCAGAACTACTTATTACTACATCATTGTAACCAGATTCAACTCCTTGCACGTGCAACTCACCTCTAACCATCGAACCTGAGCTCCAGAACATGTTATTTCCTCTAACTTTTCAATACCAATATCCAATGTTCACCCGTTAAGAATCGAAGCTTTGGAAGTTTTTAAAGGTTAGAGATGGTTAAGGAACGAATGGGCAAGCTAGAATAGTAGAATATGCGATATAGCAGAAGAAGATAACATAAACCAAATTAGCTAAAAACGAGCAATTCAACAGGAACAATGACAGACCAAACCAAAAAAGGTATCAAATTGGTGGATAAAGATAAAGTTGAGAATATTATTTAGGTGGAGAATTTTGACGAAGAACACAAGCTAGAACCTCCGTCTCTATCTCTTTTCTGCCTCCGCAAAGAAGACAAAGAAGAGAGAGAAAGAGATGGTGTAGTTTGCAATGTTATGCTTAACTTGTATGAGAGCCAAAACAAATTCAGATTTATTATTTATTTTAAATAATATACCAAAATCTCTTTTTGAATAAACTGAATTATCCATTTCTTTTTTGTTGGGTTTAGGCCATCGTTGGCCACAAAAGTTGGATAAAAATGATGCAACTCAAAGGCAAAACAACTAACACTAAAGAGTCACGACCTTGTTTGTCTGTCCACAAGGAATCAGCATAAATATTTTTGTCGCGACTCTTTGGTCTTAACTCATGCTAACAAGCTACTGAATACAAATAGTACGTGTGACCCAAGCTATAATTGTTGCGTTGATGGAAGCCTCACAAGTCACAGCGACGTGCTTAATTAACTTATAGTATCTACAGATAGTTCTCTGGCTCATGGAACATCTTGCATATCAATTATTAACAGAAAGAACACGGAGTGGATGTGCCTGCTGCCGTGCTGCGTGCCATAATATTTATGGCATTGATTTTTAAAACGAGACGTTTCTTTTTTTGGTCTATTAGAAGAGCTAATTAAATTTTATGTGGATAATAAATAAAAAGGATGACAATAGATGAATAATCGTCTACAAAACTTAAACCAGTAACTGAGTTTCCAAGAACTCTACAAACTCCTATAAATTCAAAACTATTTTCCTTTTCCTTTGCCTTTCTTGAAATTTCCCTTTTTAAAAGACTTTTTCTGAGGTTTCAATTTGCTGTCAGTTGCTGAAGACTTCCCTTTCTCACTCCTTCGTTTTTTCTCTTTCTTTACATTGTGCACTGTGACAGCCTAGAATACAGAGAATACAGTTAATAAAACTTGGTAAATTTGAAATCTAAGTCACTAAATGATGACTCTAATGTACCTTTTCAACATTGAGTATGTCATGCGAATTCTTGGAGATGATCTTGTTCAATATTTTTTCAGTTTGCTCCCTCTCCTGTGATCCCATCCCAGTTCCTTCCACCACCGGCAGGAACTAAATGAAAACAAAACAAAGGTAGCTAATTAGACAATTTAGTTAAGGATGGGCGTTTCTGCATAAAATAATTTACACGGGGAAGAGAAATGGATTTCTGAGTGTGGCACAACCTTCCGATATTTTCCTTTATGTTGTGCAGGCTTTTCACCTGGCAATTTCTTGTCAAATTTCCCACCACTGGCTGTTGCAGTTGCTGCAATTCCGGCAACATTACCTAGTTCATTCTTTGTAACTTTCTTGGGTGCTGCCTGAGTTCCTGTTATTGGCAAAGCTGTAGCTGCCAACTGAACATGGCTGCATAAGAATTTATTCAGATCTCGTTAAAAGAAATAACACAGCATGAATATGTGCAATGGAGTGACAAATAATATAGATATATGTTTTAAAAAAAAATACTAGGTCAAAACCATCCAACAAACTAGTGAAAAGTTGGCACTCCATTTTTCGAGAGGCAGTAGCCTACTGATTATTTGGTGCGCCCAAAGTTGGGGACATTACCACGTGAGCAAAGACAAAGATAAATAATCAAAATCTACAAATAAAGTTGAGGTGCTGCCAATAGCGAAGATAAGAATGTCCATTGAGAACATCAATATACCAGCAAGCAAAAGTTATTTGGGATTGTAGCATGTAACAAATGAAAAACAGTATCACTAGACAGATCTTGTTAGGATTTTGTAGGTTAAGCAGAAGAAACTTCAGCAAATTCCTCAAAAACAGAGAGTAGGGAATAGCCCAAGGTGAGATAGATAACTCCATTGGTCAAATAAAAGGCTAAGTTCTTACCCCACCTTGATCTTGATTTCAAGAGTGTAGCCAATGATCAACTGAATATATTGTAAGCATATCTATAAGCAATTGATGTATACTGAGGTGGACAGTAACAAACAGAATTCCCATACTACAACAGCTTCAAGGCTAATAGAAAAAAGGGTATGTGAAAAACCTTGGTAAAGCCCCAAATTTTGCTGCTTCTGTCAAGTTCTGTAATCGATTTTTCTCCTGTTTTTCAATTCTTTTCTTCTTATTTTCTTTTCTTTTGGCAAAAGGATCCTCTTCTGGATCTGCAAAATGTTATAGGATCCATTACTGACATGCTATACTTACAACACCGATCAGTGTACCAAAAATTGCCCCATAAAAATGTGAATTACAAGTATACCCTCATGAAAAGATAAAAATGTTAATACAAGTTGGAAAAGTAATAACAACAATAGCATCAAACCAGAAGTTTACATAACATTTATCTATGATTTGAAATATAGACATATTAACTATTATATCTAACTTAATCCAGACTATCACATGCTGGAATCTTCAAATACAAAATGCAGAATTAAGTACAAAACAACATTTCCTAAAAAAGTATGTTAATAGCATCTTCCAAATTTTGAAGTGTTAACTGATGAGTCTTCCATTAAATAGATTTGTGGTATAACGCTCTCACAAACCCACAAGTTTTACTTCATGTTATGATTACACGTTCAGCATGGCCTGATATATCTAAATATTTCCATTTTATTATTTGGATCTTCAAATGGATCAATGGTGTACTAAAAAATATTTCTTTTGATTTGTACCGTTTGAGTACACAAGCTTCATACCAGCTTGTGATGAATTGTTCTAAGTTAAAAAAGATTCTTATCCCTAACATATGTAGTTTTTTGGTTGGTGACCACCGTGTCTGCACCTTATGCATGGCCATTAAAAGAAACATAATAGCAATTCATGATCATGAGGGAAGGCATGTTCAATTATTTACCATCAGTTGCTTTTGCCTCAATAATAGGTACAGCATCTTCATCATTTGCACGATCATACCCATATCTGCGCTTCCACGTTCCAGATTGTTCATCATATACAATCTTGTCTTTCTTCCGTTTCTGTATACCTGCAAAATAGCACAGGGTAATATTCAGCGGCTCAACTAATAAGAAATTAAAAAACAACCCGAACCTAAACCGGACTACATGAACATCATTGAGAAAAAAATAAAGATAAGGTTATGTGCAGTAGTAAATCAATTGAGAGCCACATGTGCAGCATGAGTACTAACCCTTCTTTTTAGCAAAAACTTCCCATTTAGTAGGAGGCTTTGGCTTTGGCAGCTGAAAGCATAAAAAAATAAATAAGCAAGTGATTTGGCTAATTAGACATAGAAAAACACTAGAAGCTCAGAACCAAAAGCAAGACAGTAGTGATAGTACATTCAAGCAGCACAAACTACATACAGAGATGCAGTTATAATATTACAAGCAAGAGGCTTTTATTTATCCTTTCAAAAATTGCAACTCAACAGGGATACATGCAAAGATAGTGGGAATTTTAGCATTACATGAACAAGTAACAATTTAACAGATTAAAGAAACAAGAACAGAAAATGTGGGTTACATGTTTTTCTCTGGGCAATTTAGTGAGTGGGGGAGGCAACTTGACAAGGGGTCCGTCTACATCTTCTGTTGATGGCAGACTAAAGAGGGAATCTGCTATAGCTTGAACTAAGTGAGTGCCTTGGAGTAAACACTGGTTGATGAGGTCCTCCCTATATGTTCAATTAGGGTTAGGAATCGCAGTGTCAAAAATGAAAATAAAAAGAAGAACAATAAGAAGAATGAACGAACCTGGAAGGAGGTGGTTGAGAAGGGAAGGTGTGATGGGGATCGAAAGCCATAAGGTTACCGAGGTCGACATCAAACTGCTTCTGCTTCTCACCTTCCATCTGCATCAGCTTCAACTTCAACACATCAAATCAATAACAAACAAGCTACTTGTATACCCACAGTATGTACAACGCACCCTAAACGACAGTACATTCAGGCTCGCAGGCTAAAGGAAAAAAGGTACAGCCTAATATTCGTGCAAAACGGGCACAAAACAGAGTTTCCTTTATACAATGGAATGCGTCTAAAAGAAAACAAGAATGATCTCGAACAGAGTACGTAACAATCAATTAGCGTTGAAACATTGTCAACAAATTATAGAAAGGAAAAATAAAATATATAATAAAAAATGAAAAGAAAATACCTCGGAGATGTCCAAGGACTACAGCGGCGTCTCTGCGACGGTGGTTAAGGTTTATTGGTATGGCGGCTCGCCGGGGGCTGGTAACGGGTTGAGGGTTTCTAAGTTTTTCTGTATTTCTAAGAGAATGAAGAAACGCCTATGTTTTGGACTCTTTTTTAAAATGCGGATCAACCCGGTCCAGACCCATTATCCGTTATCCCAAGTCTAACCATTGCTATTGGAATTGGGATGGGTTAATTTTTATACAATGTCTATACCTAGGTTGCATATCAAACTTGTGTCAATTAAAACTCTGTATGCTGATTTCTATTTTTTCCATATTTTTAATATAAAAATACTTATTGAATATTAAATTAACAAATCTAAATACACTTTAAAAAATATTAAATAAAAAAAAATTAACTAAGATCAATTTAAACTTTTTTTAAATAAAATATTTAGATATAGCTTGTTTAGATAAATAAGTTAATTTATTACTGAACATATAGATTAATTAAGATTATTTTAACTTAACTTATAATTTTGAGTTCAAATAACTTTTTTTATCATTTATAATAATTCGACATGATTTGAACAATATTATTTTTAGTAAATAATATATGTGATTATAATATCGAGTGTGAATAAACAAATTTTGTAAGTCATAGTAGTTATATCAACATTAAATTGATTTTCTGTGCATGTAAATTTAAAATTATGTTTAAAATATTTATTATACTTAATATACTAGCAATTATATTTGTGCATTGCACATATTTGCATAAATATATTTATATTTTTTATTATTTAATTTAACTTAAAAATAATTATTTTAATGTAACAAAAATTTAAATAAAAAGTAAAATAAAAATTTTAATTATTTTTTAAAATAAATTATATATAAAAAATTAACATAAATAATTAAACTTAATTTATACGTGACTTTAAATATTATAAATTTTAATAATAACAATCTAGTTATTAATTAGTAAATATATTATTATTAAATATTTTAAAATAAAAAATAAAAATATAATATACATATATATATACTAATGACAAAAAATATAATAAAAATTTTTTAATAAAAATAAAATTTAGTATTATCTTGAAATAGGATTAATTTGAATGAAGTTTAAATTTTATTTCTCAAGAATTGAAATAAATATTAACATAAATTTATTTGATAAATTATATATAAAATTATTAATTTATAATTTAAAAATAATATATTTAAATATAATTTATAATCAATAAATATATATTAATAAATAATAATTATAATTTAAAATATTTTTTAAACTTTTAAATAAATATTAATTTTAAGAATATAATATTATAAATTATTATATCAATAAAGAATATATTTATCTTAATTTATATTTTACGTATAATTTAGATTATAACTAGAAAATAAATTGTAAGTTTATTACATAATTAAATATTCTAAAAAAATTAAAAATATTCAAAATTTAATTATAATTTCAAATTTTTTAATAATTATATAATTAAAATATAAAATATTAATAAATAAATATAATTTGAAATTTTATTATCAAAATTATTGAAAAAAATATTTTTATAATATTTTAAAATTTAATTCATATTTTTATTTAATTATGTTTAATTATAAGAAAAATATTTAAAATATAAAAAAAATATTAAAAATTTGAAGAGCTCGATCAAATTTATTATTGAAACAAATTATATATATAAAAAGTAAATATAACATTCAAACTTATTTTATATTTAAAATATTATAATTTATTTAATTATTCATTTATTATAGTATAAAAATATTAAATATATAAATTCAACAATTACAATAAAATTTTAATAATAAATTTATATATTAATTTTTTATTATAATAATAATTAATACTATTTAATTGATTTTAATTATCATAATTAATTAATTTTAATTTAAAATTGTAGTTCATAATTATTAATATAACATTTTAAAAAAGCAACACTACTCTTAAAATATAATTAAAAATAATTTTAATTAAGGATGAATAAAAATAAAAAAATAAATTATTATATCAAAATAAATTGTTATAATTAAAATTTTATATAAATTTTTTAAAACTCTCATACTTATAAAAAAAATTACAAATCTTGTAATATCAATATTTTTAATAGTATATATGTAATTTAAATTTTAATATTAAAATATAATAAAAAATTAAAAAATTAGTTAAAAAATATAACTAAAAGTATTATTAATAATTACCATAATAACAAAAATTAATATATTTTTTATACTCGAATGAATTTATAAAATGAATAATATTTAGTATATCAATAAATAACATAAATTTTTTTAATATTTATGTAAAAAAAAATTGTCTAAAATGTAATACATAATACTATTTAAAAATAATACAGTTTTTATTTTTATTCAATAAATAAAAAAAATTATATATATATATATAAAGGCAATTTAAAATTTTATACATTTAATCTTAGACTTTTATTTAACTTACAATTTTTTTTATACTTGAAAATTTACATTATTGTAATATATAAATATAAAATAATATAATATAAAGAACTTTTACCAAATTTTCAAGAGTTAGATAAGAATTATTTATATATAGTAAAAATAAAAATATGTTTAGTGATATATTAGAGGATAAAAAATTAATCTAATAAATATTATATTTTTATCTGTATTATAATTTATTTATTTTTTATCATAAAAATAATTTAATAATATATAATATACAATTATAATTTTGTGATTATGTGTAATTTTTTATTTTAAATATATTTTAATTTTTAGTACACATTTTAAAGTGTTAAATATATTAAATTAATTAAAAAATTTATTTAAGTTGATACTATTTAAATTTTTAAAAAATTTAAAAAAATTATATAATTTTATTTTTAATAAAATAATAACTCAAGAGGTTTGTTAAATATTGATAGATAAAGATAAATATAGATATTTGAGAGTTGTACTTGTCTACCTAAGATGTTCAACATGACCATTTGTTTGAATACATTTAAATTTGAAGCTGCATTGCATAAAATTTGAAAGTATATGTTATAATGTTAAGTTTTATTTGCAGAATTATTTTAAAATTAAAATAATTCTTTAAATTAATTTTTGAATAGAATTTAATCATACTAACTTACTTGGGGTACTTTTTGAATTTAAGATTGTTCTACGATCTGATATTTTTTAACTCTAACATCGACTTCAGAATAAATTTCATTACGGGCACTTTGGTTAAATTATATTTGGGAATTGCAATGCATGTTAAAATTGACTTTATTTATATATTTTTATTAAAACTTATGAGAATTAATTTTCTAACGATAAATTAAACCCTATGTCACTTGTCGCTATGTCTGTGCGCCAATTGTTTCATAAAACCACATACCACATAATCACTCTTATTAGAAAACAAAGTTAGCAGTTTTCCACAGAAAAACACAATTATTTATTTATTTCTAATAATCGTGTTAAAATAAATAGATGCCAATCAATCAGCTGTGTATATTTGTTTTTTTTTTAAATAAAAGTTACAAATAGATTTGTCACCGATTTATTCAAATTGTCGTGAGAATTTCTAATAAAAACCAATATTTCACTCCCACCCATCCGTATAACCAACAACCTAACTAGTGACAAATTCATGAAATTTCGTGTAATTTCTTTTTGGCACCAAATGATATAAAAATATATTTTCACGAAGAACAATTAAAAAACTATATATTGTTTTTACAATAATAAATTTTTCAAACAATTTTTTTTATCCACAATCAATTGTGACATTTTTTAGTAAAAAAAATGCCCTCCATTTTTTAGTAAAAAAAATGCCCTCTAGTGGAAATATTAGAAAAGATCTATATGGCCAATAAGTTGCCGGGCCTCAAAATACGTTATTATGGGCTGTACCACGAAAATGGGCTTGAGCTGAATGGAAGATCCAGAAAGGAGCACGAACCGCCGACATCTATTCACATAAGTCCATGTCTCAAGTTTATTTGTTGTGATAACGGCTCAGTTGTGTGTATACTTTCTCTCCAGGAAAGAAAAACCCTAGCCCTCTTCTCCCTTCAAGTCTTCAACCAACAATGGTACTCTCTTTCTTTCTCCTTTCTTCTGTCTAAATCTAATTTGATTAAGGGTTGTAGACTTTTCTTAATCGTGTTTGTGTGCGCAAAATGCAGACAGGAGAGGCAGTGAACCCAAAGGCATATCCTTTGGCCGATGCACAGCTCACAATAACTATAATGGACCTTGTTCAACAAGCTGCTAACTACAAACAGCTCAAAAAGGGTGCTAATGAAGGTACCTAGCTATCTATATCACTTACACATGCTTAATGCCAACATCGTTTTTATTGCGTTGAGTTAATTTGTTATCTGTTGCATTGCAGCCACTAAGACCCTCAACAGAGGCATTTCTGAGTTCATTGTTATGGCTGCTGATACTGAGCCCCTTGAGATTCTTCTTCATCTTCCTTTACTTGCTGAGGATAAGGTATCTTCATTTTCTCATTAGGAGCATTCTTTCATGTCCTAGCAGGCTGTTTATTGTTATTATTTGTAAATGTGTTTGGAGATGTTTTATTTGCAACTGTTTGTTATCGTTATACTGTCTCTGGACATTGAACAGTATATGTTATGCTCTGCCCCTTATCTAGCGTATCCATAATTTGTTTTATAGATTTGCCAAGTTTTGTTGTACCAGAATATATTATCCTAGCCAATTGCTTTGAGCATTCACACCTATCCTATTTTTCCCTGCGATCACCTACACATCAAGGAAGAGTAATGTTATAGTGCAATGAAAATGAACAACATCTATAAATATGAACACTTGCAGAGACATTATATTGGTAAAATTTAGCTTATATAACTTTACAATTCTTTCTTGCCCGTGTTGCTTATTGGAAAATGCAAGGCTTTTTTTTTTTTTTTTTTTTTTTTTTTTTATCTTTGACCATTTAATCTGATTTGTATTAATTTATCATAGCTGTGATTTGTGTCTGTCGGAAATTAGAGCTTATAATCATGTAAATTGTTCATTTGAAATTTTTAGAATGTGCCTTATGTGTTTGTCCCATCAAAACAAGCACTTGGGCGTGCATGTGGGGTCACACGGCCGGTGATTGCTTGTTCTGTGACAACCAATGAAGGAAGTCAATTGAAGTCCCAAATCCAGCAACTAAAGGTATGCACTGTGTTTTTCTGTCACGATTAACTATTTCCTTGTAGCTACCAAGTACCAACTGTTATTTATTATCTCTCTCTCACGCCGATTTTATTGAACAAGTATTCTGAAATCTGAATATTTGGTTGGTTTGCAGGATGCTATTGAGAAGCTGTTAATCTGAAAAATTCATAATCGGTATGATGGGCTTCTTGAGTTTTGGCGATTGCGCCTTCAGAGAGGCTTTGACTGGACGAGTTGCTATGTTCACATATAGGCTTTTATGTATTGATTAATTTTCTTACTACTGTGAAAGCTTATTTGCAAGTGGTATATTTGTTTTAAGTTAGTATGAGTGATGTTTTAAACTTGATTCAACATAGATTGATGTTTTAAACTGATACAATGTATTGTTATGTGCAATTTTATGTTGGTTATTAAAAGAGAATTTTGAAGTACCTGAATACTTTATTTTGTTTCTTTTCGACGAAAACAAACAAAAAATAATTATTTGCATTGGTAACCGTACATATTCTACAAGCCTACAACCAGCAGAATATCATCCATGATTTCCCATTTTCTATCATAAAACAAATCAAATAATCTGCCAAGGATTTTGTGAATATTCGAAGCTGACACCCTTTTCCGAGTGCGAAATCTTCGCCCTTGGCTTTCTCATCCAGAAGGCCCCCCCACCCAAAATAAAATTTGATTGTAGGGGGAAGAAAATTAAGTGGGGCCAATGGGATATTTTTGTTAGAACTTGATTCAATAAGAGTATTGATCAGTAAGTGGATTCTTATATTGATTTATTTTGTCTTTTAATAAGATGTTTGGACAAACATTATTGCAAGATTATTTCTTGAGTACTGTTGCAGCTAGGGAGACATTGTTCTTATCTTAGACTCGAGTTGCATTTTCAATGGGATAAGTTTTTTTTTTCTCTACAAATTGAAATCTTGATTTCATTACATGTGTTGTGTCTCTGAGGAATAGTTTAAATTATAAGTTTTTCCAATATAATATGGCTTTTTGTAAGTTACATAATTTTAAAAGGGAAGGATCTTCTGTAAGTTTTTACTATTATTTAAAGGCTAGTAAAATAATAAATTATAATCTATTAGATTTAAGTTAAATAAAAAGTTTAGATTTAATGTAAATTTTTTTATTTACACATAAGATTTTGTTCTAATTTTAAAAAATATTTATACATTTTTTAAGTTTTGACTTTTTTTATTTATAATAAGAGTTAATATTTATTTTGAAACAATATCCTTTTGTATTAGTGTAAATTTTTAAATTATACTTAATATCTTTTATTTAACTTACATATAATAGATTATAATTTATTATTTTATCAATCGTTAGATATAAATTAAATAAAAAATTTAGATTGATTGAAAGAATTTTTAGATTTATATTAGAAGATGATTCTCATTTATTTTTTGTTACTCAGATAAAAGTAATCTCCTTTGATATGAAACATATATATTTATGGTACTTTCGCAATTTATTGTTCCGGAATTTTATTTACTTTCTTACTTTTGAGTTTCTGTTGAATTTGTTGATTCCTTCCATTATCACCTGAGCAATATTAATTATTAACTTTTGCAGTATAGTTCGAGTAATTGGAGTGAACACGTTATAAAGTAGATAATTAGAGTTCGAATCTTGAGTCATGGAAATTTTTATATCTTTTCCCCTGTCTCGATCTCCATCCCCTCTCCCAATGACCATGTGTATATATATATATTGTACGATTTTGATAATGGCTTCATTTTGTTGTGTGTGATATCATCTATTGCTTTGCTTATTAATTTTTTTTTTATTAATATTGATTATTAGGTGGATATGAAAGTTCTTGTATCCGAATCAAATGACCTATAACTACTTTGACTCTGTTACCAGGATAAGTGTGGGCATATCAATAACTTAATTGAAAAAGAAAATTTAAGGTGGAATTAATAACTATGACCCTCTTTTTTTCAATTAATCTCACTTTTAATTAAAAAAAATTGTGGGAAAACCTTTGAAAGTTTCATGGATTGAGCGAATTTCAAATAAAAAAAAATTTAAATTGTATTTTTACAAATTTAATTTAGGTTCACTTTAGATAAAATAAATAATTTTAACCTTTTGTTTGCCTAAGCGGTAAATGCGATCAAGTTCCTTTAACGGTGATAGCTTTTTTAATTACTTATTAATTATTCATTGTTGAATTAAATGATTCGAAATGTCTTCCGGCAAGTGGGCGTGCCGGAGTGGTTATCGGGCATGACTAGAAATCATGTGGGCTCTGCCCGCGCAGGTTCGAATCCTGCCGCTCACGTTTTTGTATATTCCTTTTTTTTTTTGGGTTATATCTACTTATCATTTAGGTTGAAAACAAAACATACATCAAGATCAAGGTCACCCTTTCTACAACACAGCTTGATTAATGGCGCTGTCGGCCATTTTATCATGTTTCTTTTATGCATCAGTTCCATTTTTATTTTTTTTTGTGTTTAGCTTTCTGTCAAGACTATATTGATCGGATTTCTTCTCTCATTTTCCACAAAAATGTTAAGGAAGCATTCTTTTGTACAGAAAGTGTGTTTGGAGATGATTAATAGTTTCAATTTATGATGCATAGTTAGTGAAAGTAACATTATTTGGTAGGTGGGAATATAACGAAGAAGACAAAAAAAAAAGAGACTAGGAAGTAGGAAGCACTATCTGCCTCATAAACAAGACAGCTACGCAAGTCCTGCGGAGGAGATTGCCACGCTTTATGAATGGAGTCACTCACTCAGTTCAAGTTCCTTGAATCCACTCGACTTCACGACAGTATTAAATAATTTTATCATCAAATTTTAAAAAATACTAACAAGAGCATTGATTAAAGTTTTCATGATTGAAGTTTTTCATTAAACATATCATAAATACAGCCTTACCATATTTTTTTATTTTTATTCTTCAACTAATTAATCAGATCTTAAAATTCATTATTAGTGAAAATTTTTCATCATGTAAAACTTTATATTAGTCCAAAATTATTGAGTAGTAGGTTAATATTATCTTTTCAAGATTAATGTGTGTCATAACTATTGAATTATATCAATGATTGGCATTTTTCTTTCATCGGATAATTTTTAAACGATTTAAATCAGCTATAGGTTTTTGTAATTGTCACTATTGTTAGAATTATTTTTTTTTACCAAACATTAATTAATATTTAGTTGCTACGTTTTAAAAAAATTTAAAAAAAAATCAGTTGCCGTGTTAGAAACTAAATTATAAAGAAATTTTTTAACAATAAAAATTAACTTTTTACCATTTTAAAATATCAAAGATCAAATGTTAGTATTTTAAAAAATTAATTAAAAATTAATGACATTTATAAGAATTGAAACTTTTATTTTTTTCTGATATTAAGCCTTTTTAAATTTATTTTGAGTAATTAATTACTATAATGAATATTATATTATTGGTCTCACACATCACGGATGTTTTTGTATTGACTTTTTCTTGCATCATTCATCATGTATATTTTTGTATTGTCCAAAATTATTGACTAGTTAATAATATTATCTTATCAAGCTAAACGTGTCATAACTGTTGAAATACACAAAAGCAACTTTTTTGTACACTTTTAAATTTTTTTGAGTTGTCAATTAATATCATGAAAACTATATTAATACTCTCATACAACGAATATATTTTAAAATTCGAGTGAAATTTTAAAATAAAAATTAAATATATGATAAGAAAGATGATAATGATTATATTATTATTATTATTATTATTATTATAAAATAATGAAATCACGTGTTTTAAGAAGAATAAAGCATAAACAATATTTTAAATGTTAATAACAGGAATCCTATTTTACTGTATGGGAATAAACTAAATATATGGGGCTTTTGAAATAAAGAGAAAATTATAAAATAAAATATTTAAATTAAGACTTATATTTTATGTTTATTAATTTGATATAATTTAAATCAGAATTAACTAAATCACTTGTATTTAAAAGCAATAAAAAAATTAAAATATAAGGTATATTGTTAATTTAATTTTTTTAAAAAAAATAGATTTCTTCGATGTTTTTTGCTAGAGAGATTTCTTCAATTTATTATAACATACCAATATTTAAATTTAAAAATTTAAATTTAATGTAAATTAAAATGACCTTAAATTAAGTAACAGTATTTAAGAGGAGTTATTTAAAAATATAAATTAAATTACTTAGGACAAAAAAAAGTCACATAATTTTACAAAAGAATAAAACAGTCTTTAAAAATTTGCTACTCAAGTACGTAAATTTATAATATACAAATAAATAAATTTCAATTTTTTAGTTTAAATGAATTAAGTTGAAAAACTTATTGCTAGTTGATCCAAATAAAGTTGATTTAATTATGTTATCATATTAATTTATAACAATATAAGTTAAAATTATGTATTCAGAAATCAATAAAATTTAATTATTAATTATTTTTTGAAATCTATCATTGACGTTACCTGACTTTTACATTATTATAAAATTTTATTCAATACTTTGTCGATATATATCATTATTAAATTAAATTGAATAGTTTATATAATATACAAATATATATATATATATATATATATATATATTACTAACTTTAAATTTAAATCATATTATAAACATAACTATTTTTAGTAAAAATATGTAAATTTATTAATCTTTTACATTGTATTACGTATTACAGTCTATTTTTAAAAGAAAATAAAAAATTCTAATTATTAATGATTTAAAATTTTTATAATTATATATGAAAGTATATTTTTTAATATTGAATAAAATTTTACAAATTTATGTGATTGCTGATATTTTTAATATAGAATAATAAACAACATCAAATATGCGGTATACTTTCTACTAGTTTTTAATTAAAAATTTATTTAATCTATCTTTCTAATTTTACATATAACAAGAGTGTTTTTTTTTTTTAATATTATGTATGGGAGTGTTTTTATATGTTACTATTTTTTTATTATACATGTCTTCTTATTTTTTTATATAAAAAGTTATGAATTTAATAATATTTAATATACTCAAATTTTAATGTTAATAATTGAAGCATTTTATTTTTTAATTCATAATTTTTTACTTTTTATTTTAAAACTTAATTTAATTTAGTAATATTTGTATGATGTAAAATACGAACTCACTAATTAAATATAAAAGTATAATAAAAATAAAATAATAATTTTAATAAGAATAATAACGTTAGATCTATTTCTTAATTCTAATAAACCCTAAAACTTAATCTAGCAGATTAAGAAAAGAGAAGAACACCAACTATGCAAATATATATTATTGGGATTTAATCCGGAATAAAATTACATCAGAGCGTCTTAATGGGAAATATATTTTTGTTGTTCCATTATCATCATCAGCTATATAAAATTAGTGGGTCCGCTAGATCCTGTAAATCAAAATGTTTTCACCGAAAACAAAAGTAATTGTTTTTAAAGTGTTTTAGGAGGTTAAAAAATATTTATTTAAATTAAGTCTTTCTAGAAATACTTGATTTAAATATTACTTTAATTTTTAAGATATTGAAAAGCAATTAATTTTAAAATTTGATGATAAAAGATCACCTTATATTTGAAAATGATTTTAAAAGTTCATTTAAATTTAATACATAAAACGACTTTTGGATGTGAGATTATTGAAAAATATTAATTATGTTTTCCCTTTCTTATCGATGTATATATATCTCGTATTTTTACACTATCCTTGAATTGAGACACCTTTTCCTCGTTCTATAAAGAAAATTCACATAATGGAACTAAAAAAATATACTGTAGTGAGTGTGAATTGGATTTTCATGCGACAAATTACCTCTATGAAGCATCAACTCATGAGTGTGAACATTGAATTTTAAGATTCACTAAAATTGAATATACTACTTTCAAAAACAATTAAGAGTCACTCATTTCAAAGTTATTGAATAAAGATTCCTTATTAGTGGGAATAAAATAATGTTATATAACGGATTATACACCATTAGTGCACCCTTCACTAATTCTCGCCATTATGCTAATGACTTACGACAAAACCAAGTCATTATCATAAGATTTAATCAAACCAACCAACCTTCTCTTTTTATCGATTGAAATTGCAGGTTTCGAAACACTATCCCCAGTTGCACATGTTTTGCATTATCGCCAGTTGTTTTCCTATCACGGGGAGGCTTATCGCATTAGAAAATAATTTATTTTCATGCCACTATTGAGAGGCAAAGTCACAACAATTAACACCTTGGCACTCATTGATAGGAACTTTGAAGCCTTTTCAAAATCACCACTTGGGATGTGAAAACTTGTATGCAGCACTAAAGTGAATTTTGATATTGTTTATAATAGCAACTTTACAAATGTATAGGAAGCAGAAGAGATACGCTGAATCAATACCTGTATACAACCAAGCATATACTGAAAATTTGCATGCTTGTGTTTCATTACAACATTTTGCTGCCACTCATTCTTTGGTTTTATAATATTAATAATATCTAACCACATGCCATTCCAAAGTGACTGGAAAAAAAATTGTCTTAGACAAACATTATTAAGATATACATTTACACTAGATAAATGCATGCATGTTGGAGAATAAGTAAAGATTTGAAAGGATACACGCTCTTGTAATATTTGTGGAACATGTGAAATAATGCTTCTAATTTTGTTTTATATATTAAAAAATGCAGAAGAGCTGCAAAACAATCATAAGGTGTAGACATATTAACGTTGGGCAAATGGGAAGTCTGATGGAATTGAAGAATAATAATCAGACAACTATAGCAACTTGTTAAGCATGTTTCGATAAAAAAGAAAAAGGTGAATCTTTCCTATGACATAATCGTTCTTAACAAAACTTGAAGATGGTTGGTTTCTTTTGTACAAATTTAATTCACAATTGAACTGCCCCATCTATTTTCTTTCTTGCTCGAGCAATTTTCTTATAATTCAGATGTTTGTGCTCAACGAATTTTAATAAATTTTTTCTTCAAAATAACAAAAAAAAAAAGAGACTGAAAATGATAATTCTTTGACCCTGACAATAAGATTAGCCAGGAAATAAAACGTCACTATTCAGAGAAAAATATAGATGACAGGGTACTCTGCATGCTTGAATTATGTGGAAACACAATGATAGGCAAAACCCACAAGCACAGGTGTGGCTTAGTTGTCAAACTAAGCTCACAATTGGGCGGATTTTACGTGTAGTGGAGGATTTAAGAATCTAGAAGTACCGCCAAGTCAACAGTCTTACATAAAAAAGAGAGAGACAACCCACATAACTTTAGGGTACTAAACAAATAGAAATGAAAAGAATAAAGTTATTAGTAAATTAATAAAAAAAATTATTGAGTCCTGAGCACTTGGAACCTTCATACTGGGATATGCCATGATAAAAGAAAAAAGTAGATATGGATCTCCTTAAGTGGGTGGAATCAATAGAATTGACTTATAACAGTGATAGACCCATTGAACTTTGAAGAATACTATTGTTACAAAGCCGATAAGCAAGGTTTACAATAGTTATGGAATGGTATACTCATAAGGCTAGAATAACAAGAGATATGTTACATGTAATAGGTGATGTGCTAGTTATATAATGTTTGGATGTGGGTGATACACAACTGTTATACTAGAGCTTCACATATGTGTAATGTGCCACATATAAAAGTCAAAGATTAATGTATTTTTTCAATCATAAGCGTGACCCATAGTTATGATTTCATGTGGTGAGTGTGTATGAAAGTGTATGAAACAAAATATACAAGAACAGATGCTTATTATATTGTAGAGTAAGAATTAGGCCCAATATAGAAGGAGTCTGGAAATAGCTTAACCATGTTGGATGCAAGTGAATTGTCCTAACTGAAAAAGGAATGAACTAAAAGTCATGGTATAGCTGCTACACATACTCGCTGGTCGTTACTTGTTGGTCTCATATTTTTGGCCATCACACATTACTTACTAGTTTTTAGTGGTTGGAAGAAGAGCAACGTATGGCGACCCACAAAGGATATTGCGTGTTTGATTGGCCACTCTGAATCCGAAAACAGTGGATTTCGATTTTTCCATGTTGCATGTTGGTCTAATGGTTGGACGCCATAATTATCTTTGTGCTGTCTGTTGGTACGTGTGGCAGTGCCTTGCACGTGAACTACCGCTCACATGGATCTTGTGTGGGCAATGCTAATACATTATTATCCTTAGTTGAGGTCGATGTTCCGCATGCAACGGTCTCAGAGATAGAGATGATTCTTTGTCAACTCTATGGACCCACTCAGTATCAATTATTTGAGTCAACACCAATTTTCACGTTGTTTATCTGATTATGTATTTGAATATCACCACGCTACACCGCTTTGGTATTTTATATCAAATAAATGTCTTGTCCTGCTGGTGAATCGACAATATTATGATTAAGTGAAAGAAAATCAGATATTACCCAAGAATATTTTTCCAACCTTCACAATTTTTTTTGGCTGCAAAGGAAATAAAAGGTTTATAGGAATAGAATGCTCATTATCTATATAGTTTAAGCAATTAATATACACCATGGTTGAGAGAATTAAAGTAAAACAACTAATGGCAATCCCTTTCTGTTAAAATAAAATACTGCAATTTCTAAAGTCCAACGTGGAGTTCAGTTGCACAAGAATAATTTTACTAATAATAGAAAATTAAGAAATCAGCCAAACCTGAACCCTCAAATGTTAAATCAAGAGAAGGAATTGAGAGGTACACAAGAAAAAGAATTTCTAGTGTGGAGTGGGTATGCTAGTCAATTTTACAAGTTTGGTCCTCTGTAACAATCAACAATTGTTTATCCCTCATAGTAGTAACGTGCGTGCAAATAATCTCCTTTTTGTTTTGAAAAAATGACAGTTAGGTTGGAGCTACCTGTTTATAAAGTTAAAAGCCTTAATAATTAATGTAATTAAACACGACAATTATAAGGTTTTCAATTCACAACAAGAGTCATTATTGACACATTGAGCTACTAGCTGCATATCCTGGCCATTTAAACCTACACAGAAAAAAGCTAAAGGTATAGAGATCCTTGTCATGTGTGGGGTAGCAAAAGCACTTCAAAGAGTCGGGCAAAGGTGGAGTGGCTCACAGCCTTCATAACTCAAATCAATCCATTGTACCATAAAAGAAGAGACGAGATTGCAATACTGCTAGGTTTGCATGTTCTAGATTCCACACATTATTCCTCCAATTCTCTCTCTTGGTCAATCAACGTTACCTTTATTAATATTTACTTAATAATATTTTAAATAAATATCTGATCACAAACGAGTTTGAGTCTAGCCTAAAACCTACCACTAAAAATTGCCTCAAACCTAATCCATACCTTTATGAAAAAAACAATTAAGCAGTGATCTGTCTCAAATGAATAGTGGCAGGACGCTTTTTGATTCTCATTGGTATTTGTTGCGTCCACTTTGCCTATAAATGGGGAACCTCTCACCACAAACCTAAGTTGTGAGTTAAAAGACTTTGGAAGAGCAAAGCTTCCAAGCTTTATACTTTAGCATAAGTTTTTCTCTTCGTGGAACTTTAGAAAATGGTTAGTAATAGTATTGTGTTTGAGATATGTTTGTGAGTAGCTTTTGTTCCATGGCAGCATGTAACTTAAAATGTTACCTGCTTTTTGTCCCCGTATTTCAGGATGGGAAGATGAGTTGGACAGTTGCAGATGCCGTAGACTATAAAGGCTTCCCAGCTGACAGGTCCAAAACAGGCGGTTGGGTGCCTGCAGCTCTTATTTTAGGTTTGTAATTCTAATAGAGTAGTAGAAGTAGTCTTATCAGTTATGATCCTAACCCCTATATTTCATGTTGATTATGATTATGCAACTTGCTCTTAGAAGACTCGGAATATGTGTAATACATTAGAGGAAAGTGGCATTCAATTAATATATATTTCACCAGGCTTAAAATGACAATTTCCTTCATCATCTTGTGAGAAGTAATGGATGGTAATGTTTACATGGATAAAGAGTTCTTCTTTTTATTTTCATTTTTTGGCTACAAGTCGGAGATTTCTTCACACATTTCAGGGGTATAAGAGGAATTGGGTGGTTCATCAAATGGTGACGTAGAAACGGATAGATGTTGGTTGGTGTATACAAAAGTACAAATCTGGAGTATAGGATCCGTCCCTTCTCACCTGAAGTTTGCATTATCAAAAACTCTTTTAAAAGCTTAAGTGATTGTTAGAGGCCTGAAAATGATTTTAATTTTATTATTTCTAACACGCATCCGCATAGCAACAGTAGCTTGAATCATAGACAAGACTTTAACACTGAAACACGTCAACCCTCCTAGTAGTTTAATGTGTTAGTTGGAGGCCATAAATGGTTTTATAGGTTAACCTGCCGTAGTAATCCATGTGTAATGTTTTGGGCTGATGATTGCAGCTGAGGAAGGAGACAAAACAAATGGAATAATAACTAAAGCACCTACATACTTTTGATTGCGGATAATTCATATGTCACTTTCTGTTTCGACTTGGAGTAAAAGAGCATAATATTACATATAAGCTCTATGATGTGAATAAATATTGCGATATTCCATTTCGTCCAAACTTTTTCATCTCACTTTATCACCTCACTTTCTAAAAGTTGAGTTCTACTTTTTCCATTCATTTTCTCCTTTTTCAATATTTGTGGTTTCGCTTTTCACTTACAGCCTCTACCAACGAACACAATTATCTTACTTTATTTTATTTTTATACTACACATGAGCTAATCATCTTGCTTCTCTACAACCCCTTTTCGGTCTTTTTTTTAATGCACAGAAGAATAAATACAAAGTCATTATTATTTTTCACAGAATAACGAAGTTACACTAATTCTTACAATAAGGTAATTCTCAAAATTCTTACAGGGATTGAAATAGTTGAGAGGCTCTCCACCATGGGGATTGCAGTCAACCTGGTGACATACATGATTGGAATCATGCATCTGCCAAGCTCTGCTGCAGCCAATACTGTGACTGACTTCATGGGCACATCATTTCTCCTGTGTTTGCTGGGAGGTTTTCTAGCAGATTCCTTCCTTGGAAGATACAAAACAATTGGGATCTTTGCTTCAATACAAACACTGGTCAGTTACATTATCATTAATTTTAAGCATATTCAGTTACTTTTCCCATAAAATATCAACCTTATTTTGACATATTCATTTATATAAAGTGGAAGCTTTATGATGATTTCAGGGTACTGCTACACTAGCAATCTCAACAAAATTGCCACAGCTACGTCCACCACCTTGCCATGCTAACAGTGACAGTTGCAAAGCAGCCAATGGATTCCAAATGGGAATCTTATACTTGGCTCTATACCTTATTGCACTAGGAACTGGTGGCCTCAAGTCTAGTGTTTCAGGATTTGGGTCTGACCAATTTGATGAGAAAGATGAGAAGGAGAAATCCCAAATGGCCTATTTCTTCAACAGGTTTTTCTTCTTCATTAGTTTCGGAACACTGGCAGCTGTCACAGTACTTGTCTATATACAAGATGAAGTGAGTCGCAGTTGGGCTTATGGAATATGTTCTGTTTCTATGGTCATAGCCATTTTGGTGTTCTTATCAGGAACTAAAAGATACAGATACAAGAAGAGTTTGGGAAGCCCCATTGTCCATATTTGTCAAGTTATTGTTGCAGCAATGAAGAAAAGGAAGATACAACTCCCTTACCATGTTGGCTCTTTGTATGAGGACACTCCTGAGGGTTCAAGAATAGAGCACAGTGATCAGTTTCGGTAAGCTTATCTTTATCTACCCTTGTGAGAGTTCACCAATCCTTTTGTATGGTTTAATAAAATGGTTTATCAGAAATATTTAATTTGAAAATTTTAATAAAAATACTATATATAAATTTTTATTATGTATTTTTAATTCCATGTTAAAAAAATCGATGATAGAATTTTGATATCTAAATAATTTTCTCCTAATTTTTTTAAATATTTTGAATCATGTAGTTTCTTGGAGAGAGCAGCTATTATAGCAGAAGGTGACTTTGAGACAAATTTATCTGGTTCTGCTCCAAACCCATGGAAATTATGCTCACTGACGAGGGTAGAGGAGGTGAAAATGATGGTGAGACTTCTGCCCGTGTGGGCCACAACCATCATATTTTGGACCACCTACGCACAGATGATAACCTTTTCAGTTGAGCAAGCCACCACCATGGAAAGGAATATTGGGAGTTTCCAGATCCCAGCAGGCTCTCTCACAGTCTTCTTTGTGGCTGCAATACTAATCACTCTGGCTGTTTATGACAGAGTCATAATGCCCCTTTGGAAAAAATGGAGAGGCAAACCAGGTATAAATGAAAAGATGCATAAGCTTCTTGTTATCAAACCATATTAGAAGATTTAGTTACCGAGCTTATGATTTTAGTAAGTTTTTTATTTTATTTTATTTTAATAAATTTATAATTAAATTTATAACATAAATCATCATTTTAAAAAAATTAATTAAAGAGAGGTTTAAATGAGTTGTACATTTAAACACACGATCAAATCCCATGTCCCAGCTAAGCCTAGTTAACCGGATTAATGTCATTCGATATGGAATTATTTTGCCATGATTAAGATATATATGATCATTACATTATTATTTATATATAGCAAAACGCATGTGAAGCCCATAAAGTGTAACATGCATGTTGTAATCGTGTCTCACAAAATTAAATGTGTGTCTATATACTATATAGTCAACTGAATACAAAAGTTTGATACAAATAATTTAATTTAACAAACTATATATTAGAACCAAATCATTAACCTTTAAAGTGAAAGCAACCGTGTTAATTATGAATTAACACACATATATTGTGTTTCTCCCTGTGTTCCACTCCCAGGTTTTACCAACCTACAAAGAATTGCAATTGGACTTGTATTTTCCATTTCTGGAATGGCGACTGCATCTATATGCGAGAGGAAACGTTTGTCAGTGGCAAAAGGAGTAAGTGGAAACCAGGCAACACTGCCTATAAGCGTTTTCCTCCTGATACCACAGTTCTTCTTGGTTGGTGCTGGTGAAGCATTCATATACACTGGCCAACTTGATTTCTTCATAACACAATCTCCAAAAGGAATGAAAACAATGAGCACGGGTCTCTTTCTCACAACATTGTCTCTTGGTTTCTTTGTGAGCAGTTTCCTTGTCTCAGTTGTTAAGAAAGTTACTGGCACAAGAGATGGACAAGGATGGCTAGCTGACAACATAAACAAGGGCAGGCTTGATTTGTTCTATGCATTGCTTACTATACTTAGTTTCATTAATTTCGCAGCATTTGTGGCATGTGCAGTTTGGTACAAGCCTAAGAAACCTAAGCAAGGTTTGGAAATGGGTGATGTTAATGGGTCCTCAGGTGAGGAGAAGTGCTGAAGATTATACTCATTGTTGTTATCATGGTTTTGTTCATTTGTAGATAGGCTGTTAATGTGTATGCATCCGAAGAATTAATGGGTTGAGTTTGGGTTTTTCTTCGTGATATTATACAAATAATGTTTGGGTTGGCTTCTATGTTTATATAAACATGTAACATATTTTCTACTCTTTGAAGCCCTTTTTACATCTTTCTCTGCATGGCTTGCTTTCTACTTTTCCTTTACCTTTCTTCTTGCTGATATATATATATATATAAATTACAAATGTAAATGTGTAACAAATTTGTCTCGTGCACGTGTATGACATGTGTACATGATTTAATAAACAAGTGAAGATATGATTAATGATCATTATTATGATCAAATAATGCGAAAAGAAAATTTTGGTCCAGCACATTACTCACGGTTGATTGATACTAGATTTTGTAAATTTTCCCAAATGAAAACTATAAAGATATTCTCTGAATTTAATCTTTTCTTTTTAAATAATGACCATGAACTTTAAGATATGAACAAGAGGTTCATAAATTTTCAGAGATTAATAAATAGAAAAAAAAAATCAACCATCTACGTGACTCGTACGTGTTCATTTGTTGACATCATTTATCTTTTTGAAAAATTTAAAGAAAAGAAAAGATTCGCATCTAATTTAATTCTTTAGTGATTTGATATTTTAATTTATAACTAATTAATTTAAAGAAAAATGTTTTTAATATTTTTAATATCCTGGCAATGACAAATAATGTATAATGAATTCCGACACATTCCATCAATAATTGGGTCCCTTAAATATGTTAGTTAAAATTTAATTTTTAATTTTTTTTAAAAAATTATTGAGTATAAATTCATTATAGTGATTTTTTATATTTTAAAGTGATTAATTTCCACCTATATATTAAACATTTTAAATTATTCTTTATAATAATTTTACTCAACTCTTCTAAAATTGTTTATATATATATATATATATATCACATGTATGTAACAACTTGAAATGAAACTTAAAAGAAAATTTGAATAAATAAAACATAAAATCTTAAGTTGTATGATATCAATCAATACATGTACTAATATAAACTTAAAAAAGTTTCCAAAATAAGGCACCAGTCTAATTATATTTTATAATCACCAATTCACACAAATTATTATGATTATTATTTAAATATAGTAAACTTTTATAAGAAATTTTATCATGGTAAATTTCTTCATTACAAATATAAACTCACATTTGTACCGAGTTTGGTCCTTGTTTAAAAGATGGATACCCGTTTGTCATCTTGTTCCAATTAATCTCACACATCTATTTTATTTTGTCATGTTCAAACCACAATCCTACCAGACTCAAATATGTCTGCCTCTAATATAAAAAAATATATTTGTGCTTGTACATTTTTGTATTGTGTTTGATAACTATTTGAACTTACTATTTTATCGTAATTTAACTTTATATAATAAAATAGAATACTTACTTTTGAAAATAAGATGACATCAAATGTATTTTAATTTTTCTATATGCTTAATATTCTTGATAGAATACTTGGACAATTTCTGAATTTTGTTAATCAACTTCTTATTGTTTTCGATTTATCTGCTTGTAATTAAACATTAAGTTTTCATATCTAAGATCTTTCATACATTAGTAATATTTTAATTATTTTACGTGATATGTATTTTCAAACATTCAAAATTATATATTAAATTTAAATACATTCTCATGACTTAATATTTTACATTATTATTTCTTAAAAAATGATGTTCATAAATTATATTTTTATAATTTAAAAATTATTTTTAACAATTAAAAATATCTTTATATAATTTGAAAATTTTTCTTTTAAATAAAAATTTGAAAAATATTTGTAATCTTCATTTTTAAAGTTTTTTGCTTTTAAAAATACTTATCCAATAGATTTGTGATAATGATGGTCTTTTTTGGTAACACTTGGCAAGCGGACCAAGCTTCAATGTAGTAATTTGATATCGTCTTCATGTATTTATTGATAATAATTATTTCCTTTTTTGTTGTATATAAAAATATAAAGAATGTGATGAAATATTGATTTGTTCTAAAATATATAAAAGCAACAAATTGAAATTTAGTAGAAAACTTTATCTGAGAAGAGATCGGATTCAAATATATTTTCTAACTCTTTTATCTGCGTTGAATAAATATAATTCTAATTCTATTACTTCTACGTTCATTACATAACTTAACTAGATCCCTCAAAATTAAGTCCTAAAGTAATTAATCTTACAACATGATTCCTCTATACTTTAAGATTAATACCTTGCATTAAGAACACAACTTGAACATATGTGGCTAACAACCCCAAGTTTATTCCTAATACAAGTGATTATTAGGTGTGTGATTCAGTTCAGATTTTCAAAAGCGTTTTCCAACAGAATTCAAATGCCAAAGATCATAAACCAAATGATCAAGCCAAATTAAGCATTAAGAATAGAATCACACTCAAGTAAATAAACTAAAAATCATTATAAACTCACGAAGTAATTGAGTTAGAAGTTATATTAAATCCAATCTAAAAAAATTAGTCACTCATAATGAGGGTCATATCAAGATGCAAACTAAAATTACAATGAGAAAAAGTGAAGATGTGATTCTCGTTCTGAAGCGATCCTCCCTACGTCTTCCGTTGCTCCGTTCTTCCTTTTTTTCTTCTTTCCTCAAAGTCACTTTTTTTTCTGATCTATTATGCCTTTTTTTTTTTCCATTTCCTTTCCAGCTGTTTTTCTTGTATGGGTCTTCAAAATAAAGAGAATTCGATCAGATTTTAACTCTACGGTTATAGCTATGGATTCATCGTTGTAGCTGTAGCTTTGGCTTGCATTAATTCTCTCACAGCTATAACTGCAGATTTACAGCTTTAGTTGTAACTATCTGAAATCTTCTTTTTGTTGCACATTTTCATGGCTGTAGTTGTGGCTTTAAGACTGTTATCCTGAATTTTAAATTTCACCAAATTCTGCACAAAAGAGAGATATTTTAAAAGAAAATATTAACTACTCTTATGACTTCTTTGATTAGATTAATTCATCCAATTAGGAGTTAAATATATCTAGAATTATTGACATTTCAACCAAAAAATATGCCGAATTAATAATAGAATATAAATTTCTAGTACTTAACGGATAACAACTTGTCAGATAGTGTATTAAAAAAAAAAAAAAAGGAAATGATGAGGCATAATGTAAATAGTTTTAGAATATGGATCCATACAAAAACAAAACAGTGATTTGGATAAAGTCTAATGATGAGAAGCATCCATTGACGAGTGATAGAAGTCCTTGGAATAGTTTTTAATACGATGATAATTTTATGCGTCCCTCCGTGGGCATAAAGCGCCGGAACACTCAAAGCCACCAATTCTTCCACTTTAGTTCTCTCATTCAACTACAACAATATCCATAGATACAAAGTTGACATCTTATATAACGATTCCCATATTTTAATTATTAAATATTATTTATAAAATCTCTGAAAACATATTGAATTGTATTAAATAGTGAAATGAAGAGTTTTATTTGTTAGAGTAATGGCTTTACTGTCTTATCAGTAAAAGGAATATATGGTATTGTTTAGTTGTAAGAGGCATATCCGATATCTTGTTTCTTTTTCCTAGTCTTGTCAACAGTGGAACGAATGAGGAAACACATCCACATTTGGCATTATTACAACCACAGTCAACCAGGTGAGGATTGTTCAAGTCCTATGAATAATCTCTCGTCACATTTGTATTATTATTATTTTTTATTTTTAAAATTGAATTTAAAATTAATATCTTTCATAGATAAATCGAAATAAAACAATGAAAGAAAAATATCATTTTATTATAACATGATTGATAATTTTATACGTCTCTTTCCTCTTCCATATAACTCAACCGGTTGACTCCATTCAAAGTTGCCAACAAAGGGGAAGTTAATGGTAGGAATTATTGGCAGCCATAAATTGAAAAATTAGCTAAACTAAACATGGGGAATTGTCAAAGTGTTTTACAGTCTTAAGCATCGACCACATTTCCATTGTTGGAGGAACGTTGATTCTAAACCATTGCTTTAGCATCTAGCAAGTGTGGGGAGGAAAAACCTCCCTTTTGTGGAAGAAAGTCAAATATAGGTTGTCATGGATACGCATTTAGAATCATCATAGAACATAAATTCCAGAAACTTTTGAACATAAAATTGAATCCAGTTTAGTATCTACGTATGAACCTACCATTAATTTACACTATTTGCAGTGCGCCTTTGTTCATGTCCCTACAAACATTGACACCCACACATAGATGTATGGTTATATATAATGACAATCATTTGTTGTGGGAATTGTAAACATAAGTTATACAATCATATAAAATAGTTAAGATTACAAGTAATTATCGTAATTCTATTTAAAACCATCATGGATATATTTTAAATTTTAATTATTTAAATAAAATAATTATTTATATTCATTATATATTTTCATTTCTTATAATAAGTAAATATTCTTATTTAAATAATTATTTATGTCTATGTTTGTGTGATCTTTTCTCTTTCTTTTTTTATTTTCTATTCAAGATTTTATAAATTGTGGAGATTGGATTTTATCAAGTTAATTAAAGACTTGAAAAGAAATAAAACAAAATTATCTAGAATTATTAATTAACTAAAAACATACTTGCATTAAACTTTTTTAATAAATATTTAGATAACATGATTTTTAGTTTTTTTTTTTTATCATTTCACAAACTTTATGTAAAACTCCTTAAGCAAAAGTCACGAAATATAGCCTTTTGTTTATTGAATAAATAACATTGTGAATAAAAACATCTTAGAGAATGCAACACAAGTCAATGATTTGGTTCTAGCCTTGCGTCGTTGGTTTTTGTGATCGACTACTTAACATTTGTTTTCAGAATATTAATTGTATTTTTATATAATGTTTATCTTATTATATATTAGAGAGATTAATAAAATCTTGTTGGAGGATATATGATT